TGTTGTCGCTATTGGCTCGATGGCAATATACTTGTGTGCTATGCATGAAAATAAATTGTTTCTTAGCAAATATAACCAACTTCATGTGTTTTTATTATATGTTGATGAATATCTTTTTATATCTTTATATATATGTACACATGTCATTGTAAGATGTGAAAAAATTAATTCAATGCCACACACACACGCGTAACGTCGAAACAAGAATGACAACATGCAACCGATGTTTTTACTCTTTCTTCGATTTTTTCTGGACGAAATATATCTTTCTCCTGCATGACGCTGTTCTCTCTGTATACATCGGTGTGCCACACGAGACACAAATTCATCAAAAACACGCGCCACGACATTCAGAAACAGCATATATACATGTGTATGTACACGCATACGTTCAGAACACGTTAGTAGAAGAGTTGAGGATTCAAAGTCCGCACGCGAAGTTTACCCCTCTTGTTGATTTCTTCAGAAACAAACGGTCTAATTAAAAAAAAAAAAAAAAGACAAACAAACAGGTTAAATTGCTCGTTAAAGTCCATCCGTACGTGGCGGTGGATGCGCGCGTGGTTGAGCCATCGCGCGAGGGTTTCGTGTTATTAATAATATGTATAATATAAGCGATAAGAGGAGAGAGGATTTAAGGATATATATTCAGATTATATGCGCTTTATCTCTACGAAGGGAAACAACTACCTTAAAAAAATTTTAAAAAATAAAAAAAAAAAGAAATGTATTCGCGCGCTGCGGGAGACGAACCGCTGGGTGGCTCTTGAGAGAGACCGACTCAATTTTTTTCTCGAGAAAGCGGAGGAGATCCGAGGTCCGTCTTCCTCAGACGTGTGTTTGGGTCAACGTTCAACGCGTTGACGTTTCAAAATCCACAATCCAACATTGAGGAAACGCATCGGTCGGTATACTAGATAAAAAATAATTATATCACACATAGCAGATAGCGCGCGATCGCGAAATATATATATTATATATACAAAGTATATATGTATATAAAAAAAAACAAAAAAAAAAAAACAAAAAAAAAACAATTCCTGTACTTCAATGGTTCTCCCCCAAAATCAGAAGTAGAAGACGAGAACTTGCGGCAAAAAAGAAAACACTAATGACTAATAGACGAAGTATAGATTTAAAGTAAATTAAATATACAAGAGCACACACATATACTGTAATTTGTTTGGCGGTCTGATGAGAAAATGTTGTTCTCGAGAGTGCATTCTGAAACTTGACACAAGTCGATTAACCAATTTTATTAAATCGCGACAGCAATTAATATTATTCACGACGGAACGCGTAATTTTTCTTAATTTGTCATCCCTCGATTTAGTTGTGTGACACTTGTCTTTTTTTGTTCTTAATTTTCAATGCAGACGAAGAAACAGTATTATTGTGGACAAAGTATTTTACGCGTGTGCGTGATATTTCTCGAAACGCACGATGAGAATAACGACAAGGTATTTATCAACAGTATTTTCCATTGAAACGTTTTTAACGCCGATAATGAGCGTAGCGATTAATTGTATACGCTGTTGTTTGTCAACAATTAATTTACACATTGTCGATATCGTCTCTCTAAAAAAAAAAAAAAAAAAAAATCCGATGTAACAACAATGTTTTCTGCGCAACGTCAATTTTCTTTTTTTCTCTCGACAAGAGATTGTTTGTCAAGCTTGCACGTGCGCGCGTTCCTGCCTCGTGCAACGACAAGAAAACCCATCCGACGATGTATGTTTCCGCACGAATGACGAAGAAGAATTTTAACGAGAGCGAGAACGGGCGAGAATGAGAGTGAGAAAAAAAAACAACATACACACAAACACATACACATGAGAAAGCGAGCCGCCTATAGGTACGATTAAGGTTTTTTAGAAACCAAGTACGAAGTGTCAATTGTTCACAAAGTAACGTGCGACGGGACACGCACGCCTTTCGACCATAGTCAATCGAAAATTGTCGACGCGTTACAATTAATAAAATAAGTCAGAAGAGATGAGAGAGGCCCGTGGTACAGCGGGATGGACACCTTACAAAATAAAAAACGGACCCAAGATAAGCACACGCAGTCACAAATACAGTTACACAGTGCATACGTATATACACACGTTATATGCGGAGAAGATTAATGATAGCAAACTACCATAGAGAAACATTAAGTAATAAATTTTATCGTTGCCAGGTAAGTCAAGTAGTTTCGCGAGATGAAGTTTAACGAAAGAGTGAGACAGAGAAGAAAATATTATGGGACACTTGACGGGCCGCGTTGCGCGTCGCTTTTCCATGCAAAAAAAAAAAAAAAATAAAGACCAGTCTCTCAAGATCGACTTAATGGACTTTCTCGTATAGAAATTCGCCATAAATCAAATCGTCAGATTTTTATAAGATATGAAAAATCGCGCGGGACCGAAAACGAGATGAGACGCGAGAATCATTTCCGAGGAGAGATCGGCGACGATTTTTAATTCGCGATCGCGATCCATGTGTGTATATTTCATTCACGTCCGCGCACACGTCGGCCCGATTGTTGTGGATTTTCGTTGAACACTTGAGAAATATACCGCCCACAATTTAGAAAAAAAAAAAAACTATCGCCGCGATCGAGAGAAATCCGAAGAAGAAAAATCGAGTTAAAGAGATCTTTCTTTCCAGGATTGCTTATCCGCGAAATTTTCTTTCAACTTGCGATAACGTCCGTAGAGAGAAGATCGACAGAGATTTTACCTTGTCTCGAGGCTGACTGTCGCGACAAAAAAAAAAAAAAAAAAAGAGTTCGTCACTCGACATACAGGATGGGAAAATTGTTTGGAGAAATATTGTTTCAATATTGCTCACGTAACGTTAAGTGAATACTCTTTATCTTTCGCAAACTAAAACAAGAATGTTCCCGATTGTTATGCTGTGTAAGCGCGACGGAATCCTCGCGTTGTTTCGCGTCTGTATAAATTCTATGTATTTCGTTTTTCAGAGAGAAAGAGAGAGAGGATAATTTATTATAACTCGCGCTAATTAAACGTTAAAGTCGTGAAAAAAAAGAGTCTCTAATAAAATAATAAAAAAAAAAAAGGTGTCCTCTCGAAGCCGCGCGAGCCGATACAATTCGCTCTTCGCAGGGCATTTCTTGAGCGGGCTTTTTTGTTCTCTCGCGAATTTTATCGAACGGCGCGGCTTTGAGGTCTGCGTTTGCGTTGATAATTAACGGAATGCATTACACAGCAAATCACAGCGTCCACAGGTACAAATATGTATCGGCCAAGTATTGAACGAATACTTCGAAAGATATATGTCTCCTATATAATTTAAAAAAAAAAAGTAAAAAATAAATTACAAGTATAAAAAAAAAAAAAAAGTATATCCGAGACAACACTCGCGTAATGTTAGAGTTCAACAACACGTTCGGTATATGCGCGGCTGTTGATCCATCGGCAGCGGATATCAAGGGAGAAGAAAAAGGAACAAGTAGAGCGCAGATGTGTGATGAGCAGATAGTAAATAAAAAATAAAAAAAAATAAAAAAAAAAAAAGAGAAAGAGAGAAGAGTACGCGCGACGAGGATCGGAGGTTATCGATCATCCGAGCTTCGAAGTCAATGCGTTTGACGTCTCTAGAACAAGTGTGTTATATATAAATATTGAACATTATATATAAATACATATTAAAAATTTAGATTTATATATATAAATATATATGTAAAAGAGAATGTTATGTATAGAGAGAGAGAAAGAGAGAGAGAGAGAGAGAAAGAAAAAAAAACAAAGCAACGTGGCGAGGCGTGCGGAGGTGCATATTATTTGAGTAAAATCAATTAAACTCGTCGTTCAACAACTCTTTTTCTTTGCGAGACTAATGTTGGATTTTTCTGTTTGTCTCGGAGCGATTATATATCATTAATTATATTCTCGTTATTATATATAGCTGATAGTATTTGTCGCACGACGAAATTCGATTCGTTTTGACAACCTTGTCAATAGCGTTTCGTTTCACACGGATTACACAATCAGTATTATCGAATCGCTGCGATTATTCGCTTGACAAGTCGGAGAGAAGCGAGTATAATTGCAACGCACATCGAGATCGGCCGTTATTCAAATTAATTGCGGACGAGAGCTAATAGGTGTTACGATTGTAAAAAAAATTGGTTACGGCCGTGATAACGAATCGTCATTGTGCGATCTCGCGTCTTGCAACAATGTAACTATATGACGCTTCTCTTCTCGATGCAGATTTCAAAAATCCAAGCCAGTATAGTACACAGAGAAATCAAAGCGCCACGCAAAACTTGTACATTATTTTTGGATTTGTCGTTAACTTGCAACAACTTTTGCGTTTTTCAAAACGAGATGTTGCCCTCGAATCGCCAGCCGCTCTGCTGATTAATTTAATCAAAGTAGGTCGAGGCAAAGTTGAGGACTTGAAGTTGACTCGATTGAGAGAAATTTTGAAGCGCGCGCGAGGTATTTTCTTGTAAATCGTCTTGTCTGAAAATCTCCTAAACACAAACAAAAAAAAAAAAAAAAAAGTATAATTAGAATAATTTGTTCCAACACTGACATATCGTCTATGCAACGGCTGTTATATAATGTAATGTATTTTGTGATTACGTCGCGTATCGTTTTTTGAATATCTCACATTGTTCTTCATTCCATTAGGTTCTCATTACTATTATTATTATTATCATTAATTGTAAGGCATTGCAGTTTGTTTTTTTATAGATATTTAGTGACCCATTTACAGTCGACATTTATTTTTTACATCGATAAGTGTTTTTCTGGTGTTAGAGTGACAGGTAACGATGGCGGCGGTGACGGCGGCGACGACGACGACGACGGCGACGACCACCGATGCTGATTTTGATTGTCCTTATCCTCAGTATCGATTATATATATATATATATATCGCGTACTACTCCGTTGTATTGTCCGACAAACATCCTGCATTATTTTGTAAAGAAGAATAAAAATATCTTGACAAACGCAGCAAGAAAAACCCCCAAGCGCAGCTTTATTGTGCGAACGATTCGAAATCTCTTATTTATTATTTTACATGTGATGTGCGTGCATTTTTACAGAACGTTGTAGGTGACGTAGTGGAACGACGCCGTCGGTGACACGTATCCGATAACGCTCGGTTGCGAGCGTCTCAAAGGAATTAAGGTCGACGGCGAGATCAAAGCGTTGACGTTTCGAGTTTCCTCGTCACTCGCTGGTTGCTTTTCCGGCGTTGTTGCTTGTCTCTGCGAGAAGAGAATTCTTTCGCTTTTCAAGCCCGTCGACGCTGGCGTGATCGGACCAGAAGCACCTGAAGAAAGAAGAAAAAAAAGGGCAAAGGAATTAATTTTTATTAATTCCGTTCACGAAAATCGTCTCGCACTTTACCGCCTCTATGTTATCCAATTTTTGTTTTTGTGCAACATTTATCTCGCACTACACAAAAAAGTTTGCGAACCGGTTGCGATCGGTATAGGACGACCTCAGGCGGTCCTCGGCCCCGGAAATTCGACGACCTTCGAAGTACGACGAAAGTGAAAGAAACGATCTCTCGGCGGCGTTGAATATTTTTCGATAAAAAAATTAATTTTAATACACCACTTCACACATTTAAAGTCCTTCGCGTTATAAATAGTCGAAAGTTGATGGAATAATTCGAATATTTACACGAGGACTTGTTGCGGGACATAAAACAGCTCAAACTTGATAACAAGAAATCTGATATCTGGTGTAATCAAAACGGGGAGCGAGCGGTTAAATTAGAATTCTGACCTTGAGTGATCGATGACTGCGGTATGACGGTAGGTTCGATCTCGTGGCTTCCGTAAGAGATTCGAAAGATCGGCAGCGAGGGAATTAATGAATTCCCTTGGACGTTTGCGCCGCTGATAATTTGCTGCGTCACTTTTCCGGAGGATTCCTGTTGATCAGAATTTTTTTACGAGCGTCGTGATGAGAAATCTCGAAACATAACTTGAAAACTTTTATTTCTCAATTTTAACAAATCGAATATTTTTTTTGTTTTTGTAAACGTACCTCGAGAGTATTCTGCGGCTTTTCGCCTTCCTTACTGGCAACGCCACTTCTCGACGCGATCGCTTGCAGTGTCTCCTCGTTGTCTTCCATCGACTCGACTCTTCCCTCGTTCTTCAATTTATTCCGATCTTCTTTCAGCGGCGTTTCCGCAGATTTAAGCGTCAATTGGTTTTGATCAAGAACGACATTGCTCTGACTTCCCTCGATCTTTCTTTCTTGCGCATTTTCCTGATTCTCCCGGATCTCCTCCTCCTGATCCGACCTTCTCCTCGCCTGTTCCAGAGCCTGGAGATGTTCGTGCCGCGCGGCCATTACCTCCGGCGTGTCCTGGACCGGAAGCGGCGCCTGCGGCAGGTTCGTCGCGATCACTCGAAATCCATAGTCGTCGGCGACGTACTGCGCGGTTTGTATGACGCCGGTTTCGTCTACGTAGCTGTAAGCGCCTCTGGTCGCACCGTTGGACGTTCTGACCTCCGATCTGGCCGATCCAGGTGCGCTGTAGCCGAAACTGTACTGGCCCAGACTGTCCTGATAGCCGAGAAACACCGGCGGCTTCGCAAAGCCGATGGCGATCAGACAGTGAACGAGCAAAAGCTGAAAATGCGTGTATCAGATCAGCTTACGGTTTGCACAATTCGCCACGATCTTGCGACGATCTGTCGGGCTTGCGAGTAGCGACGCTTAAGATTGCGAATTTAATATTGCCGGGTGATATTACACCAGCAAGGCTCGTATTATTCTTCAAAATTCTCGTGCCTCCTTTGTTTCTTTGTAATATCAATTCGTTCGTATCAAACAAATAAAGTATCGATTTCTCTGCAAATTTTTTAATTTTGAACAAAAATTGAAAAATAAACATCAATGCGTTATAATTTTTAATACACAGATACAAAAACTAAATAAAAGAGCAAATATAAGACTTACTCTCTTGTTGCTATATATATAACCGTCTGGAAGAATAGAATTTTTAAATAGCAAAACTTTGCCAAGAGACTCAACCAACTCAATCCGCGACGATATTACGTTACGGTCTCGATCTTTCCGCGGAGAATAATCCCAAGCTATTGAAAGCCCACGCAAAGACCGACAAAGCGAGGGGTGGAGGGTAGATCAAACGCGAGAGATCTCGCGATCCTCCCACGCGAACGAACGACGGAATCGCAGGTGAGGCGAGAGAAACACTTACGGATACACTCTTCATGGCGATCGTATGTGGACGACAGACAGTATCCTCGTTTCGACACGGTATCAGGACACTTTATATACGAACGCGGTTGCACGCGCAATCGCGCGATTGACGCGTTCCTCTTCCTCTTCCCGGCGAATCGCGCGATGAAATTCGCGAAGTCGCCGGGAGGACCGGGCGAAAACTGGTCACGCGAGTACCCAGTCGAGGTCGTTCGGAAACCGGCTCGCGCGATGGTTTCCACCGATCGCCGGCATTTTTCCGGGATCCGTCCGGGATTATGACCGCGAACGGCGTCGGTTCTCAGGGTCGCGCACATAATATCGCGCGTCGCCGACGACAACGGCGATCGTTATCGCGGAGGAGGGTGGGATCGCGCGAGAGAAAGAGAATGCGCGCCGCAAAATTTTAATTTATCGCCTGGTTACATTTCGACTAGGTTTTCGCGAGAAAAATCGGCGCCGGCGCGCCGATCGCTTAGGGATGCGAAATCGAAAGATTCCGTGACCTTAGAGAAGAGAATCGTTCGAGTCGTCCTGCGCGAGAATTTTACTCGGTGACTGCCGTGAAATACGTGACACTTTTATCGTCGCTGTGCGTTTCGCTCGAGACGAGTCGAATAGCGTAAACGCGACTATTTGCAAGAATAGGGTGAATTACGTTCGTGAGGTACATAACATTCGATTCTTGCACAGCGCGTTAGTTTCTACAATTTCTACAAAATATTAATTTGTGTGACAAGTTTTAATTTTTTTTTTTTTTTGTTTTATTTAATTCTCTTCGAATTTTTCCTCCGTAACTAATTTTGCATTGTTTATTGCGCTTGAAGAAAATATATAATGCGCTTTTTCTCTCGACGAGCAAATATCAACTTATGCATAACGTGTGTGTGCGTTTTAAACAAATCAAAAATAATTTATATCCTGATCGAGGACACGCGACTGCGCTCTGAAATTTTTTAATTACTTTTAAATAAAATAAATAATTTCTACAATACAGTTTTACGTATACATCATTTATTTTTGTAGAAGTAGTAGAAGATACATTTGTAATTGTTTTGATTAAAAGTGATAGAAGTTTGCAAGCAAGAAGTAAATGAATAAAGATTATTCTGTTCCTGTTCCTGGCGTGCAGAAAAACCGTATCCTTTCCCCCGAGATCTTCCCCCCATCGGTGCGAAGAATCTCTCAGTAAACCAATCTGCCGTAAGCGATACCCGGGCCGGCGACTGCCAGAGCGTCGACGGACGTCTTTGCCGGGGCGTCGTTCGCCAGATTTTGATCGTCGCGCTCAGCTGCTTCCACGTCCGGTCTGGCTTCGATCGGCACCAGGGCGGCGACGACGCCGTTGCCGAGTACCAGCGGCACCACAGAACCGCTCGCAACTCGCGCCAGCGCGTCGTTGGTTCTCACAGCCTCCTGCGCCAATTTGATCTTCTCGTTGACATGTGCGGCTACGTGAGCGGCTCTCGCGGCCGCGACTTCCGGCGTGTCCTGAACTCTTCCGTCTGGACCGAGCGTAGCTTCGGGCGCGCCTTCCTCGTTGCCATTCGTTTTCTTCGACGAATCCTGACGTCCGTCGCCGGATTTCGCAGCCTCGTCCGCGAGCTTGATCTTCTCATTGACGTGGGCGGCCGCGTGCGCTGCTCTCGCGGCTGCGACTTCCGGCGTGTCCACGACTCTGCCGTCCGCGCCGAGAGGTGCATTTTCACCGGCCGGTCGTCGTCCTCTCGAAGGTTCTTGCTGGACTTGAGATTCGGCCGAACTTGCAGCGTCTTGGTTCACCAGGTTTACTCTGTCCCTTCTCGCGACTTCCGGACTGTTCGACACGTCGTCGGTAGTTATTTGCGCGCCAAGTGTCAGGGGTGTTGCGTACGTCAAAGGTACTGACAGGTAAGCTGATCTGGCCGAGACCAGGCTCGTCAGTCCGAGCAGCACGATCACGAAGCACGTCATCTCTCGCGATGCTTTACCGGAAGTTAACGGATGTTGAGTAGAGCAGCGTTAAAACAAGTCACGGGATGCACTCGAGATGCACACGGCGTCGCTGCCTCCTTTATAGCGCGAGATCCCGATCACGTAATGGGACAATCGATAGGGGACGCGAGAGAGAGAATCCAGAACTATAGCTGAGGAGATCTAGAAAAGCTGCGTGCGGTCGGCTACTTCCGTTTCGCCGAGCAAGGTAAGCCTGTTTTGTAAAGCGAGAGCTTGTCATACAACGGCTTAGGGTGATTAGCGGGGTGGGACGGAAACGGATTTTCTTTCCGTCTTTTCTTTCTTTCACGAGGCCGGGAAGACACCCGATCCCGTTTACACATTTCTCCACCTAAGTCGGCCGTGATCGAGAAGGTCGCGCCTGCGACGTGTGAAGGCCGCGGATGAAGGCGTCGGATCGCGTAATCACCGCGCTAGAGAGGGCGCGTATTGTTACTTTTTATTTTTCTCGAATTGGGTAAGAATGTCTGCGTTCACTCGCTCGCCCGCCCGCCTCCGCCCGTGGCGTGTTACTTAATCCTTCATTAGCGCGTCGAGGATCGATTCACCGATCTGTTTTCGCTCGTTGCATTATTAAGAGGCTTTCGAATGAGTATTATACTTAAATTTCAGGAGATACACTTCTTCGGCCAGTAAAAGAAAACTGAACAATTTTGAGAATGTAAAAAAATTGAGAAAATGCGCGACGTACCAAAACATTAAATTGAAAAACTCTCGAATTTATATACGCGATCTCATGAGATGGCTTAAAACACTTTTGAAATTTGCAAGATTAAAAACGTAACATTAATAGAAAATTATTTTAAAAAAAGTATATAAAAATATGTGTCGCACACATCAATAAATTGTAAATACAACATAAAAAAACTGAAGGTTATTTTTTTGCGTCGGAAATGATTAACAAGCTCTTTCGAAAACAAAGAATTAAACAGTTTGCGTCAGCGATCAACTGCGAAGCGGAAAAAAAATTGCCGACAGGCAAGCGACATTAAAAAAAAAAAAAATAAAACAAACAAACAAAAAGTGAATGTAACGAATTGCGAGCTCGATCGATCTCTTTTACGCAGGTCCGACCGTTTTAGAATCGAGGGGGAGCCCCCGATTTGGGTGAGAATGCTGGGAGAGAATCGAGAAATGCGACGCAATTTGTGGTTACGCGAACGGGAGTGAAACGTACACAAGTCAATGTCAGACCTGACGATTCTTATTGGGCGGTGCCCAATGCTGTGGACGCGTACGTCGCGATGGACACATTCTGATATCGCGTCGTTTGGCGCAAAGCCTTTTTGCCATGGGATATATAAAGCCGTCCGGGACGGGGTGGTGCAAGACAGTTAATCCCGGCACCTTGGCGAGTACTGACTCTTCGGCAGCGCTAAGGAGCTAAGGAGCAATATCCGTTCGCCATGAGGCTCTTCGTGAGTATCGATCGGAAGTCCAAGAGTGCCTAAATAAATAATTAGACATCTTGTTGATTTTTTTTTTTTCGTGCTCGAGGTTGAACATCTAAGTAGAGCGTATATAAAATTTTTTTAAGATAGCGAAAGAGTTAGTTCTGAGTTTGTTATTTTTTACATGCAATCGTAATACAGTTTTTCACGTCAGCAGTAATATAGTATTTTTTTATTTTAAAATCTCCGTTTATGGAATATATTTTATTTTTTTAAATCGTGGTACCATCTTCTCGGAAAAAAATTGTTTTAGATATTGAAATATATGAAATGTACAAAATATTATACTAAATATCTGTGCGCGTTTCATTGCGTCGATACGTAGAACGTACATTTCCGCAATCGCGCTACTCTTTTGCAGATCGTTTTCTCTGCCGTTCTGGCATGCGCGTTCGCTCAGCCGCTGGTGATCTACTCGAAATTGGTACCCGCGGCTCCGCTCGGCCCGGACGGTCGAGTGGTGGACACTCCGGAAGTTGCGTTGGCCAAGGCCGAACATGCGGCCGCTCACATCAACGAGAAGATCACTCTGGCTCAGGAAGCCGCCCGATCGGCCGATTATTCGCACGTGATCGCCTACGCGGCGCCAGCCGCCGTGATCGGCAAGACGCTGGTGCAACCGATCGCGACAAACTTAATCCCCGGCGCACCGATCGGTCCTGACGGTCGCGTGATCGACACGCCGGAGGTAGCACTCGCCAAGGCGGAACATGCGGCGGCTCACATCAACGACAGGATCGACCACGAAGCCGCGAAACTGGTCTCCCAACCGGTCGTCGTCTTCAACCACGAAGCGCCACTTCTTCAATACTATCTTCATTAACTTTGCATCTTTATTGATCAATATTTGTATTAAAATCCTGCCTTTTATGTCGAATTGTAAATAAATCAAAGCAATCTTGTACCTCTGAGCGTGATTCTTCTCAAACATTTCGTTTCGCCTCCGAGCAGAAAATTGGACAAAGAAGTTAGTGTATACTTTACGCAATAATTGAAGTTTGACAGAATTTACACACACGCGAACATTTTTTAACTTTCTCCTCAAATCGGATTCCCTAGTCGCGAAGAGAGAGAAACTTGTATCGTCCCAGAGGAAACGCAACGTAGTTTGCAATGAGTGCGAGAGGATTGCGCTCTGTCAGGCGTGCGTCTCGTAAGCGTATATTTGCGTCACACAATGCGAAACTTCGCAATCGTTCGAATCATTTTGAAACTAACTACGAAACTTCTACAATTTAGACAAATAGAATCATTAATTGTGAAAATTATTATCGCTCACGAAAAAAAAGTATTTGCAAGAGAAATTAGTTACTATTTGACCGGCAAGAAAAATTTGTTATTGAGATTTTCGTTTTGTTGACGAAACAAACGAATCAGTAGACTCAACAATTTTTCTGCCGGTCACGTGATGACTGGCAAAACTTTTTCCGCGCTCGATTTTCGAGATTCATCATTTGAATTGTCAAATTTCTCAACACGTGATACAATGAAATTTCCGTAACTTGGAGCGAATGAGACTTGTTCTAAAAAATTCGAAAAATTATTTTCTTCTTCCAGTCTAGCGACCGACTAGCAAGAGACAAAAAATATTTCTCTTTCTCTTAGGGATAGACATTCTATGATTTGCGCAGTCTCTCAAGATCGGGGAAACGTCATCGGTGGAAGAATCTTTTGAAGATTTATTATAAAAGAGAAGTCGAAATTGTGATGCTCGAAATTACCGGAGTTCTGCGACTGTGTGGTTGACAACGTTACATCAAACACTTTCTCTGACATCGCGCATAAGTTACACGTAATCTTCTCGTCAATAATAACGACATATGATCCGCTAACAATGGCACGCTTGTTGCGCACAATTTTCGATCGTTTCTCGGATGGCTGATCATTTGGGTCAAACTTGACGTTCGATTTTCTGCGTAACGTCTTGGCGCGCGCTCGACGACGATCTGTTTTTTCGCGAGGCACTGTCGAAAAAAACAGATCGTCGCCGCGCTCGCTTTCTCGCATGTTACACACGCGCGCGATTACATACGCATCGAGAATATTTCGCTACATTTTCACCGAGTCGCGCAATTGTCCTAATCCCGGGTAACAGAGAAAAAGTGTAACAGAGAAAAACATCGTTGTGCACGGGGGGAACCACTTTTCGTATCTTGCGACGGGATCGCGAGGATAACGTTGACATTGAGCGGCCGCGGTGCCATATATCGTACTGTCACTTTCGCACTTTTATTCGAGCGTGTGGCCGAGATAGATCATTCGTCGATCTGATCGAGCGAGAGATTGGTGTGCGCTGAGATTGATAAAATGCGAAACTAACGGCGAGAGGGGGCCGTTAATAAGCGAAAGAAGGCGAGATAGAAGAAGGCGCGGTCGCGCACCACGATGACAATAACATGTCACCTTGCTTGTCCACATTTATCGGACTTGCACTTTGCAGCGTGGGTTTTCTATACCGCGCGCGCGCGCGCGGTGTCAAAGGTGTTTTTCGCGCGCGACACACCTCTCGTATCCGTTTTGAAATATATGTGTAGCACATATCTCATATAGAAGACAAATAATCTCATAAAAGTGAAATTTATTTTCTCATAAGAGCGTTTTAAATCGTACGTTAAAGTGTCATTAGACGCGCACCGAGCGTCCCTCAGCGTTTGATTCCCGCGAGCTTTGACTCGCAATTGATTGAAAAAAAAAAAAAAAAAAAAAAATGTAGTCGTAATTACGAACTCTTCCGCAAGCAACGCTCGCAAACTTCGCACGACATTTGTCACGACGACGGGAACACACGCGCGGATGCGAGAAAATTGATATAATTACGGCAATTGTGCCACACAATTTCGCCGCAAGATCCGCGCAAACGTAATGCGAGCGATGCGCTTTGTTTTGCGGGAATGCGTTCCCGGTGTGTGCAACGCCTCGTCCTTCGGCTACGGAGTCCTTCGTTCTTTGCTCAGGGCTGGCAAAGTCGTTTAGTATCGATACGCGTCTTTGTGTGTGTGTGCGTGTGCGTGTGCGCGTGCTGTTTCTCAACGCCAAGGTTCGTTCTATCGGTGACACGATTTAACCAGGATTGCTCGAGCTTGTGGTGAGAAATAGATGCTTCTTTGTTCGACGATAAGAATATCTGATCAACGTGCCCGGAAACACGACAGGAAGCAATAACTCACAATCTTACTGAATTCGCTTAAAAAAACTACAAAATCTTAAACTTTCATAAATCTTAGAATTTATGAATCGTAATGACGCGCCAACATGTTTCAGCTTTGATTAAACAAAAAGAAGTCGATTAAGGTCAATCGAAACTTTAATTGAAATGCAATCGAGCGCATTAATTTGGCCGACGTCGAGCTTCCGGTCACGAATAAATACAGAAACTTGTGTTTTAAATGTCAAGGCCGCTACTAAGAGCAAGAAAGGGAAAGAGAGTGAGAGAGAGACTCGAAGAGAGCCCTCCCTTTTCCGATCGGCGATTGAACTTCCCGGACCGCACCGGGTTAGCCGATCACCTCTACGGCTCCCTCCAGGTTGTCGGCGATCGGCCCACGCAGGGCGGGAGGGGGCGGACGAACGCGACTATAAATGATACTGTGCGGCCGTTCTCCAGGAACACAAAACGCCGAACCGACGGCCGGCCCGAGTCCCTTCGTTCCTGGAGCGAGTACTGACAGGCAGCAGCGCTCTTCTTTTTATCGGGAAGAAGGTGTGGGAACTCTCGGCGGAGTAGATAGACGCGCGCCCCAGAACGTCATGAGAGGTCTGGTGAGTGATCCCGAAACAAAGGAAAGTGAAAGGTCGACCGAAATGCCGATTCGCGCAACGATCGATAAGTGATGGGCCGATCGATCGACACGCGCGGGAAACTCATTAATGATGACTTAACTAATCGGCCCTTTTTGTATACTTCTCAAGAAACTAACGCGTATAACTAAAATATATTATTTTGCAAATCTCGTGTTGTTAATGTATTACATTTTTATATTGTTTTTCTTTGTCTTTTAGATTTTTCTGTTCGCCACGGCGGTGACATGTCGAGCCGCGTACGTCGGTTCGTCCGCGTACGGCAATCCCGTGATTCATTCTCAACCCCAACCGAGTCACGCGCCGCCGGCCCCGGTCGGCGAAGACGGAAACGTGATTGACACGCCGGAAGTGGCGCAAGCAAAGGCCGCGCACTTCGCCGAATTCGCGAGAGCCGCCGCACGAGCGGCTCAAAATGAGAAACAGCACTCTTCTGTTTACAATCCGCAAATTTCGTCGCCAGCTTACAGCTACCAGGCCGTTCAACCGACCGCGGTGCCCTTCTTGAGACAAGCCAACTATCAGCAACCGACTCCGATTTATCAGACGCCCAATCACGTGCAAGCGCCCGTTTACACCCCCGTGCATTATCAGCAACCCCAGCAGCAGTTCGACGCCCGGGCCAACTTTGTGGGTCAGAAGAGCTACACGCTGCCCGCGAAACCCACCGCTTTTGTGCCGGCGCCACTGGCCGAAGACGGAACAGTCGTCGACACACCGGAAGTGGCGGCCCTGAAAGCTGCCAGACTGGCGGAACTCGCCGAGGCTGAGGCCCGGGCTTACAAGCACGCGAACGCTCATCCGGAGGAGGACCAGGGTCAAGGTGAGTCAAGCGGAGCGGAGAAGAATCGATTCTCGCGTTTACTGCCGAGCGTGAGCGTGGGCCGCGTGGAAGACGCGGAACTTCGAGGTTGACGTAGGGCGTGGACGGAAGCAGGCATTGGCGTATCCACGAGGCGGATAAGAAAATACAAATGTACTTTTTGAAATTTCAAATTTTTTGTTTGAAATTCGATACTGTTTTTTACATTAAACAAACTTTTTAGAAAATTAGCGCAAGATTGTTTTCTTCAAGTTGTAATTTTTCATTTTCGTTGTTTTTCGTATGTTTTTCTAATACTTTACTCAATTTTTATTTTTTTCAGTATATTCGGGATCGCCAGCCGGTCCCGCTCCCACCAGTCTGGGACATTATGGGTCTTCCCGAGCGTTCCCGGGAACCTCCTATCCCGGAACTCAGCCCTACGCCGCGCAGCAAGCGTTCAATCCGGCCTTCGGTTATCAACCTCAGCAGTATCAATCTCAGCATCTGATAAGAAACTACTGATCCCGGATGGATCGATACTTTGTTGTTCCGAAACTTGTACATAATCTAGACGAATAAATTGTGTATTTCTTTTTCTACGCGAATTCATATAGTTCATTCACGATGCTTGCGTCATGTGTACTCTCTTTGTTTTAAACGTCCGATTGTGATATGTACAAAGACTGCTGGAAAAATATCCGATTATCTGACAAATCCGAAGTTTTTCTGTTCCCTCAGCTCCGTTTTCTCAATTTTTTTCTCTCTTTTGAGAGAGATGAAATATCACTCATCTCTCACGCACACTTGCATATGTACACAATCATTTAATTAAATTATATATATATATATGCAATTCTACATTTGTTCGTCCAAACAAACATATGGAATGAATTAATTATTATCATTGTATATTTAGGAAGCATTATGTAAACTCGGTAATTTGCATGCATTAATAATTACAAAATAATACCGCGCAATAATTCATCGTCACGCGACGTTAAATAATTTATTATGTTGAAAATAAAAAAAATGTTCGCTCAATCCTTAATCAATCTTGATTAATTGACAAGTGCGTTGTGATTTGAACACAAATTAAAACGTTCCTCCCGTACATTGTGAATAATAAATTTGATTCAAAGACAAATTTTAATGGAAATTGTTGTTTCGACACGTGCGCAAACGAAAAACAGAAGAAGAGAACGTCGCGAGAGATGCAAGATTTGTCGCGTAAAACAGTCACGGCGGTTTGCATTACGCAACTTCGTGTCTTAATTCAGATAAAAATCGAAAGAAGGCAAGAAGGAGAGCGATTATATCGCATCATCGCGTGGGATTAGGAAAGTTTTGCGTTTTGCGGTGCAACTGCGCTGCTGCGGAACAAAAACGGAAAAACGTAACGATCGTCTCGTACGATTGCGGACCTCACGCAATTTTACGCAAGCAAGATCGTGCGGTTTTCGTACGGACGAAAGAAACGGGAACGTTCGATTATTGCAGTAATCTCGACTCTAATCCGATACTCGCCCGATTCTGAAAAAGAATTTACCTGGCACCTGTCAAAAAAAACGCAACACGTTTTGTTACGTGTGCAATATTTATAATCGTCGCGTTTTCTCATCGCGATTTACATCTGGGAACGAAAGAAACACGGTGTAAAATTCTATTGAAACATAGTCATCCCCGCGCGTTACAATTGTGGATGTTGCCACATAGGTCAGCGGTTGTGCGAAAGACGTGAGAAGGAACGAATGAGAGAGAGCGGAGTAATAGGTTTGCGTTCCTCGAGAATAAACTCGAGCAACATCGTGATTCGACATACCTCGCGACGAAAAGGTCAGGAATCGTAAACTCTTGTTCGCGAGAAGTATATAATCCGCGAAAAAATCCCGGGTAAAAGAAAACCTGAAACCAATTAGCAAATCTTATAAATTACGCTCGCGTGCGATAAATAAACTCCGAGAGTAAAACTCTGTAATAAAAAGTTGACAAAGGAAAGAGAGAGAGAGAGAGTGAGAGAAAGAGACAAGTTTGCTAAATGCGATCCAGTTTCTTTCTTAAGAAACCTTCGATTTTATTCATGACGGAAATCGCAGCCTCGTCGCCCACAAACGAAAAATACACCGCGTTGCATCGCTAAACTCGACCTCGATGCGTAATATCGTCTTTAGACGCGCGAGAATCGTGCGATAATAATAAGTGCGTCGTACGCCTACTTGAGGAAATCGAGCAAAAAATTCCGCGAGGAAGGATCTCGATGAATCCTCTCGCCGTGGAAGAGATATATATCGCAGCTATGTCGGATCGCGGTTTAACTCTCGTTACGTGTTCCGCAGGGATTATGTATTACGAGACCCCGTTTTGCGCGATGATTTGCGCAACGATAGCGGGCAAGTCGGCCGAGCTCTTCTGTCTCACGTTACCGTACGTGATCGGCGTCGATTTGTCTTAGGAACGAGGGCAAGATCAAATAATCATCTCCCTCGCGCTGCTCCACTGACCTAAAATCGGAGGACCGATCTATTCGATATCATCTCGTCGGCGAAAGGAGCGGCGGAACACAACGGGACGAAATATGTTCAATACATTCCCTGGAAGCTGGTTACAATAAATGATCTAGTAGATGGCGATGATTTTAAGAAGAAATTGTACAATGTATACGAAACAACGAATTTTTCGAGAAAACTTAATAAATTAGGCAAAGCTTGTGATGCAATTTGAATGAACGATTTCAAAAGAGAAGCTAGCGAAAATCAGGGAAAACTAAAAGACATTTTGACAAAAGAAAGTCAATATTTCCAACTTCGAATCGAAGAATCTGAGGTCTTAATTTTATCCGACTCGGAGAGCGGAGATGGGGTAACAAAGCACGACTGGGCGATAGGAAGAGGACCACCTTGAAGGGATTACCGGATAATCTACGATTCAGGCCGGTCGTCCGTGAATCGAACGTGTTTTACAACCGCAGAAAGATTCGATCGGAGCAGCACGTTGCGCTGAGTGGGGTTGTTGCGTAAAAAAACAAAAAAAACAAAAACTACTGCGCAAAATACTCAGAAAAAATGAAGAACAATTTACAATGTGATTCCGCGATACCAAAACGTTCTATGTATTTGATTCGAGAGAAAAATCGCGCGTAAAATATATTAAAATCGTATTCGCAAATGTCGCGCACGACATTAGAAATAAATATTGAATTTTTTTGCTACGGCTAACCGCGATGACAGTCTCGTGGGGTGGCATACGATCCTGTATAAAAGCTTCGATCTGTTGATGACCGACGCACTCAGAAACGAGAAGATCAACTTCACACGCAGGTGATAATTGCGTCGTAATCATGAGATTACTCGTAAGTGTACAATGAGAAACAAAATTTTGTTTCTTGTTTTTAATAAAATAATACGCGTTTACAACGCGATTTTATTTATCCGCGCGTTTTTGTGTCAAATAATCAAGAGAATTTAAATAATCTCTCTCAGATAGTTCTGACCGCGACGAGCCTGTTGATCGGCACAACGGAGCAGTCGATATCGCTGTACGAGCATCATGGACCGTGGGCGCCGATTTCCAGCGACGGTACGGTCGTGGACACGCCCGAGGTCGTCCAAGCCAGAGCCGCGCATTTAGCCGCGCGCGCTGCCGCAATAGCCAGATTGACGAAAGCCCGGATCGAGCTGTCACCCGTGACGGATGCAACGGCGGAAGTGCCGTCGGAAACGACAAGTCAGACAATCACAAGTGCACCCGCAACGGAACAAACCGCCGATGATGATCAGAGGTCGATGGCACCCCTGGGACAGGACGGACTCGTCGTTGATACGTCAGAGGTGAGGAGATGACAATGCGATGCGATTTTTCGCATCGCGTCGAATCAATTGTTTGTCACGGCGAAAGAATATAAATAATTCAAAACCATAGCACGTCGCGGTGGTGTTTGTGCGTTGCGGAGAAAAAAAATCTCGAATTAATTTGAATTAATTTTTGACAACAAAAAATTCATCAGCTTCCGATGAAAAACATTACGTAATTGGATCGCGACGCGCCAACCGATCTAGCTCGATTAATGAATATGAACGATCAATTTCCAAGGTTGCCGCAGCCAAGGCCAAACATCTCGCGATACGCGCACGCATCGAGGCGGAATCCGCGGTCCCGGAATTCAACGCCTACGGACACGAAGAGAATCTGCTCTACTTGCCGCCGATCCGCGTAGTGTCGCCCATCGTCTATCGGGGACCGTCGGCCCCGCTGGGCCCGGACGGACAAGTCGTTGACACGCCGGAAGTGGCGGTGGCGCGTGCGGCCCACTTGAAGGCCCACGCGCGCGCGGTTGCGCTTACAACCGGTTATGATATCTACTGTTAATTCGATCTCTCGTTATAATTGTACATTACACTTCTGTATTTAATAACCAATTTCTCGATCGATCAAAGTCAAATCGCGATTTTGATTTGAGAAAAAATGTTAAGGGAAGTTTGTCGGAAAAATCCGACAAACTTGCCACTACTCCGACACTCTTCAAATCTAATGCCGGATTTGTTGTGATAATATTGTAATTTTTATTTGTCGATGATATTGTAAAAGAATAATTAAAAATTGTGGAATCCAAGAATTATATATACGAATCGATTCTTAAATACCCTGAGATATCTGATTGAGAGGAAACCAGTTTCTGACTTCTTTCTTGACGCAGACAATAAACTAAGGCAGTTATTGTCCTGCGCGATCCTAGACAACTCGTGCCACCAGCAAGGACGTGATTAATCGTGCCTGACGAAGAATGCCGCAACGGAGTTCAGCAGATTACGATCTCCCGTGTCTCGGAAGCCGAAGCTTAAATAACGGTATATACACGCGACGTGCGAGTGACAATAACGTAATGAATGGTTGCGAATGAGTGCAATAAACTCATTTCACCGTGAAAGGTCTTTAAGAATCGGAACATTTTCGCATTGCGCTGACATTGTTCTCATGTAAATGTTCGCGTGCTTCCACGTTTCCAATGTGCGAGTTTCGAAACTTGAATTTTTTTCTCGCCTCGACGATGTTCGAAACCAAAAACACGTAGATCAAAGGTTGCTGGATGGGCAGTGTAGAATGTTTTCTCCACGCGCTCTGTCTCATATACACATATATATATATATTTTTTTTTTTTTTTCACACCGGATACAAGTACTCGCGCGTGATAGCGGGGAATGCGTTAAAACGCAGCGTACAGAGAAATACAGGCGGGAAGAGATTATATTGAGGTGGAAGACGCATCGACGAAGCACCATTAGTTCGAACTTGCATGTGTGTGTGTGTTTGTATGCATGTAAATGTTGTGTTTACGTGTACGTATATATTGATCGGAGGTAGTTAACGATAGTCTTCGAATTCTGAGGTAGCTGAAAGGGAAGTTCGGGATGTTTCGTAAACCGGATCGACCGATTTTCGAGAGTCGAACGGGCGAAAGTGTATGCATGTCGGGGGGATCGGTTTGATCCGGCCGGGTGTTTTCCTTGCACGTGTGCTCTCTAACGAATTATATTGCGCTTCTAATAATAATTGCCAGCTGGACCGTCCCAGGCGGGATTGTAGGCGCCATTATTCCAGGACGGATTGTAGGCGCCGGCGGCAACTGGATCAGCTGGACCGGCCGGCACGCGACGCGCTTCCGTATTGTACAGAGAGAAATGGACGGCCTTGGCTTGCTGAACTTCGGGTGTGTCGACTACGCGACCGTCCGGACCCAACGGGGCCGGTGGTCCGCTGTAGAAAAAAATAATAACAAAAAAAACTTTATTAAAAGTGAAATCTCGTAATAAAAGCCGGGAGAGATTCTCCAGAAAACTCCAGTTTTTAAATCCAGATGCTGATAAACAGGGAGGATAAAACGGGAAGGTGGAAACGAAACGTTCGAAATACCTGTAATGCGGAATGTAGTTTCCAGAAGCGTAAGAAGAGCCACTGGGTCCGGCGTAGGCCGGTCCCGGACCTCTCGGCGCGCGTGCGTTAGCTTCCGCGAGGGCGCTCAAATGAGCGGCTTTCAGTTGCGCAACTTCTGGTGTGTCGACCACGCGACCATCGGGACCCAATGGAGCTGGGGACGCATGAGGCCCGTACCACTGGGGAGACGCCAGTGCGGCGCTCAACAGTACGAAGAAGATCTGCAACATAATTCACATCAAAGCCAAATTCTGCGCATCAGCAAGAAGATCAACAGGATTTAACAATTAATCGTTCATCAAAATATTGAAAAATTTTGTGTTTTATTTTAAATCACAAAGAGAGAGAGCAACAAAAAATTAAGCAGAGATGAGTTGCACTCTTCCAATGCAACAGAAAATTTTCTTTTTCTCAATATTAAAGATACGAGAAAAATTATGTCACTTCACATCCCTTTCCTCGAACTGTTACTCACAAAGTGTCCGATCATCGCGGCGAGTACTTCTGCGAAGGTATCCTGGTGCCCGGCTCTCGACACTGTGCTCGCGGCTAACGATACGTGCGTTAGATCCGCATTACGACTGCTACCCAGATGCATGGTGCAATTTATAGGGGGTACGGTCGGGCGTGTTGCGCCCCACCTGATCGCGCGCGACACTCGCGGGGTACAACCACACCCAGGGAAATGATCTGCTTAAAGCGTCGTGCCATGCCCTGTAACATTTGCGGCACGCGTTAACAATGTGACACACACACACACGCACATATGCAACTTGTCTTTTTCTCTCCTCGTCTCGTAACCTCGCCAATAAAAATGCGCCTCCGAGCTATGCAGTTATGCGCGCCATCCGCGGTCATCTACATCTCTGGCTTTCGCCAAAGCGATTCGAATTGCTGCCGTGAGGCAACGAGAGGCTCGTTAGAGATTTTCTCAATCAACCGAGGCGCGAAAAATTATCTCGCTTGTTTTTGACAAATTTGACATATCGCGAAGAACAATTGTAACGATGTCGCAATTCGCGAATAAAATTTAGATTAAAAAATGTCTTTATTACATATAAAAAGACGATATATATATATATATATGTATTAACATACACAGGGACAAACATTCTGCGCAAGATCAATTAGCGATTTTTCACATTTTTGCGACGTTTATGTTTTATAAGCCGCGATCGCGCGCAACGATCGAACAACACCCACCACGCCGCGGTGTTTACTGGATTATTTATCCGCACGCGTGTCGAATTAATCACAATAGTATGTCACGGAACGACGATAACAATAGTTGTTGAATTACTAAAACGGTGTCGCAACTGGTTCATCGATCGATCGAGCTCTGTTCGTGCGATCGATCTGAAAGGAAATTGCGTGTTTGTCACCAACGCAATTCCAACGCGAGTTTGGGCGAGTTTAGTCGAGCTTGACGTGGTGTCAGTCAATTGCAATTGATACGCACGCGACTGATCGACAGCTGAACTCTCGCCTTTGTCGTGCAATTAATCTTAACAGATCTATTCTGCACTTTGCTGCACAATATTCGGCAATACGTAAGAAACACCCCTCTTAAAATTATCTAATAAAATTAATTAATTGTTTATGTGTCTTTATATATTAATTAAATATATAAACACTAAAATATCTTTAAAAAATGTCGGTTTCTCGCATAAATTATTTAACTTTTTGTATATTAATATATTGAATGTTTCTTAAAAAAAAGGGAAATTTCACACAAAATAAATATGTATACTGTTTATTTATAAATTACATTTGCCATTTGTTAATGTTAGTATAATTATCTATAGTGTGTATGTATACGACACACTTTTTTATATTTTTCCACACAAAATACGTGTTATATATCAACACAAGAATCTATCAAAAAGCCTATCACTTGAATTAAACGATCTCTCATTTATTATGTCGACAGAAGATTCACCACTTGGCGTGCGAGTAAGGATCGAAATGCGACAGATGAGCGACTTTCGAGATCTCCTCGGCGTGGGCGGCCAAATGCGCGGCCTTGGCGTGAGCCACTTCCGGCGTATCCACCACTCGTCCGTCGTGGCCGAGCGGCGCCGGTGGTCCGTGATAAGCGCCGTGATATCCGACGTAATTGTCGCCATCGCTCTCGTCCCCGAAATATCCGCCGCTATGATGCGCCGCTTTGGCGGCCTCCGCGGCGTACGCTGCCAAATGCGCTTGCTTGGCGTGCGCCACTTCCGGCGTGTCGACCACTCGACCGTCGTGTGCAAGCGGGGCTGGCGATCCGTGATAATAACCGGCTTGCGTCCCGTATGTCTGATGATAAGCCGCGTACGAGGGCAAAGCCAGCGCCGACAGCGAAAGACACGATAAGACGATCTAGAAGGATATTGTTTGACGAGAAGCTTGATCAGATCGCGAGCTGAATTCACTGATATTAATTGTGCGGAGATAACAGAGATAAAATTAATTATCTTTGTTACAAACGCAATTAATTTCTTTCTCTCTCGCACGCACACTTATAGCTAAATTATTAAATGTAATTTAAATAATATAATATATATTCATGTTTTTAATTGTGATTATTAGTATACGTACAGGTTTTAATAACTTTAGCGAAAGCGATTTTCCACTAATAAAACGATCACAATAACGTCAACAAAAAATTGCGAGGTTCGTAATGCGAAAAAGAGAGCAGCAGAAATAATCAAATACTCACCAGGGACTTCATGCTTGCGTGCATCTATTCGGGATCTAAGCGAATCTCTGTCCGTTCGATCGGAACAGGTAGACCTTATATAGCCGGCGAACAATACGTTGCCTATCTCGTTTGTATTAAATAGCGTAAACGAAACGTGGACACGGGCCCGGCTTGATTTTCACATAATGGGAACGCGCGAGAGGGGTCGGTTTTTCTGTTTGGCAACGAGCGAGAGACAAAAGCGAGAGATGGAGATACACGTCGAGGGAAGATTGTGGTCCCGCTATTCGATACTGGAAAAAGATCGTGCTATCACGGTGTAACGTAAAAAGACAAGATGGAAGAATGAGAGAGTGAAACAGATAGAGCGATTGGAATGTCAGTAAGAGCAAAATTATGATTGCATCAACGACGAAGCGAAAACGCAAACACTCGATCCAACACGAGCGATGTTGTACAATTCTCGCTCGCACAAAAAAAGTGTCAGCGACGTGAAAACATTTTGATCGGGATCGATCCCGATTTGCTGACAAATCGATCCGAAGAAAGACTCAAGGTTGGAGTTGACAATAATGCATCGAGGAAGAATACTAAAAAAACTCGTAAAAAAAACATTTAATTATACGTAAGTTATATAAACCATCTGTAGTGTTTTTCAAATTTAATTTTAATCCTAGCATTAAAACATTAAATTTTATCGATAATCTTGTAAAACTATCTTGACACATATTTTTTCAGAAGAAAGATCAAAGGTAAATTCGCTCGACATTCGTTCGTTTTGTTTTTACAAAATAAGCTTGTGTGTAATAACCGTAATAATCTGCGGTTATTATCTCGAATCAAGAGCTACCGAAAGTTCCGTCACGTAGATACCATATCTAATTGCTTAATGAAAGTTATTGTGCGATCTACTGCGCGAGAGAAGAATAAAGGTTATTGGATAATTAAATATATTTAATCTAATTCTTCTCTCTCTTCTTATTTGTGAGTTTTTTTTTTTCAAATGATCGGCAATTGATTATAAATAAATAATCAACTGCGTTATTCTACACACCACGTTGCAACAGCGCGATGAAACAAACTGTTGTGAAAAATGTGCATCTCAATTTTATTTCGCAAAAATTGTGCGAAGCTTAGCTGAACGGTATTTGCGATCGGGGGAAGGGACATTATTAGGTAAGATAAATCGTCGATTGTATATAAACCGAGCATTTCACGCTCGATGCTTATAAAACTGTCAATACTCCATTTAGGAATAGAGGCAACGATGAAGTCTCTGGTAAGCGATCCTCTCTCGAAGTGATTGTTTCATTTTTCAACAGATTACGTGAGAAAAAAAAACAAAAAAGCAATATTTTTAATATAAAACAGTAATCAATTCGTGCTATCTGCAGATTATCTTGATCGCCATCGTTGCCGTAACTTCGGCCGCACCGACGCATTATCAGTATCACGGACCACCCGCGCCCATAGGCCACGATGGAAGAGTAATGGATACGCCGGAAGTGGCGCACGCCAAAGCGGTGCATCTCGCCGCAATGGCGGAAGCTGCCGCGAAAATTCCGCACACCGTATTTCCCTACACGGAAGATCGGAATTATCACGGATATTCGGAGCCCGTGTCGGTCGGTCACCAGATGTATCACAGCGGACACGGATATCACGGACCGCTCGCTCCGTTAGATCACGAAGTAACAATTAAAAGAGTTCATTACGCAACAACGATCTAATTTTTTGTTCGGGAAACTTATATAAATTGTTTTCCAAGTCGCGTTAAATTTACAAATAAAAAGGAGATTAACTTTCTTTGCAATTTTTACGTAATTCGATCTTCTGGAGTTTGCGAAAAAAGTAATATTGTTCTTTAAAGTAATTAAGTATCATTTGATAAAATAATTAATTTAATATCACAATTTTTATCTCGTTCTGGAGGAAGTGAGAAAAATGTTTTTCTCTCCAATTACAGGGTCGCGTGGTGGACACGCCGGAAGTGGCCCGAGCGAAAGCCGCGCATTTGGCGACTCACAACTACGTAGCCTCCTCCTCGGCACCTGTCGCGCACACCGAAGATCACTCGCGGATTTACGATGCGCCGGTTTACAGCCGCGGCTCGTATCACGGCTCTGTGGCACCCTTGTCTCACGACGGCAGAGTGATTAACACTCCCGAAGTGGCGCAAGCCAAACAAGCACATCTTGCAGCTTACGCCGCTGCACTTCACGGTTACAATAATTATTAACGTTTATTTCAATCTCTCTCTTTTTTTAATTACATAATACTGTAACAAAACGCACCGAAACTAAATTTAGCGGAATTATTAGAGACAATGTTGTTATGCACGTTGATATTGCGTAGAGAGAACGTACATTTCTCATCTTTGCATCGATTTCATAATGCATGATGACGTGTATCGAGTTTCGCGATGCACCGTAAATCAATCGCGCGCCTCCAGTCATAAATTTTAGATGGAAACTAGACGGAACAAGATTCATACATCAGTTGCGCGCTCGCTTCATCTAAGACTCTCGTCGTAGCTCGTAAGAAATACAAAATATTTTATTGTTATAAAAAATCTCTTATTTTTGTAACGTGTTTTAGTGTTTCTTTTATATTGTCAGTTTGAATAATTCTTTAGCACAAAATAAAAAAAAGAAATCAATAAAAGTAATTAAACCTATCACAACACAAAATGTGTCACATCCTCGTTTGCGTGTCAAATGCTCTCAATTCTTATCGTCGAGATAAAACTTTTGAATACATTGGACGCGTGTGATGCAATATTCTAAAACGATATAAAATATCGACGCACTTCGCGTGCAATGTTTTCAATAACGTTAGAAAGAAGGGCGTGATTTAAGAGAGATCCTGCAGTGTTGAGCAATAACGTGTTATAAATAATCGGTGCGATTGTTCAGAATCGATATGTGCAACAGGCATGTGCCTGTCAACATCCGCCTGCGACCTCGGCACGTTCGCCACATATATATCTCGTCGCCTTTTTTTGCGCCCGCGAACGAATCCAAAGAATCGATTCGATGTATCGCTCGACTGCGTTCCGAATATTTGCACGAATTTGCGGGCGAATTTAATTTAATTCAAGGCTCGAATTTCGCAGAGATTGTGTTTCCAGGTAAGTCGATCTCTTTCGATGTGTTCTCGAAAAGTTCTCGGATCTACATTTCACACGACGTCATTTGTCCTCTTAATTACAATTCGTACATATTTAATTTGTATTAATTATAATTTGTAAAAACCTAATTAAAATGTGGTTACGACTCGTTTCTTTTTGTTTTATTCTTTTGTCAATTAGAGAATGAGCTCCGTTGCAAAATGATGCAACTTTCCATATATGTGAAATTCAACATTCCGTCTAATTGCACGCACTTTTTTAATTACTTATAACACGAAAATATCAACGTTCGCCTAACAACGTTACGATCATCTCCCGGTACGATCTTCCATCTACGTGCGATCGGTATTTGGCGGATCGCCAGAGCGAGAGATCGACGCGCGCTTCGGCCTACACACACGTTCAAATACGCTTGAAGGAAAGCGCCAGTTAATTGCGAACGTCGCGTAATGGGCATTTAAGATATCTGCTCGATCACGGTTCGTATGCGCGTTTATGCTAATAGACAATAGGGTCATCGGGCGTGTCCGAGATTATCTCGAATTCCGAGGAAAAGAGCTTTTGTTCCCCAGAGATCGTTGCACGATCCACGAGCGTTATTAAAACGCCCACGTAGATACGGGGAAAATTTCTCATCTAATTTTGTTTTTTTTGCTTGATCGCGATAAAAATGAACAAAAATAATATTGCATTCGCGTTTTTTCCACATATCGTCAAACATATCGCGGATATTTTAGTTTTCTTTCTCTCTTTCGTCGGGATATTCGAAATAAAAATATTAAAAGCAAAACGCGTGTCTGTGACGTATTCGAAGATGTCAGAATGATTTAATTAATAAATTAAGTTTAGTTTAATTAATAAATTAAGAAGTCATCTCGCTTGTGTAAATGCAAATTATAAAGGTTAACGACTTGCCATTATGTGCAAATGCAATAGTAACTCGAGCATTGCTCAATGATGTTACGCAGTTGCGTGTACACTGATATAACGATGCAATGTTCGCGCGCGCGAGAAGGTGTTGCGATTTGTCATAATTTTCTTTTAAAATGAATGCGAGTCGAATAAATCGCTGAAGACGATTAAAAGCAACGTATATCTTTCAAATTGTGTTAAATCTTCCGAGACATTAAAATTGTCTCTTTTCTTCCTGAAATATTTAAAAAACTATTTAAGTACAGACACAACGGAGTTTTAGTAAAAATTAAGGTATAGATTTGATTTTTATAAAAAATATCCTTGCTTCCAAAGTGAATAAAATATTTCTTATGTTTCTTTCACACACATACACACACACACAGATGCAAAAAATTACGCGTCCTGAATATCGATTTTAAAACGTTGTAAAGAGGGTTTTATTAGGAAGTAAGACCTTGCAATGGAATTTACAACATCGAGCAAAAAAGACACACCGCTTTTTGATCGAGTTCGTCAAAACTGAGAGAGTCGCGATCCACCCGTCCATTAGCAATTCGTTCAGGAAAAATCTTTTGATCTCGAGGACGTGTGGTCGACCTTCGTTTTGATTATGATCTCTCTCTTTCTCGTCGTCGCGCTCCATACATTTCAAATGCCTCTTGTCCCTTTCCCATCCAGCTGTACTTTGATATCGGCAAGGACGGACGTTGATCGGTCCTTTCTCAGATCATCAGAAAGAGATACGATAACGTGTTCATAAAAAATCTCCTTAATTAATTTGATATGCAACTTTGTCATTTTTCTTTTGTAGATGAAACACTTGTATTTTGTTTTTTTTTTTTTTTGTTTTTGTTACAAGCTTTGTTAATTTTACTAAATTATTTTATCATGTATATTTTTCTCACTAATTTAAATTTTTTAATATTCAATTTTTTTAAACGCGCGCGCGCGCGCGCGTATTGAATTTGCATAAAACATTGTCACACTCTCATCGGTTCAATCTCACGCTGCATAAGCGTCCATATATGTACGTGAAAAAAATGCTCACGCACATTGTGCGTGAAAGACACGCTCATTAACTATCATTTTCGCGGTAATAAACGAGCGCTTTACGGCTCGAGTCACCTTCTACGCGATCGCTCCGTGGCAAAAACTAATTGATCCTTCGTTCGACGAACCGCACCAGACTTCCTGGTAGGTCTTCGTTAGGCCCTTGGTATCGGCGGTTTCTCTTGATGATGATGATGATGATGATGAGAGTAAAAGAGAATTGGCTACGGAGAAGTCACCGGCGATACAAAACTGACCTCGACGATGCGTCTGCAAACCGAGAGGAGTATTCCCTCCGGCCATATTCAGACGGTGGCAGAGCCTCATTAACGTAATGTCAATGTCAGCGCAGTTTGAGGTGTAACACTTGCTGCAGGGTGTGGTCCCCTCCTACGGGTCGACGACTCCCTACCCAGGATTCACATATATAAAAGGGGATCCGCGTCTCGACGTGGTACGACATAGCAGTCCATATCCCTAGGGCGAGTACTGGTGATCATTCCAGCAGCGCTTGACCACGTTGCGATAAGACATGCAGACTCTCGTGAGTATCATTGACCGGCGCAGGACTTCCGAAAGCAAGTCTTGCGAATTCGTAAAATCTTCAATTATTTGATTTGCTATCTATAATTAAAGCGAATTTATTTTTTCTCGTTCTATAAGAAAATTTTAATTTCTACAATTGTCTTCGCGATGGACGAGATTTGCTTTAAAGATATGAAAATCGCAAGCGCATCTGTCTATCTTGCAGATCGTTCTCTCCGCAATTTGCGCCATCGCGGCCGCGACGCCGGCGGCTTTGCTGGCTTATCCCGTTGGACCAGCGGATTCACCGGAGGTAGCACAGGCGAAAGCGGCGCATCTCGCCACTCAGGCTTACGAGGCCGCTAGAAACACGCTCGGCTACGGATACGCGCCCGCCCTGGCCGTTTATGCACCTGCAATTACGTACGGCGCGCCCATTGGCGCGGATGGTCGGGTGGTAGACACACCTGAGGTCGCCCAGGCCAAGGCTGCCCATCTCGCCGCTCACGCCCAAGTACGAAGTTCTCGAATATAAACACGATTTCACCGACGATACAGTTGTTTCTCGCGTTATACATTAACGAACTACACAATTTCATTTTTATTTTAGCGTGCAAGATATTTTGATTTCTCATTCCTTTTTTTGTTTTTGTACTGTTTTCACGCAGGAAGCCGCCAAAACGTTTGGACTGATTCCATACGGCGCTCTAGCGTACGCCACTTCGCCTGCTTTCTACTACCCTTACGGTTACGCTCCACTTGGACCCGATGGCAGAGTAATAGACACCCCCGAAGTGGCGCAGGCTAAGGCCGCACATTTAGCCGCACACGCTCAAGCGGCCGCTCGAAATGCTAATTGACGTGTCAGGCTATTATTGGAAACCGATACCGTATATATCGATCAGGCCGAATTCCGTCCGGAACCGTTTCTTGTCAAATCGAAGGAGAACGTGCGACGAGATGCATTCTGTGCCGTGTTCTGTATGGATCTGATGTGAGGTAACTTCGACAATAAACCATCTTCATGTGTTTTCAGAAGAATGTATATTATATACCTGTGTATATATATTATGCGATGTACTAATTTCCTAATATAAAGCGAACACATTCGTAAATATGTGTAACATGCATGTGTGGCAATTTCACACATTTTTTTCTCCTTCCTCTTCTATTATGATTTTAATGTAAAAAAATATGCTTGTGTTTTGCATAAGTAAAAAATAGTAAATAAATGATTCGATTTGAACTACCTAGAAAAAGAACCTGATAATAACAAACAAATTTCTCTAAAATTAGCGATCGGGACGCTGTCAATTGATCTGACGAGCGGTCTTTCCGATTTCGAGCGCTTTCCGTGCCATTGCCAACGCGCCGTTTCTGCTTTTGTTCCCGCCGATAAATCGAACAGAATGTACGAATATCGCGCCCTCAATTCCGCAGGCCTTCACAAGCTCATCTTCCTTCAAACCACCCCACTTTTCTGGCAAAAACATCCTGCAGACGAAACTTCCCGGTGTCACTGGCACGCACTGAACCCGATAAGCATTGTCGGATTCGAAGATAGTGTACTTTATGGGCGGCGAAACCTTCATTTCTCTCTCCAGCTGAGACAGATGCTCCTTCCACGGTGCCATTTGCGACAATTCTATTATTTCACCGCTGGGATCGACCTTCGAAAAATCCATTTTTCTTACACCTGAACGAAAATTTATATCAACGAACATTGAACATAGGAAGAAAAGTGTTCTTACGTTAAATCGATTTTTTATGGCATTCCGCACGACATCTCTCGCTGGCAGCCAAACATTTTTCGAATAATGCACAAATTCCAAAAATTCCTCCAAAGCCAGAGCCATAGCTTTTTCAAAGCGTTCGTCGACATTCACGGTGTCTCTGTTATTCCATTGAGGATTCAATCTGCTTACACGCGCACTCAGATCAGTGACTATTCGATATCTGAAACAACGAGAACATGACATTAGAAAACTTTATCTTATGTTTTCCTAAGATTCATAGCGCTGTAAAAACGATCCACTTACATTGGTTCCGCATCATACATCGGTATACCGTTGTCTATGGCGTCAATTTCTTTAATTAAACTATCATAAACCTTCCTAAAAACTTCTTCAATAACTCGATCCTCCGTTACTTCCGGAAGCACACTTCTTAATATATCGTGACCAAAGTGGCAGTAAATCAAACCCGCACTGCTTAATTTTATGGTCCAATGATATCCTGGTTTTTTTTTTATAACAGTACTCACCGATTCCCGAAAGTCTCTGCGACAAAACAAAATTATTATGTAACAATACATATCGACGGTAAAAAGGAGCATTTTGTGTTTTAAGATATTTTCTTCTTCTTGTACCTCATATGATGGTCATACCGATGCCTAGAAGGATTGTACTCTCCACCAACATCTACTACAATATCACAGGAATCTAAGACACTCTGGTTTCGAGATCTAAAAATATGTAACGCAATACCATCACTCAGTGTTAAAATTTGATATTTATCACTCTTCCGACTCCAGAATTTTAAGCAACTCTCTGTATATCATAATGCGTCCCGTTCTCAAGAAAAATAGTTTGGAAATTTGGAAAATAATATAAGTTTAGTTATTTGATTTTTAGAGAATTTTTTTATACCTCACTATAGAAGCGTCTTTGTACTGTGGTAGCAGCTTGAGTATCGCGCAGGCGAGCACCTCGTCACAGTGGAAAGTGCCGTCGTGCGTCCCGATTTTTACAGCCGATTTTCCAGACATCGTCTTGAATCGCAAAGCGAAATGCACACAATTTTTCCCACGAGAAACGATTGATATCTTTTACCCGCGCGTGTCCACGTGCTCCTTAACAGAGTGCTAAAAAACCTTGTATCATATTATATTAAATTACATACCCTGTTATTTTTATCAGACAATAGTTTATAAGTGTTATAATAATCACTAATAAGAATTTCTCACCAGAAATATTGATGTAGCAAGATATACAATGATTTTCTTTGTTTACTAGATCAGGTGTCTCATGCACAGAAACCGGTGTCTAAATTGAGGTTAGAAATAATAGGAAATATAAGGATAGAGGATAGGATAGGTGCATGCGCGGTAGTATTGGCTTCCCGCATAATCTATCTTCGTTCTACTCTACACATGTATTTCTCTACGAGTTCTAACAAACATATTTCATTCAAGCAGATCTACTCTACTATATATATATATATATATTCTCATTATAATTTCATTAATTTAAAAAAGGATAAATAAATACGGAATATTACACTTTATATACTTTATTTACAGAATATTACATTTTATATATTCTATTACTTAGTATGCATTAAACAGAAAATTAATATTATTTTCATATCATTTATTTTGTAAACATTTCAGTTCACTTTGTTCAGTTCAAAAGCAGCCTGATACATAGTCTCTCTAACATATTCCTGTAAAAACAAAACCAATATAAATTATTGAATGTAGTACAACAAAGAGGGCAGATCTTTATTCAATAGTGCAATCAGTGAGGGCAAGATTGACGTCACAGACAAATCAGAATAGCGTATGATGGATCATCATGTATATTTCATGTTTTATATAAAAAAAACAACAAAATCATTTTAGTTTAACATTCTTTAAAAATCTTACCTTAAAAGATCTAAAATAGTCATAAATGTAAATTGTTAAAGATCTGAGAGATATTTAATCTGAAATTAAACACAAAAATATTAATATTTATATGTAATTACAAACAAAAAATTAAGTATACAATTTTTAAATATCAGATAAAAGTTTTGCATCAAAAATTTTCAGACATATGCTTGTCAAATTTAATCATCACATAAGTAGTATTAAAGTAATCTTTAAAAAAAGTATTAAAAACTGTAATAAAAGAAAAAATCAATTCTTACTCTTTGAAATTCCAATATTAAAGTGTATTGTGTTGCTGGAGCGATTTTATTGTATATTAAATATCATATTTCTCACACAGTTCTTTTCCATGAGCACATTCTTAGTCCTAAAACATTTTTGTTAGTTTGAGAAATTGTTCACTGGATATATTGGTATAAAAATACACATTTAATAACATATATATATATATAATCAGTATTAATCTCGTTGTCACCATATATCACGTATGACAGGGATAACTATATTATTCATCATGTTTTAATTTTATTTGAAATAAAACATTTTTTCTATTAAGAACAAAGACTATTAACTTACATTATTTGTATATTCCAACTTTCTCTTCTTCTAGTTTTGACATTGCTTCCATTCTCATTCTTTTTATTACATTTTTTTATTACATTTGTTATGTAAATATACAAGTTCCATTTCTATCTGTAAAGAACATACATGTATGTTTATATATATGTAATATAATACTTTTACATCACAAAAGATAAAAAAGAAAATTATCAGAACAACTGAATCTGCATGGTTTCCTTAGACTGGGGCAGTAAATAGTCATCATGTAAATTTCACATATATATGTAAAATGCAATAAAAGAAATATAAAAATGATTTTGATTATCAAACACATTAAAAAATTACTTTTCTGCAACAAATTCAAAAGATACGAAAAGACTTATAATTGTTATTATATATTACACATATAAGGTATGAAAAAAAAACTTACATTATATACTACAACTTCCCTTTCTTCTTTCCAGTTCATTCATTTTGACTTTTTAGTGCTTTTACATATTTTATATAAATGTGATTTCCATCTGTAAAGAATATACATATATATTCATACATATGTGATATATGTAATACTCTTACAATACAAAAGATAAAAGAGAAAATTATCAGAACAACTGAATCTGCATGGTTTCCTTAGACTGGGGCAGTAAATAGTCATCATGTAAAAAACTTTTTGCTTATATATATGAGATGAAAAAAAAAAATATTTTTGTTAAGTAAAAATCAGTCTTCAGAGCTTAGCATCAAGAAACTTACATTCTTCTGCAAAAAATTTCTTCTCATCCAAAACACTTATGATAATTCAGACTATTCTTCTCCATTGTACTTATTTTTAATTGTTCTTCTAAAACTATAAAATACAAACATATAAAATTTACATACTAATTATTTTTTTTTTTGACATTCTTGTTATTTTTGACATTTTTGTTATTTTTCAGAAAATAACACTTCGTCACATTTATTCAGATTGACTGGGATTGCGGTAAATGTTATAATTCATCATACATATATTATCAAATCATATAATCTCAAGGCATCATATAATCACTTTATTCTTGCTTTCCACACAGTTTTGTGGATCAGTATCGATGTAATAAAACTAATCACGATATTACATTTATTTACATAAAGTAACATCGCGTATCTCTCAATTTTTATACGCTTTATAAGCTCAGAATTATTTGATACTGAAATAGAGATAAACAAAAGAAAAGATAAAAGAACGTGATCAAGCAATAGATGGAAAAAAATATTCTCAGCAATAAATTATAACACTTAGCATTTATAAAAAAACAAAATATAATACTCACTAAAAAATTGTAGCGAGAGATGTGAGCAGGTGCTTTTCGAGACTATATAGCACAAGCTGGTTCTGCAAATCCGAAGCTAAAAAAAAACCGGTAACTAAATCTAAGCTGTGTGGAGCACGCGGCGATTATCTCTATGAAAAATTTGCGGTCAGAAAGAATCGATTGTAATCAAGAAACAATCATACGAACGAGACTTGTTGTGTCATCATCGTGTTACAAAAACCTTAAACGTGAAGTGAAAAAACATGGTAGAATGTGCTAAACTTCTCGAAGCCATGAAACGTAGCGTCTGAGATCAAAAAAGTGTATACAGTAGACAATAGCCGAAAAATATAATCGAAAATAGTATAATTAGAAAAATTAATGCGTAAAGCAACTCATATACGATGATCAAAGTTAAAAGCACACGCGGATGGCAATGGATTTTGGAAACCGCATGAAAATTCGAACGCTTGAGCTTACCTTTGAGAAAGAGGAAACTCTTTCCACTCTATTTAAAAACGTCCAACCTCTGCGAAGTCCGAGATCAAAGTGAGCGTAACCGTGGACCGTGGGTAGTGTGGGTACGCAAGTTGTGCAGCAAGCAACCATGAATCTAACCTTGTAGTTCAGATTAAGTTAGTCTCAAACTGAATCTCCAATAGTCGCTTTTCAGATTACCTAGAAATGATCTGGCCAATCGTATTGGCTAGTCAACTAATGCAATTGGTCACCTCTGTCGCAGTTCAAGATCAGTATCTAACATTGCAAATACAGCGTTGCGCTAAGTGGAACGTATCGCCAGATAAGGCTGAGATCCAAATTCATAGGCTGCGTTCGGACTGTGTCCAGTTAAGCAAGAGGAAACGAACGAACGCAGGAAATACAGGAATTAAAATGCACAGGAATAGCAGGAATTGAAAGAAGTCGAGAAAGTGGAAAAGAAGAAATGAGAAGGTGGCTCTCCCCGATCTGTTGCAAAGCATGCGCAGAGGTCAGTGACTCCACCGCAGTCGCGCGACCGAGGTCATTGACCCCGCCGCGGTCGCGTGACTGCGGCCAGTGACCCCGCCCCCACCAAGGCCGCGCGGCCGAGGTCAGTGCCCCGCCAAGGCCGCGCGGCCGAGGTCAGTGACCCCGCCAAGGCCGCGCGGCCGAGGTCAATGACCCCGCGAAGGCCGCACGGCCGAGGTCAGTGACCTCGCCAAAGTTGCGCGGCGGAAGTCAGTGACATTACTGTAGTATGTATATAATACATATAATACAATATAAAGTATAATATTATAAATATATAATAAATTATATGTATAATATGTATTATTTAATGTTATATATAATATAAATTACACACAGTCACGTTATTTTCACGTGTTGTTTTTCTACTCTTTCCTGTCACGTGACTTTAATCACGTTTTTAATTTTCTCTACATATACGACGAACTGTCTCAAAATCGCTTTTCATTATTTACTCTCTCGATCTTACCGATTCGATTCGACTCGACTCTACTCGATCAACCAACCAATCGGCAATACGGAAAAGAGGCTACAATAGATGCGATACATTCGATATCAAAACGTGCACTTGGCGGTACACATGGATTTTTTTATATTAAAAACACATCACAGACGCGCGCTACGCGCACGCTATTATTTTTATTTTAACATATTCCGTCAGTAGACACAACATGTCACCGCGATGACAGTTAGTACACGTACGACAGTATGACATGAATCGAGAAACACATTATCCGAGAAACGTCATCGAGACGTCCAATCAACGTCGCGGAAAAGAGGCAACAATCAAGATCGATAGAATCGATTCTGATTATTTGCACACGCTTTTTCTGGTAGGAGGAGGAGGATGGAACTCTTCATGTGAAGAGGCATAAGCAGTGTTTTTGTTTTTCTACTCAATTGCTGTGCTCATTTAGCTGTGACACAAGGCGCGTGTTGAAAAATAATTGAATGTTATGGCACGGTAATTGGTTGGTTAAATATTTTTTTGTTTAAAACGTAACACATTAAAGATGAAACGCGCTTGTTCCTTTGAAGACGACTTTGTGCCGCAGTTGAAAGTGCACGTGGGTCAGAAACAAGTGAATAACGGCGTGTCCAGCGATGTTCGGATGAAGAATGTCTATGGTAAGGGCATATTCAGATTAAGCTTCATATATTTACGTTCTTTTTAATTTTACTTAAATTAAACTATTGAAACATAACACTTGCATCCAAACTTTATTGCTATCTTGCGCTAATTATTTCAGACAGAACACTGAGCTTACTCAAAGCTGGCGCAAAAGCGCGCTCGCAAAAGTTAAACACATCAGATCAAGAGAACTCTATAGATTTATCCTCGCCTCGACCACCGTACAAATTCAAGTCCAATCTGAAGCAGATGTTGCTCACCAATAAGTTGCAGCTACAAACTAGTGATAAAGTCGTCAATGTAAGTATACATAAATTGCAGGAAAAAATTTGTATGTTATCTTCAAATCAACTTGAGTCTTCTTCTAGGATGTCCGGATGGATATCTGTGGATGTTGTCGAGTGATAAATCAATTCACAAGGAACAAATGTTATTATTGCGATCAGATACTCTGTTCCTCTTGCCTGTCTACATGTGTGAACTGCTTAGAATCATTTTGCCAAAATTGTTCTTTACCTGTGTAAGTTACAAACTATATATGCTGTCAGTAGACAAGTTTTGCATATTAATGGTACAATTAGGAACTTGTCTTAATTGAAGATAACTATATCTATCTAATATTATCAATTTCTCCTTCAGATATAATTAGAATTCTTCTTACAGATATAATAATCAAGGCGATATCAAGTGTTTTCATTGTTACTGATGGCTGTTGAAGAAAAGATATATTTTTATAAAAAAAAAGGTTCTTATTAAAAACCTTTCTTTTCTTCACCTTTGTTTTATACTCCTATTTATGATTACTTGATGTAATTTTCTTAACTTAATGCAATATTTACATATTTTATATATATTTAAAGTATTGATAATAATAAACACAAGAGAGCATGGAAAAGTGATGTATAATTTAAATTATTTAATAGATATGAATATATATATTATAGATATTTTATACCTTTTTTAGATGTTTTATTACATAAAATAATTTTTTTAAATTGTTTTTACATATTAATATATAATTACGTAAGTATATTTGTGTTAAAAAAATTATGTAATTACAGTATACTTTATCTTATATAAATAGTAAGAGGCTACATTTTACTTTAAAAAAGAATCTGTAAACAATTATATGTATATATAAAGACCTTTTGGGAAGAGAATTGTTCTCTTCAAACAGTTCATAATTTTTTATACATTTTATATATATAATAATTTTGTATATAGTTTATGTCTAATATATACTTAAAACTATTAAAAATATTATCATATGTAATAAATACAGTAGAACCTCCCAAAACGTATACTCCTAAAACGTATATACCTCCCAAAACGCATACAAATCTACTCTCAAAACGTATATTTTCTCCTTCATCGCTTTTCCCACCACTACGTATGGGTACAATCGAAACTGCGCTAGCGCTTGCGCATTAGGCTATGCACATGTAACATACATGGTCGTAATATAACCTCTATTATAATATGCGCATGCGTTAGTTAAAGAGTGAGGGAATAGGGGCAGTATACGTTTTGGGAGGTTCGTCGGTCCCAACTGTATACGTTTTGGGAGGTTCTACTGTATATAGTAATATATATATATAAGAAAATATATTATACTTTTTAGAACACATTTAGAAATGATTTCCGTTCAATTGTTTTTTTGTCTATTATTTAAGTACATTAGTGTGTTATATGCACAGAAGTGTGTGCTAGTAAGAATTATATTTTACTGCGATGAAAAAGTACTGTTACTCTGTCATTAATTAATTCGTAATTAACGTATGTACAAAATCTGTTTATAAAATATATATCAGTTTTATGCGTTCGACGTTAAAAATCATTCAAGAAACGAAGCAACAGAGTCTTGTGCGAACTAGCATCGCTTTCTTGATGAAGCGAAGTTTTAAAATTAAGAGACAGATACAACTCAAGACGGACAGACATTATAGACACACACTGTACGAGTATTGTAACAAAAACGAGAGTAGACAATGCTCTGACAATTTACTGCGGAATGGAAGCTATAACAGAGGAAAAAACGCTGGTCAAAGATGAGAGTTTACACGGGAGTTATATTCATAGTACCCTTTTTACGATAATTTGACAACTCCACATCGATCTCGTCTACCTCGTCGCCCAGAAGATGATCTTCTATATCGAGCTTTGACTTTCCAAATATTCTGTAAATAGATATCAGATTGCAAAGTGATTTGACAATTATCACGGGCAACGTTTGTCACTTAGTTGACAATAGGAGAAGCAGGTGTTAAGCTAAATTCCATTCATTCTATACTGAATAGTATTGCAAAGGCATTACGTCATGAGGTAATAAAAAGCTTTAAAGAGCATGCATTTAATTATGTCACGACGTATAATATTTTTTTATGTAACTCGTTTTTATAAAGCTCAATGTGGGTAAGTATGCAGCAACAACATAGATTAGTACGTGATATCGTTTTTCACAAATACATATCTATGTATATTTGTATTGTTATACATATATTGTTATTTACAATGATTTAAGTTGCTTATTAGTATTGTTTAGAGAGAAATGCAATGTTATTATTTAATTACTTTAAATGAGGAAAGCGTATAAAAAATGAAGTATATTCTTGTATTCTCTGCGTATAAAAAACGATTACACACAAATGTATTAATCATACATGAGTACTCAAGCATAAAAAAATATATGGCATCTCTTTAGTTGAAAATGCGCACAAACATAATTTATTTCATATAAACATATGTACAGTAAACCTAAATCATAATATACATTGTACTAAGTTTCTAAATTTACACAGCGATTCTATTTATATGTGTATATATACATGTCTTTTTTGTACCTTGTATAATACATACGAAAAAGAAAGTTTAACAAGTAATTTTATTTCCAATAATTTAGTGTTAAATATGTTGGATATGTACAAGTGAGAATAGAGCATTAATATTCAGCTACTGTGCTATTTAAGAAAACACTCCACCGGGTAAATGTAAACAGTCATCAATACGAACTTAATAAAAGAAACTCAGTCAGCGCGATTTTGTGCGACGCAAAAAGAATAACATTTATCATTGATTTAGAATTTGTTATCTTGGTTTTAGTACTTGTATGCAATCTGATACAGCAAAAAAAAACATCGTGGTTTTTGCTTTGTTAGCGCTTGTTACAAGATGTATAATGAGAGTTATTCACAAAAATAATAAAAAGCATATATGAACATCGTTAATATTTTCGTGAACGAGCAAAGAACGAATGTTGCATTGTTATAATACAAAATAATTTCAATATGCAAATATAAATACATATGTAAGATCAGTATAAATAAATCATATTGTCTCTTTATGCGTGTTAGAATCGAATCACTTGTGATTAATACTTATACTTCTTCAAAAGTACTGTCATCATACCTGGATAATGTGGACATCGATCTTTTCATCACTTCCACTGAGGTGTCATCCAATCCACGATGGATTGATATCGCGTCCAAGTCGATCATTCGTGCCTTGGAGTGCGCCAACGCGGCCTCTCGATATTCCAATGTTTCCAACGTGGTTTTGGTTGGTTTACGATACCTTTGTCAAAGAATAAATTATACAAATACATAGTGAAATATTTCTCTGATTTGTGAAAAATAATAATGCAAAGAGAGTCTCTTGTTTTAAACTCGCTTACAATTTCAACAACAAAGAACTTCCTAACACTGATACTGAACTTAACGCCATAGCAGCAGAGGACATCCACGGTTCCAGAAAGAAACCGTAGGAGCTAAATACTCCAGCAGCTATGGGAATGCCTAGAAGATTGTAGATACTGGCGAATATAAAATTCAGTCTTATTCTGCGGACCGTCTTTCTTGAAAGATCTAGACACGCGATTACGTCCAACAGATCGTTCTGCAAAATAAGAAAGAAAGTTTGACACTAGCAATTCATTTTTATAAGATATACCAATTTCGTTCGCATCACTTACGCGCATCAGAACCACGTCGGCGGCTTCCACAGCAACGTCGGTGCCCGACGCGATAGCAATACCGACGTCCGACTGGGCTAAAGCCGGACTGTCGTTAACCCCATCGCCAACCATAGCGACTCTCATGTTCTGATCTTGCAGTCGCTGGATCTTCGCCACTTTGTGAGAGGGCAACACCTCCGCGAAAACTTTGGTAATGCCGACCTGTGTACACACGAAAAGAACCAGCAATTGCTAAAAACGATCTTACACACAAAAATCAAATTTTGCACGCGACGGAGTTTTAGTCGTACCTGTCTGGCGATCGAAGCTGCAGTTTTTCTGTTATCGCCGGTCAGGAGAATCACCTGCAAGCCCATTTTTTTCAAAGTATACACAGCGAGATGAGCCTCGGCTTTTACGGTGTCAGCTACGCTGACCATAGCGACTAGAACGTTGTTCACGGCGACTAGAACGGCGGTGCGTCCCAAATCCTCCTCGGCGATCATTCTCCCGTCGATCGTTTGTGGGATATTGATCGCATTTCGACGCATCCATTCCCGGTTACCGATGCAAACCTCGTACACATCATCGGCGATATTGTGATCGCCCTGCGAGTCGGGACTCAGCAGCAACTGCAGATCCGCGTTTTGTTTCTCTACGGCAATTGGCACAATGTCGATAGGCACGTTGTTGAGATACGCTTCGTCGGACGCGTTGCTACTTTGCTTTGTGAAGCTGACGATCTTCTCGCTTCGGAGTGCTTCGGTCAGAGCGGCTTGCAGATGTGACACCTTGCACTTGAGACCGCAACCAGCGACCGCTTGAAAATTCGTGCACTGTCCTGTGACTTCCGATCCGATAGTTTCTTTCACGTAGCGTACGATCGCTTTAAGAAAAATTAACAATCATTGCGAGATTCAACATAATCATGTAGAAAATGATGAATTACAATATTTACCCGACGCGATGGGATGCTCGCTGTTTATTTCTGCCGTGCCGATAATCATCAACAATTTCGCGAGCGAGCACATCTTTTCGTCGACGAACATAGCGATTCTGGTGACGATCGGAACGCCGTGTGTCAACGTTCCTGTCTTGTCAAAAACAACGCATTTGACTTTGTGCGCGTTTTCCAATGGTTCGGCGCCTTTGATAAGAATCCCGTTCAAAGCGCCAACCCCGGTGCCGACCATGACCGCAGTTGGAGTAGCCAACCCGAGCGCACACGGACAGGCGATCGCGAGCACCGACAACGCGCTCCGAAAGGCATACTGAAATATGATCTCTTCGCGATTCAACCCGTGCCAGTTCTCCTCGTCGTTGTGCGTCAAAGGCAGCCCCTGGAGATTTACGTAGCCAATGATGATCCAGATCACTAGCGTCACTACGGAGACCATAATGACCAGCGGTATGAAGTAGCCGGCTATTTTGTCGGCCAATTGCTGGATCGGCGCCTTACTCGTCTGCGCCTCTTCCACCAAACGCACGATCTGCGCCAGCGTTGTATGCTCGCCCGTGTGCGTCGCGGTGATCAATAACGGTCCGTTCTGATTGATTGAACCGCCGATCACAACCGAGCCCTTTTTCTTGGGCACCGGCATACTTTCGCCCGTGATTAAACTCTCGTCGCAAGTTGATTGTCCGGATAACACACGACCGTCAACGGGCACTTTGGCGCCCTGTACCACCTTCAACACGTCGCCACGTTGAACCAAATCGATGCTTATCAAACGTTCCGACAGTATCTCGTTGTTGGATCCCAATGTTATCAGCACCGCGTCCGTGGCTTTCAGTGACAGCAACTTCGAGAGAGCTTCCGATGTCTTTCCCTGAAAAAAAAACCAAAAAACATCTTCGCGTTACTACACGATATATCCAGATGTCGTAGAAGTGATATTGAATTGTTGTCGAATAGAAACCTTCGCCACATGTTCGAGCCATCTTCCTAAACTAATGAAGACTAGAAGCATCGGCGGTGTATCGAAGAACGTCTGCGGACTAGTGTCTTCTTGCATTATCATAGCCGCGGAAAGAACACAAATGGAATAAATATACGAGATCGTGGTAGTCATTGAGATCAAGACGTCCATGTTGGTCGTATAGTGCTTCAGAGCTTTGTAGGCTTGAACGTAGAAGTGCCAGCCGCCGAAGAACTGTGCAGTAAAAAAATACGAATGTTTATATAAAACACACATCTATTAAAAAACAAACAACCAAACAAAGTACTCGTTTTACGCAACGCGCATACTTGCACTGGCGTAGAAAAGAGGAAGAGAATTAGATTTTCCATGGAAAGACCAGGCAGTACGCAACACATCTCTTTGTGCGTTTTGTTGCCGAGCGACATGATGAGCATGAAATACGTCATGGCTATCATGCACGGTACTCCAAAAATTAATGATATCAGAAACGCCGTTCGCCACTTCTTAATCTCTTTTCTGCAACACACACGGAGAGAATCAAAAGTTTCTGACTCGCGGGGAATGATTAACGAGCAATATACTTCTTACGTGAATTTCGATCAACTCACTTCTGATCCAAGTAGTCTCTGTTCTCTTTATCTCGATTGCTAAATAAACTAGCGGTGAAACCTAATTTATTGATACTTTCGATAATATCTCGGACACCGGTCTTTTCTATGTCGTACTTGAACTTGCCACGTTGCGTCGCCAGAGCGACGACCGCCGACCGTACGCCGGGTAATTTCTTCACGGTCGTTTCGATTTTATTTACGCACGAGGCGCATGTCATACCCATAATCTGAAATGAAATACTTCGATTAAAAATCAAAAATCCACACATATAGTTTTTCAACTTTATCTATAACTTTTATATTACGTCTTACTTTTAATTCGACCTCGCCTTCTCCGGTTCCGGGCTCTTCGATCAAAGTCGTGGGAAAGCCCAATTCTGATATACTTGAAGCAATGTCCGCCGCTCTTATTTTGTCAGGGTCGTACATGACCTCCGCCTTGGCGGCCATCAACCCCACTAATATGCTGCTCACTCCGTACAACTTTTTACAGTGTTTTTCTATCGCAGCGACGCAGGAAGCACAAGTCATACCCTTTAGACAAACACAAATTACTTATCCACAATTCGTCGTGTGGCAGGAAAGCAAATTTTATTCTCCGATCTTCACGTTAATGTTACATTCGCGATAGACTCGAAAGCAACGTACTGATATGTGTAGGAAGCACTTGGACAAATGTTCTTTCTTAACGTCACCGCCGCCGTTCGCCTGCAGTGCCTGCAGTTCCGTCTTCTTCTTGTCGGCAACGGCGTTCGATTGCGGCGATCTCACAACTCCGTTACTAGTTTCTTTCACGTATGCGGTGAAACCCATGTCCTCTATGTACGTCGCTATCTCATCAGCTGTGAGGTCGCCGCTGCTGTAGGAGACTTCGGCTTCTTTATTTTCCAAGCTCACAGTCACGTTCATTATACCGAGTTTTTCGCTCAGAACACCTGCGAAGGAACATTTGGACGTTTGAATATCACGCGCGAACTCACAAGTAATATTTGTTTAATAATTATGTCGATTATATCACGATCTGGTATTTTTACCGGTAATATTGTTGACACACGACGAGCAGGTCATTCCGTCCACGTGTATTTTGCAGGTGCTGACGGCAGGTACCGCCAGGGAGGTATTTTGCGCGCCGTTTGTCACGTCGTCGACAGGCAGAGTCGCGGTGAACCCCATGTCCTCGATCGCTTCCGCCAATTCTTGCGGCGTCGTCTTCTGCGTCCTGTACTCGATGTATCCGGCATTTTCCTCCAAGAAGACCTTGATGCTAACGACGTCGGACCGCTCGCCGATCGTTCCCTCGATGTTTCTCACGCAACTCTGGCAGGTCATACCCTGAATGCCGATTCTCACCGAGCTGATCTCCTGTCGCACTTCCGGCGCACGCGGCACGCGCACCAGATGCGTCGTGCCTTCGTAGTCGGTGTCATCATCGCCGTCCCTATAAAAAACAAAAACAAAAAAATAGTACGCATGTAAACATAGTATATAAATTAATTTTTAATTTAACAAAGTAATTAACGGGAGAGAATGTGGAAATGCGTTTGACGCTATTAAACATTCCTCGAGTTTACCGCCCGCATGAAGAGAACAATGAGATACTTTGTATTCGAACTCTTTCTGTCCCCGTTTTCAGCTCTTCTCACGCGTTCCATCCTGACTCGTACGAGATAACAACAACGGAACAAAAAATCAAACGATTATCACACGACAATTTTCTTTGAGATAACGCTTTATTTACTGTGTCAATTATTTATCGTGGATTTGCAACAACACAACGATAAAGATCGCATTATTGGGCGATTCTGTGCGTATCTTCGTAATTCGAATGAACGCAGCATTTAGAGCATCCTAATGGACTCTCCGATGACCCGTGGCGAAGCCACGAAAGAAAGAATGTCAATCGTGACCCCGTCACGGTTTCAAAAATTCTCGCCCCATTATCTCGCAACTGGCGATAACGACACACGGAAACGAGTTTCTGACGTTGCGAACGTACGTATTCGCTGACGAGATGACTCAACCGAATTAATTATTAAGCGAGATTAAACACCCGCCTTCTATTTGAAATTAATATACACGATTAAGAAACTGTACTCTTGATGTGAGAGACACGTTTCAAGAGAACTTTATGTTTCACTTTCTCTTTCGAGAAGTTAATTAATTAATGTCGCACGGAAAGAAAATAATAATCGCGAAACTAACTAAGTGGTCATTAACGTTTAATTGTAATTGTTTTTTACAAGTATAAAAGTGCACCGGTACTTTTTCCACATAAAAAGATTCGCAACATTGCGCAATTGTCATCGATTGCGTGCGACGCTTTTCGCGAAGCTTACCAGAAACCATCGGTGGCGCCGTAAGTCTTGCTAAGAAGAGGTCGTTTTTCCTCGCTTTTTCTCGCCATTTTCAGGGACTACGCCGGAAAATCAACAACTTCGATTTTTTTTATATCCGAATCACTAATTTGGAAAATGTCGTTTTAGCATTCGATTATAAACACGTTAAACAAGCACGCATACACACACAACTCAGTAAAAAAAAATTTGTTTGTTTATTATTGAATTTTCGTGAAATTAAATTTTCAAACTTAACGCACAGGTTGCGAAAGAGTTGGGTGAGGTTCGTATCAGCGATACAGACGCAACAATAAAAAAATCGTTGAGCAGCTTTAAAATGAAAACTTAGCGTTTTTTATCTAATTATTGAATTAAATTCCAAAAAAAAGTGAAACAGTCGAGTTCTTATCTCAGAGGATTACGTGTGTGACCAGGTATTTTAATGCGTGCGTTGTATTGTTTTTCGAATTGCACACGTATATTGTTATCGCGTATTAGAATAATTGATTTTTATGTTTTGCGACTACGTAACGATGGTTCGAGACAAAACACCAACGGCAAAATTAGACGCAGTATTATGCAATGGTTATATGAAAACTTTTAGTTCATTGTCGCGCTCCCGATAAGAGAGCCGCCGATAATGGATTACAGTTCGATTTCAATCGTCTTCGGATTTCACCTCTTCATTGCTCGAATTTTCGTTTCGTTATTTTGAAAATTATTAAAAATACCGTGTGAAAAAAAAAATAGCGCGTTCGATCTTTCGCAAAAAGAAAAATTCGGATGCGTTTTGCGGATCGCCGATTGCGATTTTTCAATCAATCTTCGAAGACGTGAGTGGGGAAAAGACGCGGCACCAAAATTTCGAGCGATACTCGACACGAATTGATATCACGGAACAACTGATAACGGCGCTAATCGCGCATCACCAAGCTGCCTCGCGTCAGGTTGCTCACGATCCGATTTTGCTCACGGCACTTCTTTTTACGCGCTCGCCGGAGAGGATATAATAAAAGCTGGCCGATATATCAGCGATCAGCTTGCGCGACAACGCCGTCCTGGATACGCGCAGGAGTCACTCGCTCGATGAAGAGTGAATGCTTGGAGTTCCAATGGGATGCGCCCACATCCAGGATCGCGATTAATTTCGTCATCCCGTGATGCGGATGACCTTTTTGAAACCATTCCCTCTATTTCGAATCTCGTTTTGTTCTCTCGAAGAGAGAAAACGCAAGTCGCCGCAAGTTTGCGTAAGTGCGCGTTAACAATTGGACAATATACATATTTATTTATGTTATAACACTTCAAGTGCTTGACTCGGGCACTAATATTTTCATACATTTCAATATTTTTTTTTTTTTTGTGTTTAATGCTTATTCAAAGTGAAAAGTTTTGTCGCACACGAGTCGCTCTAAATTAATTGTCAAGCCACTGACTATTGTTTATATACATTTCAGTGCCAAGTGAATTTTTTTTATTTAATATTATATTAGCGCGTCATTAGCTGCTAGTTTAAATGACGCGCGTGTATGCGTAATTTGTGTTTTGTTTAACGACTTGAGCGACAAGTCGTGTATAATTATCATACATAGTGTCCAATACTTCCTGCAATAACAGAGTTTCGCGATAAGCGCGCATCTTTTGCAAAATTTGCGAAATCTAAGAGATAAGAACGCAATATCGTTATATGTGAGCGCAACATTGTCCGGTTGTTGTTTTCTCAATGCGCGAACGCGCGAAAGTTTCTTCTCCCGTGATCGTGACAACAACCTTAGCGGTGTTTCGAGCGTTTTAGAAATTGCGCGCGAGATAAATCGGGCCTCGCGAATATCGACCGCAGAGCGATTACATCCCACGCATCACGAAACGCAAGGCCGTTCGGGGATATATCTCGCCGAGTTATCATAGATTATTGCCGAGGCAAGTACGGGGTTTTATATTTAATTTGTGAGCAGGTTCGCGAGAGAAACACATTTCTCTCGCGTCTAATGCAAAGTTCCGCGGAATTGCCGGTTTTTATAAGCCGAGCGTGAAAGTATTAAGCAAAAGGCCTCCACGCTTTCTGCTCGCGGTGAACTTTTCTCCGGCGCAAATTCGACGCGTGTTATTTGCGCGAATTTAATGACAAAAAGATCTAACGATATATCTAGATTAAACAAAGTACGTTTTCGCGACGCGTGTAGTTTTATCTTACAATTCGCAAGAAGTCATGAAAATTTCTATTTCTTATCAGCAACTGCTGACGAGACGATACATATTTTTTACTCGAGTTCTACTTTACTGGGTACAAAGTTTCTGCTATTTTTTTTCTTAGAATTAATTAACAAGAATAAGATCTTTTTGTTCTGCACGGGTTTGACTTCTGGACCGAGGTGTCTTTTTCCTTAATAGATTTTTTATTTTCTATGGGAAATAAGTTGAATATTTTATCTGATGTGCGATGCAAATTCGCGCAAACGCATTGGCTCACATTGACCAAATAAATCCTCGCTAAAGATTTCTTTTTTTTCGAGAAACACCAGAATTCTATTTAACAAAAAAAAAAGTCATGAGATTATTATATTTTACACAAAATAATTGACAATTCGCGAGCGCATACTGACCCCAGTAATCTCGTGTTTTCGCGCGACATCGCCGCGATATCCGCCAGATTGCGATAAGCCAGCTTGACTCGATGGACCAATGGACCGCCGAACTTCGTCATCTTAAAAATTGGACGGTGCGACGCAACTGACGACGTCTCTTATGTCAAGATTGAGCGTAAATTTATCCTTGTATCGTAGATTTCTTGTCGCATTCTTGTCTTCATAATTATTCCACGAGATTAATAACCCTTATGAGTGATCTCTCAAGAGCAACATGTAATGCAAATGATGTTACGCGTGTACGCAAACGACGTGTAAGTATCGCTAAAAAAAATTGAGGCGGCAGAAACTCGCCGTACGACCACGTGATGCGGAGACAATTCGATGAGGTAATCAATCACTGCCCTATCATGGGCTCTCGACGAACGAGCACCGAGTAACTAACTTTCTAATCACATCACAACACCTTGAATTATTTGCGCACATCGTACGAACACCGTGTCTGCCGGAAATAAAATATTTGCTGTCAAAAATAAATTAAAAAAAAAAAATTTAGATCAAAAATTCACACACAGTCTCCGTTAAAAAATATTGTTCTATTGTTTGCGTTCCTGAAACACACATTTCCAAGACACTTGATCAATTGCCGCGGCGCGTTTTAAACGATACGTGTTCTAAGCCAAAGCGAGAGTGAGCATCTGAGGAATTCAGATGAGGTGAACTCGGGACCGACTTATACTCGGGCCAAGTGTATAACGAGACAGAGAGAGGAGAAAGGCGTGCTCTAGATCTACCTCCTCGGCAGGATAGAACGGAACTCCGCGTGACGGAAGGCGAAGAGAAAAACGAGTCGATTATCTTATAATTATACGCGAAGTAATGTGAAATTCTGACTCTTGTCAAGTTACAAGAATAAAGTCTATCGAGCACTGTTGTCTCTCTCTTTCTCTCTTTCTCTCTCTCTCAAATTTAGAAAATCGTTGACGACGTGAAATATATTAAACTACAGTGAAATATATATTTGTAAGAACTTATAATGTAACTAAGACGGAGACGTTCTAAGACCAATCATCTCAAAAGAACAAGACGTTTCAATTATTCTGTTATGATCATCGTTGATAACGCTCTAAATTTCCTCGAACGCTTTTATTGCGCAACAAACTCCTGCAGAAGTCGTTAAAGGATTAAATAATATTACTGTCGCGGAAATCATCTTCGTGTGCTGTTAATTGAGAGAGTTATAATTATTATTTAATTATTATTTTTACAGTCTCCTTAAACGAATGGAAATATCTTATCTTCGCAAAAAAATTCTGTTAAATCAATATATTGTCTTTAATCGATCTTTTACATTCCGACGACGGTAAAGGTTTAACAACTAAAACCGCTACGTCTCGTGCGTATCGTATCGCTTAATAGACATTAAACCGTGAGTCAAGAGCTGCATCTAATTTATTGCGGCGAAACGCTGTTTATTTCGAGACGCCTAGAATTACAACGCGCATACGCTCATATCAAGAAGTAATTCAATTTTGTTGATCGCGTCGTCTCTCTTACAATGTGTGTTTTTTCTCAACGAGAGAGAGAACGTTGGGACACGTTGATCGCGTCGTTGATGGATCGACCATAAGATAAAAAGTTTGTCGATTCGAGTTAATTATAGAAAAATGACGTGGAACGAAACATGATTCATTTCACGATTAAGGCGGAAATAAATTAAGAAACACTCTGGGGGAATTCCTGAAAATTTCCACAACCTCGTCAATAAATGAGAGAAAACTCACCTGGAAGACGTTTCAACTAGCATGTATTTCCAGGTGATATTCTTGATTTTTCGCATCATTTTGCGTCTCTTTCGAAAAATATCCTCGAATCTTCTCTCACGATTTCCTCGATATGCCGTTAAATTCTCGTATAAACGCGAATGTGTCGCGAAAATAGTTTTCCATTCGCGGCTGTGTGTTTCCTACTTGTATTATTTTATACCGCTTGTGTCTTCGAAAAAAAAAACGCGCAATACAAACGACACTGAAGAATTTTCATAAAAACAATGATATAATGTTTTTTTTTTTTTATTACCGCGAGTTGTCACACGGATTCGCGATTTCGCGCACTGACATCGCAACGAGCGTTCACCGAGCGATAACGCGCGAGGAAGAGTCAATCGTAAACGGAACGCCTGTTAATACAATAATCTATGTATAAATGTTGTATATACCGTGTAACAAGCGATTTCGGATCGCATGCCGCATCATTCGCCACCGCGGCACTCAAATTTCGATACTCCTGGATTCCGATTACAAAATGATACACACCGCATCCACTCGCATGGTTGTTGAACGGTATCGTGTTCTCTTTGCGCGCCTACGTAGCTTGCGCGTTGCCTAACACACAGAGAGGTGCGTATATTTAACTACGCAATCGAATACGGTGACTTATCAAGTCTGCATCAATATACATTTAAAATATTTTCTATTCGCGCAATTCGACTTTTAGATATTGCGCGGTCGATCACAAAAATCAATTAACTATCTTATTATTTATCTTCGCAGTAAATTGCTTGATGATATTTCTTGCATAATCGCATAGTGTTTTCATTTCTTGATCGAAGTTAAATATTCCACACGAAAAGAAAGAGATTAAAGTTAAATCACGAATCGAGCGATTTCGTTGCTTCGTTCGACGAAAAGATGCGTCAAGCCACTAAACACCTCTAACGAACAATTTTGACTGGCAAAGAGGAAAGCGATGAAATATTCAAGACAGACTTTGTTATACGCGATAACGCGAAGGGAACGCACATTATTTTGTTGTCTTCCCAAAATGACGTTAGGAATATCGTCGCGTTTCTTATTTGCAAACACAGCGAGCGCACGCAACCGACTGACTTGACTGTTTTTCGCGCTGAATGCGACCTGATGCATACGCGATTTATAAAGATTTATAGGAAAAAAAGATAAGATAAATTCTCTAACACCACAAGAGCCAACAACATTTCTCGAGATCTCGTCTAAGTCGCAGGGATATAAATTGTTTTTACGACGTACAGACGTTTTCTTGTACGAGATAGATCAAAAAGCGAGACCAATGCCAGTCTCTTTCTGGATGACTGACTGACAACGCTCTGTTTGTCTCAAGGTTTCCTTGAGACACGAATTAAATTCAATTGTAGATTTCATTGTCGGCACGATGAATATTGGACTCAAATCGATTCAAGAAAATATATGGCCGTCAAAAAATAGTTTTTCCTTTTTGTCCGCTTGGGAAATAAAAAGAAAAAAAACAACATATATATGCGTGTGTGCTATTGGTCAATTCCAACAAAATAATCAGGTGATCGAGAATCAGAGATGGAGCAAAGCCCTAAGAAACAAATACATGTGTGTTATGATACACTTACAATATTCGATATGCATTTGTATGTTTAAATATAAAATATATATTTCTATCTCAAATTCTCGGATATGTATTTGTATCTTTTTTGTTTTGACTCCAAGTCAGAATAAATTTCTCCAAAGAGAATTATGTGCGCTTTACTCACTCTTTTCTCGTGGACTGATCGTTTGTCTTGTTAGCAGCGTCATTTCCTTCTTCTGCAAGTGAAATTTAAATATATATATCAAATATATTTAGTGTTATCTTTCTATAAATTAGCATCCAAATGCAACATGTGTGTACAATATTAAATACTTATCGTTTACAAACAAACGTACCTTTATCAGCATCCACATGGTCATTCCTCAAATCTAGTTCGTCCAATTTTTCTATTTCCTCCATTCTTCTCTGTAACGAGACAAAGTTAAGACAAGCACGTCAAGACGAATCATGTGTCAACTACAACTGCTCAGTCACGCGAAATACGGCCGTCAAAAGAAACCAAGAAGGAGAGAGAGACACACACACACACACACGCACACACGTGTGTTTCATTTACTTCCGACCGCTTTCAATGAGACGAGACACAACAACAAACATGTACTGCACACGTACCGTTCAACACACGATTCCTCATGTAGCTTTTCATACGCGAGCAGGCGTTGCAACTCAGCTGTATAACCTAAATCCCCGCTCTTCTCGTTGATTTTTCAAACGTAACCGCGCATCATTCACTCGGAAACGTGTCGACGACAATAACTGGTTGGCCAATGACTCGTCGTCGCTCTCGCAGGATACACGTTTCGATTTCCGAAATCGCACGGCACGACAAAAACGCGCGGGACAAAGACGGCGGCACGCGTGCAAAGGACACACACGCGCCCAGTCTCATTCCTCCTGTCGTCGAGTTCTTTGTGCAAAGTTGTCAGTTGTGTAGTTGCACCTCGCGCACTTCGAATCGAGACAGACGTATCGGTCGCGGTTGAAGAGAGAGAGAGAGAGAAACGAAGAAAAGAAGCACAGGTTCTCTTTGGAGGTCGCGACGCCACGTGACTCTCGAATGGAGCGGACTCGTCACAGCTGACGAGCTCGCTCGGAAAAAGAATGACAGTGACGAGAGAGAGAGAGAAGGAGATAGGCGTCGTGACACGTTTCATGTGCCAATTATCATGTCAAACTACACCCGGCTCGAAACCTCATAAACCTCATTGCGTGTCTACTTTTTTCAAGCGTGTAATTTTTTGTACAATAGCAAAGTTGTAATACACCGCGAACCACATACGGTGGTGTGACAATTACTTCGATATTCGGTAATCTTTTCGATGTACACGTTGCGAACGAATTCGCGGAAAAAGATATAAGGATTTAAATACTGGTCACAGTTACACGTGGACAATTCTGATTGTTCCAGACTCTTTCGACTGTCTCAGGAGATATGAAAACGAATGACACGACTTCTAGTCTGATTAATGTTATTAATATTGTTGCTAACTTTGATGCGTTAAAGTAAGAATAGAATTTGTTGTGATCCTGTGGATGTGGTGTGTGGTTGAAGTTAAGTTGAATGTGTGTTTCTTTTGAAATTTTTCTTTTTCTTTCTCTCTTTTTGTGTTTACTTTCCACTAGTGACTATATAGTTTGTCTTTCTTTCCAAGTAACAGAATTATTCGTTAAATAAAAGAATTATATTCTGATGCAAAAATTAATGATTTAGTCAATCTTAATTTTTGTTTGTCAAAACAAAAATGTAGCTAATTAAAAGCCATCTTGTGTCGTTACAGGCGGATCAAAATGTTGTGCAACACCATCTTATTGGTCGGACTGGTATTTAAATTACTGTTTCTATTTTGCTTCGTACCGTACGTATTGATAAGATGGAGACAGAACAACTTATCGAAGCGCAAATTGCGACAACAGTCCAAGAAAGAGACGGTCGTTGGAATCTTTCATCCCTATTGCAACGCGGGAGGTGGCGGTGAAAGAGTGCTTTGGGCTGCGGTTCAAGCTATACAAAACAAGTATACAAGACGTTCCGATAGATTTAAAACTTTTACAATCAATTTTTATGTAAAAATCTCTACTATGTATCACACAGATATCCCGATGTGCATATAGCTATATACACTGGCGATCTTGATGCGGATCCTGAGAAGATGTTGAACAAAGTCGAAAGAGTGTTCAATGTCAAGTTACGTCCGAACATTGAATTCGTTTACTTGCACAATCGGAAATGGGTCGAGGCTTCCAAGTATCCTTATTTCACGCTTCTGGGACAAAGTCTGGGATCCGTCTGGTTGGGTATGGAAGCACTGCGCTTGCTTGTGCCAGGTGACATAACAAATTTCCGTACCGCACGTACACGTTTTGCTGCATATAAATCGTTTCCGTAATATTAATCAGATACAAAATAACACATACAAAAATTGCACAGACATATACATCGACACAATGGGTTACGCGTTCACGTATCCTCTGTTTAAATACATCGGTGGCTGCCGAGTGGCGTCGTACACGCATTATCCCACCATTTCGATAGACATGTTGAAGTACGTCTACAAAAGAGTTGCCGCGCACAACAATCGAAGATTCATTGCTAGAAATCCGTTTTTCACTATGGGGAAGATCATTTACTACAAAATATTCGCACGAGTAAGTATACATACATGTAAATACGAGATCTGATCGGTTTTTTTTCTCTACAGCGCACATACACGTCGTCACTTCGAGCTTTTGACGAGAGATTTGTTTAAGTTGTACGGACTGGTTGGTAGTTGCGCCGAGATCGTGATGGTGAATTCTTCATGGACCGAGGACCATATCAATTTCATTTGGAAGTGCCCAATGAAAACACATCGAGTTTATCCTCCCTGTGATGTGGATCATTTGATCTCGTTGCCGCTCCTAAGCGACAAGGAAAAAGGCGACGTGATACGCATAGTGGCGGTCGCGCAGTTCAGACCGGAGAAGAATCATCCCCTTATGATGAGATCGATGTTCGAACTGAGATCGATTTTAAAGGAAGAAGTCTGGGAAAAAGTAAGCCAAGTGGAATATGTAAAACTTTGCGACAAAGTTTGCGATTTTATATTTAAGATTCGACACACAGTGTTTTTTTTTTTTCTGTAAAATTTACTGTATCATTTAGGTCAGATTAGTCTGCATTGGTTCTTGCCGAAACGAGGAGGACGAAGAACGCGTGAAAGATATGCAAGATTTGGCCAAGCACTTGGCTTTAGATGAGAACGTCGAGTTCAAACTGAACATACCGTATTCCGAACTCGGGTCGGAACTGCAGAAAGGAACTATCGGTCTACACACAATGTGGAATGAGCACTTCGGTATCAGTATTGTGGAAAGCATGGCCGCGGGATTGATTATGGTAGCTCATAATTCCGGTGGACCGAGGTGTGTGCGCCGGATTTTGGCACAAAGATTTACGCAATAAAAATTTAAAAGGCAAAAGATTTTTACTCGTACTCAAAATCGCGTTTTACAATTCTAGAGCGGACATCATAGAAACGCAAGCGAACAGTACGACCGGTTTTTTAGCGGACACTGAACAGAAATATGCCAAACTATTGGCATTCATCATAAACATGAGCCAGCACGAACGGGACTCTATCAGACTTGCTGCGAGGTATGAATCCGATCGAACAGATGTTTGTTCGATTATTTTTGTCTCGAGATAAACAATGATTATGCATATGACTTTTCTCTTCAGATCGTCTGTAAATCGTTTCTCAAGCCAAGTCTTCGAAAAGGAATTTCTACGAACGATCGAGCCCTTCTTCAGAGCAAAACAGGAATGAATCCATTTTTCAGTTTCGCTCTTTCGTCAATCAAGTACATGTGTATGTGAGTTACAAATCATTCATTTCAAATTGGTATGTTCTTTCAGTGTACGATACATATCATATATAACATTTATGTGTGTATATTATATATTGTGTGTATATATTTAAAAAAAAGTGAGTGCTTTTATAACATAAAAACTTGGTATTTAGCGGCAAACGCGAATTACTTATCTGATCGATGCAACACCTACAATTGTTAATCACATTGTGTCAACGACAAATTACAAGATATCACGAGGTCATTATTTATCCAGTCCGTCGTTAATCAGTCCGCACCCCTGGCACTCCAGAACGAGGGACGATGTATCGCCGCTTTCGGCGCTTTCCGAAAGATTGAAACGAAGCCCGTGTTTACCCAACATCATCTCCGCTATCTGCATGGCCGTCTCCGTATGGCAAGTGAGCTTCGTCTGTCCGAGTTTGATCCTCGAAGTTCCTTTCGCTAGTGCCATTAAGATTATCATCTGTAAGGAAGAAGCGCAATAAGCCGACAGCCGAATTAGCTCTTCGTCGAGTTCTGTCGCAAGCTTATACCTGATCTTGCGTATGTTCGTCAACGCATGAGCCCGCCAGAAGCGGTTTCAGAATCCCGTAGGCCGCCGTTTCAGCCGGCGACTGTTCCTCCGTTCGGTTGGAACCCAAGCCGGAACCGCCGAGAACGCATCCGGTATTAGTGGTGCACACTATACTAAAATATTCATTCATTACTGTCATTTATTATTTATATTTGTTTTTTTTTTTTTTTTTTATTATATGTACATATTTAATATGTACGTATAATAAAAAAAAGAACTAATGCTCTTATACTTGATGCCACATCCATTTCCAACAGCTACTGCTCTGTCTTCCCTGTAAGGCTCGATCGTAATTGACGGCACCTTAACGTTGTGTTGCGCTAATTTATTTCTCAAAATTGCCGTGGCATCATAGGCCATTTCTTTGGCTTGCTATAAATTAAAATGTAATTACATGTAATTAAGATTGTAATTATATAGATATCCCCCGGAACAATTTATAATAAATAAGTGTAATAAAGATTCTATGAACGACCTTTCGAAACATCGTTTCTTCTTTAACATACAATAGATCAGTAAACATCGTCACATTTCAATAACAAGATCGCAAGAGACAAACTATACCTTGTTATTGAAACTCAATAACAATCTAATGTATACTGAGAAAAAAACGAGATGTGTGCTCTGTGTAATGTTTATATAATCTTTGTCATTCATTTGTTGAAAATGGAAATGTACTACATTATTCGACGATCTTTATTTTGTCTTCTATAGATCTTTTATTTAAATATTTATTCGCGCAAATTTAATAAAAATACATACGTTTATATGAACCGCTCCAGCCACGTAAGACCATCCTGTTATTCTTTCTGGAACTCCCGGATCGAGTAAAGAGATTGCATTTAAACTACTGACCGGCTTTATGTCTAAACGCAGCTCGCCTCCTCCCTTCGGATAATATCCCCTTCATTTGTCACAAAGTTTAACATAAATGGCGTATACAGCGTGGAAAAAAACACTTCAAGATGTAACAAAGACGAGTTTGTGTATACCTTCTCACAACTGTGAAATTAAAGTCCGCTCCGAATTTGTTCAAAATCGGCTTGAACACCTCCGTCAGATATTCTATTTGCGGACCCATGGGAACGTTTGTACCACCTTTAAGAATAAGAGTGATCGTGTCGCTGTGGGGAAAGAAAAGCGCGCAGGGCACAGCCACTTGTGCCAGCAAGCAAATGCAACCGGCAGTTTGCGTATCAGCTACGAATGTCAACTTGTTCCTGTCAAACGGACCGGGATGAAATTCCAAGCGTGTTGATCCTATGTATCCACCTCTGACACGGGCGTTACACATGTCTCTGACAAGTTCCACACCTGTGGACACAATAGAAAATTGAAGCTTTCATAACTGTACGTACATAAATTAAAAATACTTTTCAATCCAATTCTCGCATCGTTTTACCACACCTTTTAAGTGCTGTGCTGCGAGACCAGGCTTGGGTCTTCCAGCTCTTATGTTTTCAATTTCAACAGGAATGCCATACAGCGCGCTCAGACTAAGAGCAACTCTCAACACTTGTCCACCCTGTGCAAACAAAACATTTATTTTAAACTTTATGAAGAGAGGAAATATTAATTAACAATATTAAATATGCGCAAACAAAATTATAAGATAAAAACAAATCTCTGCTCTCTCTTTGCTAGATATTTATATTTTGACAGCTACACAATTTCTACATAAGATGCTTCGCAGTGTGACATTAAATAATATATTTTCAGAAAGGAGACACACAAATTAAAAAGAAACAACACAAACAATGAGACTTGTTGCTCAAGTTTCGATATAACCTGTTTTATTTTATACGACAGGAATATAAATCTCGTAAAGAAAATTACTCACACCCTCGCCCTGACTGCCGTCTATTTTCACGAGGGACGACATGACGCGACAGTTCCTGAGCAGTTCAAACGCCCTGCCGCGTTTCACGGAGCAGAGTTCCGCGGTTCCGCGTTTATTTTCAGCGCGCCGACCGCGCGTATTATTCCAACTTGCGCGTCGCAAATTTCCGCTAAAAAAAAGAATGTAATGCAACCAGCCCGTTGTAAGCGGTCGTTTGTGGAGGGGTAAAAACACAGAGAGCGCGCGGGGAGGAATTTAACTTCTAACTATAGAAACCAATTTTGTGCTAGACCGTAAAGCTCGCGGTGGAGACACACACACCAGCGAGAGAAGATTATCTTTCGTTTCGACGATCGCGAACATCTGTCAAAGCATTTGTTTCCGTCCGCGACGGAAATAAACAACAATTGTTCACACGTCAGTCGGAGAAAATAAACGAGTATATAAAATTCTGTGTTTAGACATTTTATTTCTTCTCACAATGTGCGCAACAAGAGTAACACGCGGATGAAAAACAAATCCTATTTTTTTTTTGTTTTTTAATTGCGAAATAATTTTTGAGAAATTTGTTTTTTTTTTTTTTCGCGTTTCCTCTCTTCGGACGTTCGGATGTTGCGCGAATGTTTCGATTTGATTTGAACGTTCGAGAGTGCACGTCGAAAGTGCAGATCGAACGGACGATCGGGTGTTCTTACAGCGCGCTTGATTGACATCTCTCTCTCCTTAACTCAGAGGAAGACGACGGCAGCGCCCTTTGACAGCGCAACTACCACATACTGGCATCACATACATACGTAGCACGCGAAGTGAGCTTCTTATTCCGAAAGGACCTTTTTTCTGTCCTTCTTTCTGTGTGACGGGCTGTTTGGAACAGCTGTTTCTCCTGGATGGTTGCTTTGATAGACCGAGTGACGGATCAAGCGGATGACGTATCATATATCCAGGCTCGTAAATGATATCGCGAATATTCCGTGGGGAAAATGAGAATGTCGCGGTCAAACGCAGACGGCAAATCGACACTCTGAAAATCTTTAATGACAAGTAAGGGTAATTCTCAGTTCTTTTTCTTCGTCATCGTATAACCTCCTCTCGTATTAACCTCGTCACGCTCGGGTCGCAAGCGCGAAGCGTAATATCTTTTTTTTTTTTTTTTTCTTTTCGCATTACTCGCGCGACCATTAGAAATGTGTTGTGAAAGTAATAATCAAATTACTCGGAGAACACACTCCGGTGGTAAGATTTCCGGATGTGATGAACCGATCACACGAGGACGATCTTAATTGTCGAGCGCGCTCGACAATTATGAAATTTTCTATATCTCTCGAGGGGTTTTTTTTTTCCTTCAAATTGCGTCGCTAGCTTCGAATCGCGTGACTACCGCGTGTCTCTTTTTATTGTATTAAGAAAATAAAAAAGTTGAGGTTGAGTACAAGGTCGTTATATTCTTAAAATTGTGCACTTGGGGTTTCCGTCTAGAGAGTGGTGTGTTAATATAAAACAACGATGTGTGTGTGTGTGTGTTGCAGTGTAATAGAACTCAGAGAAAATGTGGACTATCAGGTGGAATTCCAGGCTGGCGAGAGACGAATGGCTATTGTGGTTTCTTTATCGCCAAACTTTCCACTGGAGAAACCAGTACTCAGAGTTTCCCCACCGATAAGTCATCCTTGGTGCAACGAGCACAGTGAAATCACTAGTGCGCCAGGATTATTAAACGTGAGTACATTCTTCCCTTCGTATCGCAATTTTTATTCACGTTGCAGCTTTATTTCTTCTATTCTTTTTGTACATTAAAAAAAAAAAAACATTCTGTTGGTCCTCTTATAGTTTTCAGTACATAGTGATCTCGGCCGAGTTGTCCAAGTTATTATCAGAGAATTCAGTAAGAATCCTCCGCAATTGCTGGAGGATATTTCACCTGGCTCAACAAAATCTCACAGAGGTATATGTTACTTTCAGCAGGGGTTTGTTATTCTATTTTTTTTTTTTTTTTTCCCTACATCAACGTGATCAAACGTTTCTCGTGCGTGCTTGCAGACTTGCAGGAGAGGAACTCGCCATCTTATTCGCTTCAGCAGTATCCTGTTGAGATCCCGTCAACGTCGTTCAATTCGTATTACAGCACGCAGTATCCGCATCTGTCGTCCTCCAGTGCGAACACGTGCGTTTATAATTACAACTACACAAATTCGGGACAGACGTACGTCTCGGATTCGAAATCGTTCGGCGGCACGTCGCATCACTCGGCGTACATTCCGAGCTCGAGAAACAGCTCTCTTCACAATGCCGCGTCCACGCATTACACCTCGGCTCAACGCGGAACGTCGTACTTGAATTCGCATTACGTTAACGCGAATTATCAGCCGCCGTTGCTGAGTCAGCCGCAGACGAAAGTTCCGCAGAGCTTGATATTTCCCGAATTGAACAACTTGAGTAACGAGGAACTGAAGAAGCTGAGCGAGGACGACGACAGACTCGATGAATTTCTGGAGAAACATTCCCAAATTAAAGAAATCAATACGGCAATCGAGGATGCTATGGAATGGGTTGAAAAAACTGCCGGTGAGGAAAAAGTCGAGTGAAATATTTTTCTTGAAAAATAATATTTTTACATGTCTATGTCAACAAACTAAATAAATCTAATTCAATTAACGTGTATCTCTTTTCTCTTGCAGAAGCCAACGCAGCCAAAGAACCCGAGCTGAAGCAGCTGCAAGCCGACGTAGCGGACAAGGTGAAGACAGTGGCGGTGTTGAAAGCCAGATACGATCATCTCATACAACGATATAACAAACTGTCCGAGGTCTTTACGCCGGATCACATAAAAGATTGTCTGAGACGTGCGGCCGACGAGAGTCACGAGGAGAGCGAGAAAATCGCCGAGGATTTTCTCAACCGGAAGATCGATGTCGAACGTTTTCTCAGCACGTACATCGAGTGCCGGAAACTGGGCCAGGCAAGACGAACCAAGGAGGAGAAACTGGCGCATCAACTGAACGAGTTGAAACGAGCCGGCTTCTGAGATGACATATTCATAAAAAAAAAATTTTTTTTTCTATGAATCGAACAAAACAAAAAAAAAAAAAACAAAAACTCTTGTAAATAAGACTTAGTTAAATTAAATCTTCTTTGCGAGTTTGAATTTATATTACCAAATATCTCTAATGTGGCTCTAGAGAAACTACGGAAGAATTCGCTTACATATATAAAAGTACACGCTACGTCCTAAATTATTTTAAATCGTCGCCTAGCATTCCAACCGAATTGAAACACTCACACATAATAAACGTAATATACACACGCAAAGTGGCGCTAAACGCAAGTGATTAAAACTCAAGAGTGCTTTAAGATTAACCTCTATGAAATACGATTATTGCTGTGTGTTTCGGACTCGATTCGAACGAGATAAATCAGAAACGTATGTAGTGAACGGCTGAGTCCGCGCTGAAAAAACCCGTGTAACAAATCGAAAAGCAAAAAAAGAAACAAAAACAGAAGAGTACTTATTTCATAGTGAAAACAACATGGCTTTAATTATGTTAGTTTTGCACACGTGTGTGACACGTACCCGTCGCGATCAACTCCAGCAGAGATACGTTTTTTACTGGTGTAAATAAAAAAACAAAAACAAAAAAAAAACAAAAAACAAAATGCGCAGGGATGTAATTATATAAAATCAATTTTTTGAAGAAAAAAAAATTGCTATTCGGTGACGTTACGTTTTTTTTATTATTTATCCTGTGTGAATGTTCCTAAACGCTGTAACATATATTTGAAAACTGTATAGATACAATGAAGAGACGAAAGCAAAACACTGTTGAAGAGATTTGAAATTTCCCTTGTCCTTTCGTAAATGTCTAAAAAAAAAAAAAAAGAAAAAAAATAGAGAGTTAAGAAAAATTAAAACGTATTACATACATAAATATAAACATGTAACTTAATATTTTTTAGGGTTTTTTTTTTTTAGTAACGCTTAGTTGCTACGAACTGTGCGTGTGTATTATCGATCCGTCACATAATTCTTAAACCTGACATTCAGATATTAACGAATATGAGTATTATAATTGCTGTATATATATTACAATCTTATTCTCTCTTTCTCTTTGTGTGAATTCATCGTGGCACTAACGACAAGAACACGATCGAGCGCGCATTTACGTAGATACAAAAATAATACGTCGGTTAAGCAGCTTTTCCGTTAAATTGCACTGTTCAGTTCCAACATTGGCAATTTGGCAAGTTCCTAAGATAATGGAATCTCGATAACAGAGTGAACACATTTGTATAGAATTAACATTTCTCTTTTTTCTTTTGGATGCTTCGCACTCTCCTCATCTTCATTCCCGATACGTGACTTCAATGTAGTTTTGATAATTTAGAGATTCGCAGCGAGAGCTTCATCACGGATCCACAAAGGAGATCATAATGTAACGCGTGCCCGCCGTCACCAGCAGTCCTTCGTGATAGTGAGTGAGTCGACCGGGATGCATCAGCATCCAGCCCGGCTTCGTGTCGGTGACCGAACAGTTGTATCGGATGAACCTGCATCCGCCGCCCTCGTAATCCACGCCCGCTTGATTCAGGGCGATGTTGATGGTGTAAGTTGAGGAGTCATGATGCGGCCTCAAAGATGGCTGCTCGTCCGGCCGGTACCTCACTACAAAGTTCATCAGCGACCGCGGTGGCTGTTGACACAAAGTTAAAATATGACAAACTGAAATTGCGCGACAACAAACACAACTCGTTATGACGATTCTATTTACAGATGTTACGCAGATTCCCTCTAATCCTTTGTTACGAAGCGGCACGATCTGCGTGAATCGTACTAAAACCCGAAACCCTGTGTATTTACAGCGTATTACAGTGTGCGATCTGTACATCGTTAATAGCACGTTCCATACACCCGAGATTTTTGACTCTTACGTCGTCGTATCCTGTAAACACATGCTGTTGCAAGGGACTGACATAATCTTCGAGAAACTTTAACCAGGCGTCGTGCAGGCCGACCTGATTCATGTGAATATCGCGAGTCGGTACCGCTTCGTAGCCGGAATCCAATCGGGAATCCTGAAAAAAAAAAAAAAACAAAGCGAAGATGAATCTCTTACGTCGTGATAGTAACCGATGAAGACAAGCTCCTGCAACGGTCTAACATATTCTTTCAAGAAGTACAGCCAGTGTTGCTCGTACTGAACTTGATTCATGTGAATATCGCGGGTTGGCACGTTTTCGTATCCACCCGACAAACGTGGATCCTGCCGAGAAAGTCAATTGCGATAACAGAGATTTTAATCGCACAATATCACTGAACTCACCATCGTATGATCATTACTACACTTACGTGATTAGTCCCGTCGGACCACTGTCCAAACGCTTCGACGATTCCTATGAGTTCCTTGGTGAACCTGAGACTATTTATGGGGAACCAGTAGACGTCGGGACACGGCTGCGAATTAAAATCTAGTTAAAGTGGTTGAACATGTGATAAAAAAAAAAAAAAAAAAAATATATCTTTATATAAAAAGAATATTTCGCGATCTATGGACGATCGAATTGTTTACCTGTATCGGTTTCACGTCAGGATTGAAGCTGTCGCTATAATTCGGATGAATGTATCTCTTCTCCCAATCCAGCTTGTTGTCCATGATCTGATACATGTCCGGATACGTGAGTCGAATGTCGTAAGAGTCGGGATTGACGAGATGACCGAACTCGAGCCTGTTGCTGACATACATGAACAGGCCTCTCTGCCGATTTGCCTGTGCAAATGCCATTTCCGTGTCCAGGTCGCCGTCCTCGTAGGACGGGCGCGTAGCCTTGTTGGCGATGATTGTCGCGTTGATCAGGTAACAGTTGCTGATGAACGGCACGTTCCACAGTCCCCTGAAACAAACGTCAAACGTGATTTGGCGAATCGCGTGTGCAGGCGAAAGGGCGAGCACGCTCGGAAAAAAGCGCGGCGCATCGAGCGCGATCGGTGCAGACGCGCCTGTTTGCCCGCAGCGAACGGGCCGCGCATACGGGTTTTTAAATTTTGTTTTCCGGAGGTCATCGCTTAAGTGTTTTTGCAAAATGATCGCTACGGTAGTTGCGATTGGCCGATGGACACACTTGGCAATGGGTTATGCATAATTATCCAATTGAGATTCATAACTCTGTAACACCAGCGTGTGACTGCGCGTGTCGGTCGCGCGTCTCGCGTGACCCATTCGTATTTTAGGCGGTAGGACCTAGTCTAGCGGATCCGGTCTCCGTAATACGTTTCTGTCTTAGAGGTCAGCCTGAGTGATTTCCTTCGAAACATCGGTAAGAACCGACGACGGGGTGCTTCGCGATCGCGGGCCGATAAATTGCGTCGCGACCGCGTCGTAAACTCGTCCCGCGTTCGTTATTGCCGCATGGCTCATTGATCATCGAATTTCTCACCGATCATCGAATTGATTGATGTATCTATTATTGATCGAGTGGTGCGCACAAAAGAGCTCCGGCTATATAAAGTGCGAAAAAGTCGCGAACCGAACGCGCCGCGTAGTTGTCGTCGTTCATCGTCAAGTTTCTCTGGTTGTAGATGAAATGAGATGCCGGTTGCTCTGTCTGTTCTTGTTAACGGCCCTGATGATCAGCAGCACAGAGGCGGCGAAGGGCGGAGGTAGAGCGAGAAGCCGCGTCCGAGGAAGAGTGTATAACCAGCATATGCCCATCTTGATACCGCATCGAAATCCCGCCAGTGCGCACTATTACGAAAATAAGGATGTGAGTTGATGGTGCGCGTGTATATACGACACACATGTGAGTTAGGCGTGCGAGTTAGGTGGATGTCATCCGCTGGGACTTTTCGTAGGGCGCGAAGATCGTGAAGGCTTCCCACTTCGAGCTGGATTACATGCTGGGCAGAAAGATCACGTTCTTCTGCATGGCCACCGGCTTCCCGAGGCCAGAGATCACTTGGCTGAAGGACGGGATTGAGCTGTATCATCACAAGTTTTTCCAGGTAGGGGCTTAAAAGAGAGAGAGAGAGAGAGAGAAAAAAAAGCGACCGTCCTTATATAAACGGGATGTTCAAAACAAACAAATCCACTAGATAGTAGCAAAAAATTGAAGCTATTTAGACAACGTGAGTGTAAAATCGATAGGTGCACGAATGGCCGGTTGGCAACGACACGATAAAATCGAAAATGGAGATCGATCCTGCAACGCAGAAAGACGCGGGATATTACGAGTGTCAGGCGGACAATCAGTACGCGGTCGATCGACGGAGCTTCAGAACGGACTACGTCATGATCACGTATTGAACGCGTTCTTCAGATCTGCGAGAGACATCGCGCGCGCATACACTGTATTAGAATTAATTGTAACACTTTATCAATATATAGTACACGAGATTATATTAATCAAAAGTTTATTATATAAGTTTTTACCTAGCTAAACGCATTATTGCTATTAGCAACTTTAATAATAAAACGAACATGTGACAATCATATTTCGAGATCTGAGAAATTTCGATTATTAAATAACCGATGAGACTGATACTTCCTTCCATTTTGTTTTTGTTTTACAAACTCATCCATCGACACGAGTAATGTGTAATATTTACAATGTAAATTTTGCATTGTAAAATAGAATGGCTTTCTTCTTCGGAACGCGACAGCGGAACAGACAGATTTCTCTTCGCCGAATTGGACTTTGCGCGAAGACGATATACGAAAAAAAAAAAAAAAAAAAAGAAAACAAATTTATAAGTTCCCCCCCAGTTCTTATTCGTTAAAGCATGATTGACTGTTACAAGGGTGACACGTACGTAACGCGACGAATATATCGAAAATGGTTCATTGCGAATTTAACAAGGTAATTGTGCCGCGCACGCACAAAAGTGGTATGGAAGTGAATACTTTGCTGCGCTGTCAGCAAACTCGCCGATCTTTATGACAGACAATCCCAAATAAACAATTTTTGCACGGGTGTTTGCACATAAACGCGACAATATGTACACGGACACATCGCGTTTTCTATTTTTCTAATTTCTTCGCACTTGTAAAACACGTTTCTTCCGTTTCTCACTTTTGACGATACACAACTGATGAGATGTAATGAAATATCAATAAGTTTTTTTTTCTTTATCGGTAAAAACGTGTCCGTCTCTTTCTCCGTGTCCTCCGTTTAGATAACAATTGATAATAAAAAATGAAACGCGAAATATAAATTCTACAAGTGCGTCGCAAACGTGGCTCATCGTCCGGAAATGATGGATATGGTTGAATTAATAGATAAGCGGTCCGCAGATTTGATAGAAATTGATGATGATCACACGTAGCACCAAAGAAATAACCAGTGCATACGCACACACATATAGAGACCGGCTGCATACATTTGCATACAAGTCTGTAATAGATACAAGAGGACACTAGGGGAGTAATGAGTAGGTGACTGTCAGTTACATCGGAGTTCCGTGTGATCTACGAACGTTGCTGCGTACACGGTGAGTATCCTCGCTGTGTTTGTTGCTTGTGATAAATGTGCATTGAGAACGGACATTCACACAAACGTGTTCGCACGTTTAATCGGAACAATTCCGAAACTGCGGAGTTTACTTTCAGAAAATCTCGCGATTGTAATCCCGGAGTTTTGGAAATTTGCGATCGCGAGTCCGCGTCGATGCACGACCGCACGGAGATGTGCGACGACACCGCGCGCAACACGGTGTAAAAATGTATCATTTTATCGCAGATTATCATGTCACGCTCGATGCTGCTGTTGATCCTGCTGGGTGTATTGTTGCTCAATTGTCAGGAGACGCTCGGCCGACGAGGACGGGGAAGAAGCAGGAGTAAGTCTCGCGTACAGATCGGACTGCCCATTACCGGGAAGTACCGTGATCCGGAAAGCGATCAATATTACAACAATAACAATGTATGTATGTTGAAAGAAGAACACGTTCGAGAAGAAGACGAACTTCTCGATGTGTGCACATTTATATCGCGCTCTTCTTCGTAACGCGAAATTCCTCGTGAATTCTTCATTAAATTTATTATCATGATTTTAGGGAGCTAAAATACTACTGGCGTCGCATTTCGATCTGGAGTACGTCTTGGGACACAAAATAGCCTTCCTCTGCGTCGCTCGCGGCAATCCGCGCCCGCACATTACGTGGTTCAAAGATGGCAGCGAGATTTACACGCATCACTATCTACACGTTAGTATCATTTTTGACGTAATAATAATAAAAGTAACAATTGCAAAACTATCGACTGAAGAAATTATCTTTAAAAATAAGCAATCGCGATCGCACGATGAAATTGCGCTAAAAGAAATTATTTTATCATTTGCGACAGATACACGAGTGGCAAGTTGGTACCGACAAAGTAAAGTCGAAACTCGAGATCGATCCCGCCACTCAGATGGACGCGGGTGTTTACGAGTGCACGGCGGATAACATGTACAGTATCGATCGGCGATCGTTCAAGACTGATTTCTCCATCGCTTTCGATTAAATGCGAGAAATCCTTCCCTCCCCAAAAAACATAAAATTAAACATAAATACGTAAAGTATAATCCTAGATATCGCGTAAAATTTTTACGATAGACACTATGAAACGTAGTAGATCCTAAGATTTAGATTGTGTATTATTTTTAATGTAATAATTTGCAGAAGAAAAGTCTAAAGGTGTTCTATTAATTCAAGAGTGTGTGAAAATATTATTTTTAATCCTTATGTAAGGCGCTCTCTAAGATAGCACGTTTAATTTTCACCGTAACTTTCGGCTCAATTGTGTCGCAAGTCGAGTTTCAACAAATATCGTTCTAAAAACGTGTGAAAATTAGATCTAATCGGAATAATAATCCGTTTCTTTTTTTTTTTAGAGTATAAAAACTATCGATATGCGACTCGTTTTAATATTATTATTTATCGCAGTTTTTCACGGTGAAGTGAAATATAAAAAAAGATCAATACTCATGTATTTCGCTTTACCTGCGTTCGTTTTTTATTATCTCCATGTAATCAAAACTCCGCGCGTAGAATCCGTCGTCCGTTATAGCGCCCCAGAAGTTGCTCCAAGCTTTGTACGGGCGAATGAGCAACGGCGCGACAATGCCTCTCTGCTGTTCGACCAGCAACTTCAACGTGTGCTCGTTGTCCAAGTGCGCGACCGCGTCGATCGACAGATATCCGGAACACTTCTTCAACAGACAATTCTCCCTGCGAAATATATACAACAGATTGCTCTTTAAAGGTGCGCCAAATGTCGCGCGGTCTCGCTCGCTCTCGCGCAAATCGCAAACTTCAAATCTTTGAATACACACGTTCGCAGAATTATTCGATTCGCAAACTTACATCGCCAACTTTCTCGCGTCAACCTCGGTGATTCCGTCGCTCGGCAGTATTTGTTTCGTACTCTGATATTCCTGGCCGACTCGGTCCAGGAAGTCGTTCGTCACGCTCTCGTGATAGGGCACGTTGTTGTGAACGAACAGATGCAGCTTCGACTTCGGATAGGTCTGATGGTAGATAGCTTGGAAGAACTCTTCCAAGAACGGCGTGGGTTGTTCGATGAAGACGGCTATCATGATAACCGGATACGTTTCCGGTTTGATCTTGTCAAGCTCGATCGTTCGATCCCAACAGGCTAGGCATCCCTCGTCCGGTATCCAAGCGCGGGCCAGATAATTGCCCAGAGAGTTCAGGACGAGCTTGCTGATCCCGTTGCCGTGAAGGACCAGAGGCACCGTGTTGTAGACGATGTTCTGAAGATAAGCTTCTTCGCCTTTGAATCTGAGCTCCACGTCAGCTGCGAGACAATCGATAAAATAAGTAATCGGCTGAGTAAGTCACGATTATCAATATCAATAATCCCTCACAACGGATTCTCTGTTTGCGTTCCTCACCTACCGCACCGAAGAGGTTCTGAAATATTTCGGATTTGTGGTCTAGTTTGATCTTGTGTCGGGTTCGGAGCTCCTCGTTCAGATACGCCATCGTGTAAAACAGCTGATCGTCCTCCTCGTCCTTGATAGACGCGTTGTTCAGAATCGCGTACAAGTCGGACGCGTATCCGATGAATCCTCCCGAGTTCAAGTATCGTTTGCCTCTCGATACGGGCGGATAGTTGTTCGCCAAGGATTTATCCGGCCAGCAGTATCCTTCCGCGGAGAACAAGATCCGAGCGTCGAACTCCTGGAATCGCTCGACGATGGCAGGTAAACCACCGAGAAATATTAAGTCGTAACTAAAAGTAAACGATACATTATGTGTATTTGTCTATGCGTCACAATGAGATTTTTTTCTTCAGCATCAAGTGTAAACCTGTCGGTGAACAAAACGATCCTCTTCTCATCGTCTCGGTAATCCTCCAAGGCCTTTTTGAGAAGATTAATTTTGTATCCACCGCCGGCGTATCTCATATTGCCGCCTCTCCAGGGCTCGCCGAATCCGAGAACTCTCAGATTGTCGCGAAACTCATAGACCTCAACCGATCTGAGATACCTCTGGAAGCCATCCGTCTCGTTGGAGGCGACGGTAAATACCAGAACGTCTAAAAGAGAAAAAGAACAAATGAGATTTATCAAAAGCGTATAATACCAAAAATAAACAAAGTTCGTGACTATTATATTCTCAAAAAATCTCTTTTTTGTTTTGAAGACGCTCTCGTTGAGAAACGACGCAAAATATTCGTATGAAAAAAACTGGGAAGAGAAAAATTGGACATTTCTTAGATGGAAACATCTTTGTGTACATTTGGAGAGGCGGCGTTGGCGATTCCGTCATTGTTACTCGGCTGGTGATCTTGTTAGCCGAGAGCGTCATGATGTCACGTCATTGGAAGAAGTAGCGCCCACGAGAGCCGCGGCACGTACGCCAGCCGCGTTGAGTGTCATACGTTTCTCCACGCGGTGCTTGTATTACTGAGCTGTGTGTTGATAAACTTACGCAAGCCATAACGAGATATTCTTGGAACAGCCGAACTAAGAGAGAAGTATTTCCAGAACTTTCCTTCCAAAAAAACTTACTCGAAGGGAGAAGTCGGAGAATTAAATTTGTTTGAAGAGTTTCTCGCGCGATGTCGAACATCGTGCTCGGTTGAAAAATTTATTCATAAACTTCATGCAATCTCGGAGCAATGATATGTTAATTCGATAATTTGTTTCGGCGAGGAAGAACAATTAGCGCGAGATAATTTTTGAATTACAAAGCAATTATCGCGCTAAGAGATATAGACGCATTTCGAGGATTGAAACGTCTCGCGTGGCTAGCAACGGCGGAAATGAGATGATAAAGCATATGTGTATGCACTCGATCCAGTTACAAACGTCGAGACCAGAATCAAATTAGTTCACGCTCCAGAAATGAAGTAGTTCTGTTTGCATGCAGCGCGCATGATTACGGTATTCGATCATCATCGAGCTTCTTAAAATGATTCGCGTTTCATTATACCGGTTTTCTTATCTTTATCTCTCGCACAGAGAGAAAGATATGTATTATATCGTTCGCACTGAAGCGGCAAAATAAAAAAAGATGACATAATCGCGATTCCGCAATAAGAAGAAATGTGCCACTTGCAGCGAGATCAACGGGATGTGTGATCGCAATTTCCACAAATAGACCTAATGACCCATATATGCCTCGTTCTTCGAATGCGCAAATTATTTTCATTCCCGCGATTCTTTACATATATATTTATTTGTTTATATAACATGTATTTTTGTATTCTATATAATAACAAATTGCTGTTTCATGGAAGACGGAATCGGTCGGAGAGATGAAGATGGCAATTTATTCAGATCTCAGTGTTCTGACTCTCGAAGTACTATACTTTGGCAGGATCGACGCGAATAACTAAGTACGCGCAAAATGCGCGTAGTTCGAAGAAAGTGAATTATTTCAATTATATCAAGCAGGAAGAGAAAGAGATGAGATTTTCGCCGTCAACCGCCCTCCCGAGGTCGACGAACGATGACTTTCGCTACTTCTTCGTCCGTCTTTCGAAAGAAAAAAAAAATTAAATAATTGCGTGTTATTAACTTTCTGTTATTATTATATAACTCTCTTGCAAGTCGATTCGTGGCTCATCGAAGAGGCTTGGAAAAAAGCTAAGATGGGATCCTGAACCCATGCGATTCTTTCTTCACTGCGAACCAAACGTATACGTGGGTGTCGAAAATGTACCAGAACAGGTTTACAGAAAAATAAAATAAACGAGAGAGAAGGAAGAGAGCTCTGGAACCCCATAAAACATGTTCTTTGATATTAAAGTTCAAATTCTTGTTCCACTCATTTCATTGTACAAACAAAACTAATTCAATAAATAAATCTTTAAAATTCCACACACATGTACCGTTTATATAATCCATTAAAAAATTTATTCGTCGTTGTGTTAAAAAATTATAAAAAAAATAAACAGACTAAGATTTTAATTTTAAAATGTTTTCTTTAACTTCTCCAGTTCTTTTCTCAATACGCGAACAAATGGTTTCATCTAACTACTCAAATTAAAGCTACTTAAAACTACTCGAATTAAAGCTAAAACTAGAACATGTAAACTGTAATAGGGCTAAAACTAGAGCATGTAAATCGTAACAGTGTGCATGTGCGGATCATATGGAAATTTTGTGTACAATCCAGAACATTCCGCGAGATCTCTTCACATCTTAATCCTTTGAAAAGAATCTCTACACGAGACATCCTTCGAAACATCCTTTTGCGTTATTGCGGATGTTTAGGAGCCAAGCGTGCGGTCTGTCTCCCTCTCTCTCTCTCTCTTTCTCTCTCTGTGTATCGATCTTTGCTGCGACACATACCGGCAAACGGATTTATCCGTTCCGGTTTGTCGTAAGGGCAAAATCGCGTCGTACCGTTAACGTCAGCCGCTGGTTCCTCGCTCACCACGTGGTACGTCAGGAAGACGCAGCACCACACGAGCCAGCATCCAATTCCCTTGCTGCGGAGCATTCTTGTTTCTATCTCTGTCTCTTTCTCTCTCTTGTGCGCGCGAGTGCACCAACAGAACCCGAGGGTCACCGGCAACTTCGCACCGCTCTTCTCCGAGATATGCGCGTCCGTCACTTCGCGTCGCTCGGCGTCGACTGCGCGCCGCCGAGTTTGCAACCGACTCGGATCAGCAGAGCCGTAATCAGCGAATAACGGTGCCCATAGTACGTTGCAATTCTTGATGCACGGAGATCGTGAACTCGAGTTTATAGAACGTGCGAACGTTCTATTTAAGAAATGTCTTGTTCTTGTTGTCTAATTACGGCTTTGAGGTAGTTGATTTTCTGTAAAAGGAGATTGCTACTTGTCGACGACGACGATCACTTTACCGACGCTCTCACTCGGTCGGTGATGACGCACGAAGTATCGCCTGCCGATACCTCGCAATCGTTTATTCTTCTCTCATTGCGGGAAAAATAAAAACTGTATCGAATTACTGTATTGCATAAAAATTGCGCTAAAGCCTCAGTCTTCGACGTTCTATGAAAAATGACACGCAAAAAACATAATTTAACATTATGTAAACTTGGGACGAAAAATGTGTTGTTTGCTGGTACTTTCAGTTGGTCTGCGCGCAACAGAGACCCTCAATTGCGTCCCACTCTCTTTGTATCCTTTTTTAAATATAAAATATTTCTGGACACATCTAATTAAAAAAAAAAAAAATGAAGATATTTTTCGGCATAATTAGTTCCCAATACACACAGACGAATGTGAAAAGCAATTTGAAAAGATGAAATTTTTTAAATCATGCAATTTAATTGCAATTAACGGATGCACATGTGAGAGATAAAATACCTGTTGTGTCAAGATACGATGAGCAAGATCTTTTCGGCGGCTTGTATCGCTCGATGACGGAGAAATTGTCATCCGAATCGTTTTCCCGACACAAGAGATTGTTCGAAGGCACGTAAACGTCGTGACTCGACTTCAATTTGCACACCCCCTCATTGCTCGTTGTAAAATCAGCGCAATGCGCCAGCAAAATAATCAACCGCACTAATCTTCCGAAGACACTCCCTGTTTTCATGATAGTAGCACCTGCTAGCTCGATAAATTGCCAGTTCTTGAAACTTGTCTCTCTCTCGAGCGCCGAGTTTATCTTAATTAAAAAACAAAAAAAATTATATGTATTATATTCTTCCTCTCTCTTTTGACACAAATTATTTAATTTGTATACATTCCATCTTGAAAATTTCTACGACAACAACAAACATCTACAAGTATCGTGTCGCTTCTAACAATTCCGCAAATATTCTCGCGTTCTTATCGCATCGATTGCCGCACCGAATTACGTCGATCAGTATCGAAGATTCGGACATTTATAGGAGAAAGCGGGAAACTCGAAAGCGAGACGTTCGATTCGCTTTTTGTTTTAGATTGAAAACAACCACCCGTAGGCTAAACCGTCGCACCGTGTCGACGTTTTTGTTCGTTTGTGATTTCCTATTCCAACCGAATGTGCCATCGTCGACCCGTGAAGTTGTACAACGAAACGCGAATAAAACATTTTGATTGAACGCCATGTAGACGACATGTACACGTTATACTTTTTTTTTTTTTTTTAAAAAAAAAAGTATCTACAAATATATTCTTTGAAAAAGACTACACTATCGTGTATGTAGATAATTGAGTTACGTGATTCAACCGAGCTAATGCTCAACAAATCGAATTAACCACCAACTTAATACAATTACTTGGACAACGATGTGGACGATCCTGAGGCTTCTTTAATGTTGTTCAGAAATCGTTTAACAGTTTTCACGTGTCGATCGTCGGTGGCGCATTTCTTTTTTTTCTGGATTGAAACTCCGCGCCGTACTACTTGAGACCGGCAAAAATGGGCAAAGACGATGCCGAAACCACCGCCCTTAAGAAAGAGCTGGAAGATCTCATTAATAAGTGCAAGGTTTCTTTTTGGCTCCTCCCAATTGAATGATTTATAGTATTATATAAATGTTTCAATATATACGCAAAACCACGAGACATTGATGTTCTTCGTTATTCTTCTTTCATATCTGTCTCGTTTCATCAGGAAGATCAAAAGAAACAGCAGGATACGACGTTGGAGGAGGCGTGCAGTGGAGTAGCGGATGCTCCGAAAGTTAAAATGTCGACCAAGAAGCTTCTCAAGGGCCACATTAACAAAGTCAACTCGGTGCACTTCAGTGGCGACAGTCGGTCAGTTTTGGCCAATAGCAGTTTTCCTCGAATCGTTGAATCGTAAAAAAGAAACAAAACGCGTACTTATATACGCGTGGCTTCCGTTTCACTCTTGTAGACTCGTTTGTTTTGTCTGCGTAGACATTGCGTGAGCGGATCGCTGGACGGGAAGTTGATCATCTGGGACACGTGGACCGGTAACAAGGTTCAAGTCATCCCGTTGCGCTCGGCCTGGGTCATGTCGGTGGCGTTCGCGCCGACCGGCAACTTCGTCGCCTGCGGCGGCATGGACAACATGTGCACCGTCTACGACTTGAACAATCGCGACTCCACGGGATCCGCGAAGATCGTGAGAGAGTTGCTCGGTTACGAGGGATTTCTATCGTCCTGCAGATTTCTGGACGACAAGAAGATCATCACCGGATCTGGCGACATGAAAATGTATCTTAACGTAACGTTAAAACAAAGCAGATACCAATTATTTTATGGGTTATAATTAATGACGGTGAACACCTTGCGCGTGTCTAGTTGCATATGGGACCTCGAAGCCAACAAGAAGACAACGGACTTCGAGGCGCACGCGGGCGACGTGGTGAGCATCAGCTTGTCCCCCGACGGCAACACTTACATTACCGGCTCGGTCGACAAATCTTGCAAGTTATGGGATTTACGAGAAGAAAAAACTAAACAGACGTTTTTCGGCCATGAAGCTGATGTAAATTCCGTTTGTGTAAGTTTTTCGATAACGTATTTTGCAGATTGAGTGTTATCTTTGTTGGCCAACACTACGTTCCACGTTGCACAATTCTTAATGTTTTCTTCTAGTATCATCCCTCCGGACAGGCTTTCGTGACAGCGTCTGAGGATAAGACGGCAAGACTGTGGGACATCAGATCCGATCAACAGCTAGCCACGTATAAGCCACCGAACTCGAATCCTGGATTTACATCGTGCGGCCTGTCTCTGAGCGGTAGATACATATTTTGCGGCAGCGACGATAATTCCATTCACATATGGGACGTGCTGAAGAATCAACACAACGGTGAGTTTAATTTATCTTTTATTAATTGAATAAAATAATTTGTTATACTTTTTGTTGATCGTATCACTTAATAATAGTATTCGTAATTTTATATATGGAATAAAATAGTGTTTTTTTTTTTTTCGTATCATATCAAGGTGTCTTGTCAGGCCACGAGAACAGAGTGACGTCCCTCAGCGTCGCCGGCAACGGGATGGCAATAGCCAGCTGCTCCTGGGATCAGAATGTACGAGTTTGGGTGTGAATATAACAAGACTTATTATACGCAAAAAGAGAATTAATGAAAACACTGGACGAGAAGTATATTGGGTTGTTCGAAAAGTTCGTAGCGTTTCTTTAATAGGTGCGCGCAGATACTAAAAACATCGAACAGCATCGCATACGGAACATTTACAGAGAGAAGCTAAATTTACGCGAGTCGGTGCGGATATACAAGTCTCTTAAACATTCATTAAAAAAATTAACTACTTTACTGAACAACTCAATATTACCAATAATACATTGATATCAAAGAGCCTTCGATCGATTCTTCTTACACGATACTTGCACAGAGAGCCTTACTCGAGTTCTCGTCGACAAGCAAGATGACGCGCGTTCAGTCTATAATTACAACATAATCGATATCGTTAAGCGTATTAAAATACTTTCTTGTTACTTGCATTCATTGTAGCCTAAACACACGAAAAATGTTACAATTAAATACATTGAAATATATCTTACACGATTGTGATATAACAGAAGCTGCAACTTGTGATGTTACCGTACCGTATAATCCACCGTAAATAAAAAAAAAACAAAAAAAAAAAAAAACAAAAAATTACCTCATCTTCAAAAATGCAGCAGTATTGAATAATATATTCGTGATTACATGAAACACACACACATACGCTGATGTTTTACAGCGCAAATTGCACATTGCCTGTTATTTATTTCTACAACATAGATCAATATTACACGATTTATTCCTATTGATGCTGCAGAAAAAGTGCGTTAAAAAAATCGTGTCCCGTGAAATTCATTTGTAATAATGAAATATAATAAAGATTTGGTATGTTTGGCTTTATAGGGGTGAAGCGAGGGCGTCAAAAATATGTTTTTTTTTTTTTTTTCTTGTGTTCTCTTCGCATAGACGGCGAATACGCCGTAATTGTATCATATATATATATATATATCTCATATACTATTTGTTCTCGTGAGCATTAACCTAGGCCAGTCTAGCAACGAGTATGTGTGTTAGGTGTATGTGTGTGTGTGTGTGTGTGTGTCGTACGTGTGTTTTAAAAGATTTAATACTAATTAAGATAGAGAGACTTTACAGTGCGTCATAAAATTGTCACAACGTAATTTGTTCGAACGTTTTTTTTTTCTTCCTAACTGGAGAGACTGAATTCTTTGCACAAAAGAACTAGCATTAAGTACTACACGAGGATCCACATACATATATATGTACATTAAATACTGCAGCGCGCGCTAAAACCAAATAACTAAAAAATCTGCAAATTTATTTCCTATAATCTTGACAATAAAATCCTTAATTCGGCTAAACGTACGTTAAAGAATCGTTCGCGGAGCTTCAACATAAAAAAACAAATGTACAGTACAGCGCGATTTCGACGGAATTGAAACACTGATTTTCAAAATGTCTCTTACCACAGTCGCATCGTTCAAACGATCGGCACAGAATTATGTACAATCACATCACTTCCGTATATTGCGGGTGCGTTTAAAAAGTCAGGCATAACACACTTTCGGACACAGATTAGAATCCGTCCAGGTGAACGAGCAGAGCTGTGATCACCGTGGCTCCGGCCTCTTTGGTCGCCCATTTGCTCGATTCGCACTGCGAATCGGCGCTGTCCTTGTCGCCGGGACTGATTGTATACGAGCCGGGCCTCACCAGCAATTGGAACGCGGTCGATACGTTTAACTTCTTGTTCGACTGCATATCGATGTATCTGCGGAATTGAAAAATTACAATGCAGTGTGATCTAGAAATAATTAATCTGATCAACGCGAGAAAGGTGTCAACACTCACGGATACTTCTTGGTGAATTCGTCGGACGCCGCGTACTTGATGCTGGGCGAGAATGACACCTGAGGATTCTGATCTTCGCTCTTTGTACCCGCCGTCAAGTTACTCACGTCTAGCTGCTCTTTGGTCATAAGTTCTCCTCTGTCCAGGATCAATCTAAACGTGCGGTAGTGTGACGTTATTTCACAATTGAGAAGAAATCTGATTGTATTCTAAGCACACGTGATCATTCTGTATTTACCTTATCGCGTCCAGACGTATGCCGTAGAACGCGACGTGCCACTTGTCCGTTGTGCTTTGCGGTATCTGATTGGCGTTGATGCTCTGCTTCAACGGAAACCTGGCCCAACCAATCGGGATAGCAAATTCCGCCGGTGGTTCGCCCTTCTTACAGATTGCGTTGTCGGCGTCCACCTTGTAGCACACGCTGCAATAACACACCACCTCGTCGGCGGAGAAGAACTCGTCCGGCAGCACGAGCGACTTCTTCAACTGCATGCACGCTTTTAAATAATCGCATTTCTTCGAGGACGCGACGGTGGATCCGAGAGGAGTGGACGGTAACGACGACACCAGCGTTATCGAGGACGCGTTGTACTGCTGCGCATCCCGATTGGCCGCCGTGTTCTGGCTCGGAGATACGTTGTCGCTGAGAGAATTGTCGCGGATCGTCAGCGTGGCGTTGTCGCGAGCCACGTACGTTCCGCGCGACTCGTGAAAACTGGAGCAAACGTTGTTGGGAAGATCCGACAGATTGTTCTGTTGCGCGCTACTTACGCTATTCACCTGACTATTGGACGCTATACTTTCGTTAATCGCGTTGTTCGCGTTAGTCGCGATGATCGCCGCGTTCAGACTGGTCATGTTGCTCGCGCTGGCAACCATGCCTTTCTGTATATTAATGTTCGTCGCGTTGTTTATCTCTACGTTTGTACAATCGTTTCGTAAAACATTCGCGAGCGCGCGATTTTCCGCATCGTGATGGGACTCAATAGAGTTGTTCTCGGCATGATTGTTCAACGGCGCGTCGACGTTGTCCAGATACACCTTGTTCCTGGCACTACGCCCGTCGTTACTCATCTCCGAGCCCGAGTCTGAATTGTTGCTGTCGATGCTCGACATCACTTTGTTCCCCATTGTCTTGTTCGCTAGATTCGCACTGTTGTTACTGCTGAAGGAAGGATATTCGACTTCGAGATTGCCGTCCTTGGTCGTGTCGCACTGGCTAGGCACACTTGGAGGCGTCGAAGACAACGAGAGATCCGACGACGTGGCCGCCATCGCATTTTCTTTTTCATGACACTCCAAATCTGCCTTCTCGCGTGAATTCTCCACGTCTTCCGTTTCCACGCTCGCGCACTCTGCGGGAGTCACGAGCGCGTTGTCGATCGCGACATTCGTGTAAGAAGGTTCCTCGTTCACCCCCACGACCGACACCTGCTCGCACTGTCCGTACAAATCGATCACAGCGAAGACATACGGCGGCAGATCGGTCGCGGCCGTTCCCTGATCAATACCATTGATAAACAAATGCAATCGACTGTCTTCATCTATCAACAAACCTACGATGGAGTTTAACTGCAGATTTTCCAGTCCGGCACCGTACTTCGTCTTGACCCGCGTGCCGTTGTGAAATATCCAGTCACTGCAGATGACCCACGAGTGTCTCTTGAAGCCAAGCGCAGTCAACGGGAAACTCGTCTGTTTTTCTGGCGATATGCAGGACACGCCACAGAGAATACCCGACACCCAACGTTCGTTCAATTTCTCAATCTTCACTTGGAACGGCTTCCCTTTTATTAACGGGTGACTGGACATCACAACGCCTTGGTTATAGCTAGCCACTCGTTTAGCAATTGTTTTTGATTCTAGTTGGATGTTTCTGCCGTGATTCTCATGAAACTCGTAAATCCAATCTCCGTCTCCGACGGGATTAACAGCAACGGGCTGTGTCGGCGTGAGTGTTGCCTCGTTCATTAATTTTCCTTCGGACACGTCGATGGACGTGTCCATGCCCGCGTCGTTTCTCGGCGCCACAGGATCTACCAAAAGTTCCAACGAATCTTGCAGCCTCAGACTAGCATTGGGAGATATCACAGAATTTTGTTGCTTACTGCTCGTGATATTCACAGCCACGGTGCTACCGAAGAGCTCAATCACCGCGTACACCATTTCCGGCACATCAGACGCCGCTACGCCCATGTCCTCCCCATTTATGTAGAATTTCAAGTTGCCCTCGTGCGTGCGCTTCACGCCGATCTTATCGCCCACGCGCAACCAATCCAGACTCGTGCAGTAATTCGAAGCGAGCGCGTAACCCGTGTGTCTCACCTCGTTACCCGTCAGGTACCAGGCGTCGCCGGGAATGGATGTCATGCCAGGCACGAGATTCATCGACGTAAGCCAGTTGCCAGTCTCATTACTCAAAACACCTATCCTCATACAACCGCTCCACTCGCGCGCTACCTCCTGAATCGCGATCTCGAACACTTCGTTGTTCTCTAGCGCCGCCTCGCTCAAGAGAACGGCGTTGTTGTACTCTCTGCACCTGGTCGCCACTGTTCTGTCGCTGTTCAATTGAATATTCAGTCCGACCGACTCGTGGAACTTGTGCAGTATCTCAGTCTGCGCCTGAGGTTGAATCACCGATGTCGGTTGTTGGCTTATACTGTTTTCTGATGGCACATAGTGTTGGGTCAGAGGATCTCTGCGTTCAGGTAACACGATTGTCACCTAAAATTAAACAATTAATTAAACTAATATTCCAAGAAAAAACGCACTGCTCTTATCGGACAAGTATATTCGCCATACCTGCGCACACTGACCGTACAGATCGATTACTGGATAAACGTTCGGAGGTAAACCTGTACAAGCAGGACCTTGATCCACTCCGTCCAAGAAATAATGTAACGAAGAGTCCGGACAGCGCATCATCCCGATTCGATTACCTTCCGACAATTTGTCCAGATCACAAGCGTAATTATTACGTAACGTAATACCGTCGCGCATCACCGTAGATCCAGAGAGCATCCAAGTATCGTGATCAATGTCCGTCATTGTAGACGGAAACTCTAGCTCGTCAGGTCTTATTACAGTTACTCCTGCAGTGTTTTTTATCATAGAAAAATTAACGGGTTCGTGTTACATACTTAATAAATATATCGCAACAATTATAACGGCAATTACCAGCTTCTATGGCACCGGACCACCTAGACACCATCTTATCTATCGTCACTTCAAACATTTCGCTGTCACGCAGCGCGCGATTCGCAATTACAATAGCCTCGTTGAATTCAGCCAGCGCTCGCGGCCTGGACGCCGTTAGACCGTTGTTCGTGATCCTCGCGTTCTTTCCGTGCACATGATGGAATCTCAGATCACTGTTTCAATATAGATTTATTTTATAAAATTATATTCCATTTTATATGTTCGCGATTGTGAAACATCAGTAATCGAAGTGTTTTGGGATTTCGCACCTATACAACGTCGTGTTGCTGAAGCTCGAATTATTTGTAGTCGGACTGTAGAAATCCACATTGTCGACGATGGTAGCCTGTGCGGCCTGTCCATAGAGATCGATCACGCCGTAAACTCTCTCAGGCACATTCATTGCGGCTGCGCCTTGATCGGCGCCGTTCACATAAAAGTGCAGTGTGCCATTGTCCTTCCTCATCACGCCGACGCGATCGCCGATTTGCAAACGATCAAGATTCTGTCCGTACTGATCTATCATGGTGGTGCCGTTGTGCATAACACCGTTGCCCGTCATCATCCACGTGCCGGATCTGCAAGCGATATGAGCCACCTTCGAGCGATAACAAACGAGTGAACAAACTTACCGTAACACACGCGACTCTTCGTGATTCGCACAAAACCGCGTAAAACTGACACGCCTTACCTACCTAACGTTTGTCATCGTAAATGGGAATTCCAGCTCCGTCGGAGAATGCGTCGTAACTCCGATTTCGATAGAGCCAGCCCACTTGGTGACGATTTTATCCAGTCTGACTTCAAACAGTTCGTTGGGCTTCAACGGTCTCGAAGTTAACACCACGCCGTTATTGAAGTCGTCTATGGCGCTGGAAGAACAATTTATATCGACGATTAAAGAAAGAGCGAGACACTTCGAGGAATTCTCAAATGTAATTAGCAATTTTTTTCTTCGTTTACTTTGGTCTGTGCGCTGTACGTCCGTTATTAATCACGTCGGCGCGTGTGCCGCAACAGGGATGAAACATCAATCTGTCGGGTAGTTCTTCCTCTCCAGTTTCTACAAAAATTATCGAATATCAATCACCGATATAAAACACTTTCTTTTCGCGCGCGTCAATTTTTTCCCAACGGAAATAAATCACACCTTCGCTGTCCAAACCCTGCAGCTGCAACGTGTTTCTTCTGGTAACCAGATTCTGTTCCTCCCTTTCGTCACGATCGACAATAGTTACTTTCACGGTCATTCCGTAAAGATCAATCACGCCCCACACACCGGCAGGTACCTTAGCGGCTACACCTTGATCCAGACCGTTTATTAAATAATGGAGATCACCATTACTCTGCCTAACCATTCCCACGCGATCTCCTTCCTGAAGAACAATAGGACAAAGATAGATACGTTTAAAAAAAAAAAGATGAATAAACCAATTCAGCATTACAATTCCAGTTCTATCGTACCCTCAGTTCGTCCAAGTTGAATTCCCCGTATTCCCGTTGCGTGCCTTTGCCATTCGTTAGAATACCACAGCCAGACATCATCGTTGTACCGGAGCGCATATTGGTCATCGTTGCGGGAAATTCTAACGCCGTAGGACTGTGAGTAGTGACTCCGACCTCTATACTCCCCGACCATTTGTAAACCAGTCGGTCTATTCGTATCTATAGGAGAGATTCACAAAATCAATAACAAATTCGATTTATGCAAAAATACAAATCGATCGGATTACACATGTGTAGATTCTCATCAAGCGCTCTTACTTCAAACAGTTCATTGTCCCGTAACGGTCTGTGAGTCATCACGACGCCATTGTTGAACTCGTCCAGGGGTCTCCGTCTCTCGGCAGTTCTGGCGTTATTGGATAATTTCACCAACGACCCGACTCTCTCGTGAAACCTCAACCTGTCCTCTCTAATAGCGGCGGGACTTGGATTTTTTGGTAGATTAACATTCACATTGACATTTAAATTAACGTTTAAATTAGCGACTAGATTAGTTGTCGAGGAACTGGAGGTTTCACCTCCTATTACATAGTCATTATTAATCTCCGCGTCCTCTTTCGGCATGTTGGACAAAGTGGCGGCAAGTCTAGGGTGAGATATGCTGACTTGTACACAATTACCATACAGATCCACAACAGCGAAAACACGTTCTGGAATGTTGGTCACGGCGACACCTTGCGAAACACCATTGATATAGAATATCAGTTCGTGCTGGAATTTTGAACAAAAAACACATATTACCATTTACATATACTAATTAACATTAAGTCAAATTAATGAATGAACAAGCCACACAAAGATTTTATTGTTGTGAATTACATTAGACGTTCGCATAACTCCCAGTGTGGTTCCCTCTCCCAGAGACTTCAGATCCGTTCCATAGATTTCTATGATTCGTTTGCCGTCGTAAGCTATGCCAGTGCCGGTCATAATCCAGGTCGCATGACCGAGTCTTATGGCACACGATGGTATTTCCATCGTCTCTGGATTGCATTCTGTTACTCCAATTTCTATACTGCCACACCATGCTCTCAACTGTGCAACAAACGGAATTAAAACTTACAAGTAACGTTAAATAAACAAATAGTAAATAGTTTCTATCGTGTGCACATGTAATTATATTTTCAGATACACACACTTGTGTATTCACAAGAGATTAAAAAATTATTTTCCAAAATTGAACACAATTTTATAAAAATCTGAGCTTTCTTGAACACACATACACACACACACACACACACACACAAAAGTAACAAATATATATGCGCGTGCGAGACGCTCGTTTCATTCGCACACCTGGTATGCAGGAAGTTTGCGTATTGAGCTTTCGTAAACACAACAGTAGTCCGACAGAGACACGAAGAAAAGGAGCTCCAGTTGTTGTTGCTCTCTCTCTCTCTTTCACTCACGGGAAAAGAGACGACTCTGTGTGTATACACATACCTTCCTATCGATGGTGACTTCGAACAGCTCGTCGTCCCAGAGTGGCTCGGCGCTAAATACCAACCCGTGATTGTACTCGGACGAGTTGCGCGTTGCGGTGCGATTGTTGTTGCTGAGGATGATACGGCGACCACATCGTCGATGAAACATGTCGAACCCCAGCGTCGGACGCACACCGTGTCGTCGGTGTTGTGTGCGGTGCGCGCCGTGCGTGCAAAAACCCACCACACTCGATCGACACAACGCGCCGTCGCCGACGCATCGCCCGCCCTTCGTCCTCCGTACGCGCCCACGACTCCCGGTGCGACTTCTACTGCAGTCTCGTATGTTTTTTTTTTTTTTTTTCAAGTGGCACTTCTCGCACTTTTCCGCGCGAAAATCGCGACACGAATGTACGCTGCAAATTCGAGAGCAGATGTTACGAATTTATCCGATTTTTTTTTCAATATCTTTTAAAAGTCACGTCGATTGTATTAGAAAAATACGGCAAGAAAGAGAAAGAGAGAGAGAGAGATAATGCAGAAATTAAAAAATTCTCGCTGTTATATACCTTTTCGAGTTCTAGTCTGAGAGGGTTGATTGATGGTTAATGTCAAAATATTAAAGAAACAAAGATACTAAACAGATTGTCAAAAAATTCTGAAGTTTTAAACATTTCCCGCTCGAGAGACATGATGAACAACCTTTCATCTTTGACAATCTGGTGATTTTTATCAGAGAGACGCGCTATGTCCAAAGTGGTGCACGTTGGCAACTATGTAGCGATGTCAATAACGAATTATCCGACGTTAGCTTACTTACCGATCCTCGTGAACGTGAATACGTAGTTGCCAACATGTGCACCAGAGTGGACGCAGCGCTGGCGAACACCATATAAGAGCTAAATCGGAGAGACGTGGCCAGTTTCCGCTGGCCAGTCAAATCTCTCGAATCGCGTATTTTAAGGTCGTTTTAAGTGCAAAGTTCGCGAATCACCTGGTTGGTGCGCACGTTCAGTGCACGCGAACTGCGTGCTGTCGTGGCCATCAAGATGATGAGCGATGGCTCTCAAACGTGACACGTGCAATACCGGACAGCACCGTTCTTAGGAACTGACCTCGCACGCGAGTTTTTCGTTCGTTCGAGCGAGGAGAACGTGGAACGATCACGAAAAACTCGACGACGCGATCTGTAAATTGCGCCATGTCATCCAGAAGAAGCAAAGGTGGCCTTTTGGCCAGAGTGAATTTTCCTCTGTACACCTTGCAAATGTTGACCAGCAGACACATTCTCGTGGGCGGCGGTGGTGGTTCTTCAAAAACTGGAGTTGCCAACGGATTTGTAAGTTTAATCAAATTCTCAAATGTTTTTGTATATTTTCCTAATTATAGATATTCTGTTAATTATTTCATCACTCAGGGATAATTAATTTATGCATGTTTTATCTTTTTTCATGTTGGTTCTAGTTTTATCAAGTAGCAGATGTAAAACTGGATTCTTGTGAAATTCATTTATTTATTTTCTCAAAGTAAACAAAATTTACTCATCAAAGTACTCGTCGTTGTTATTGATTGTGCTATTTATCAGAGCAGATTATGAATTGCGTTCCTTTAGAAGCTTAGAGCCCTGATATGATGAAATCATTGTCAAACTATTTTGACAACTACTTTGCACATATGAATGATATTAAATAATATTTGTATATGTTTAATGTGTGTGTGATTTTGTGTCTTGCAGGAAATTTTTGAATTGTCACACAACGGAGTGCAGTTCATTGCTGAAGAAGTAACCAGACACGAAACAGGTCCCAGCGTGGTTATGAACTGTGCTTCACACATTGGCAAAAAGAAGACGTGGATAGTTGCTGGTCAGGAAAGCCATTGTCAGCTGTACAGTGTAAATCCCAAAGTGGTGACTCAGGAAAACGGAGAGGTGATCAAAAAGCCATTATCAGAAACAGCGGTCAACGATGGTCTTAGACATCGAAGAAACAGTGAGAAAGTCGAGGAAACTCAGAATGAGAGAATAGAGGAAATCAAAGACGACAATTCCAACGTTAAGAGCAAGAAACTGCAGTTGATTCTTCAGCCTACCGTCAGCATACAAACATGTTTCGGGTAAGATGATTTATTGTACTTTTTATATGCAATTAAAAACCACGAAGTGATATTTTCTCAACAAAAATGTTTTTACAGCGAAGAGCCTTTGCAAAGAGTTGTCAGAGTGAGTCTACACGGCAGGATCATGGCCACAGGTGGCACAGACTGCAGAGTCAAATTATGGAAGTTTCCAGAACTGTACAAATTGCACGACATCAAAGCGCACGAGAAAGAAATAGACGATCTAGACTTCAGTCCGGACGGCAATCTGTTGGTGAGCATATCCAAGGACGGAAAGGCTTTTTTGTGGAATGTGAACGACGGTACGAGGAATAAAGAATTGACTTGGACACCATCTGACGGCAGTTCGAAGTACATGTACAAGAGATGTCGGTTCAGAAAACTGATGGAAGACAAAACGAAGCTCGATCTCTTTATGCTGTCCAACGCCGTTGTGGCGAAGAATCCGAGTTTCCTCCAACTGTGGGACGCTCATTCCGGTGCTATCACCAAATCTGTTCCCTACAAAGAAACTCTATCAGCTCTGGCTGTTTCCGACGACGGTAAATTTGTGGCCATCGGCACGATGTTTTCTGGCACCGTCGACATCTTCGTGGCGTTCAGTCTGAGAAAGGCGCTCCACGTACCCGGCGCGCACAGCATGTTCGTGACGGGTCTGGAATTTTTACCGACGGAGCTGGACGGTCCCACGATTACGAGTAACACAGAGACCGCGGTTGTTAGTATTTCCGTAGACAACAGGATTTGTATACACAGTATACCATACAGACGTAAGTATATTGTTTTTAATAGAACACAGCAGGGTATTAAAAGTGTGTTTTTTTTTTAATACTATTTTTCAATTTGTTAAAAATATCTCGACAATAATTTCGAATGTCTCAGATACACTGCCATTCTGGTTCGTCATCGTGCTGATAGTCGTGTGCATATGCGGTGCTTTCATCGTCTGCAGCTATCTCGGTATATGACCCAGGAGGTGCACGACCGGCAGGACGATAAGACAGGATGTCATATTTTCCTATTAAAAATTACTAGGAAGTATAGTAGGATTGATAAAATTGGTTCGCGCGTAAGAGAGTTTTCGCGCGTTAGATCGAGATATTCAACGCACTTGATGAAACGCTCAAGAATCTATACGTAGATGATTCGTAGAAGTATCCACGTAAAAACACAGGTGCAATTCCCTTCGTCGACATAACTATAAAATTAGCTAAAGAACACAAAGTGCACCGCGTAATACTGTGAATATGCACAGCGTTGTCGTGAAGAAACTTTTCGGATCGTTATTTAGCGGTTAAGAAGGCACAGTTGATTGCTGCAAAACAATAGTTAAACTCGTTGCTTTGTACACAGGCAGACTTCTTCAGGAAGATTTCAGTGCGTTCGCGCCGTTTAGATATAGACAAAACGGAGGTGCTGCTGTGATATATAAACAAACTGTGTCGCACCGAAGTGCTTCCCGATAGAATCGGCCGCATTATTAGCACACTAATAAATGTATATATATTTAGAAGATGTCGATATCTCTTCGGCATGTAGTTTTCTTCTCAGTTTTTTCTTCGTTCGTGCGCAGCGAAAATTCAAACTTCACATCGAGACATTAATTCTCGATATGAATTTACGTTTTATCGAGTTTTAGCGCAAAAAAAAGAAAGGAATATTTACTAGAGCGTTTGACCCTTTTTTTTTCTTTTTTTTGTACAGCTTATGCTTAAGTAGTTTCGCTTAACGGTGATTCGAGAATTCGAACGTTTCTCGTACTTAACGGTGAATAACGACGGATCTTTTTGTATCACGGATGAGAAGTCCCACAAAATGTTGCATTTATTATATATCGCAGATTTCTATGTTTTTTCTTGTTTATACACATGTTTTTAAACGTACTTTTTTTTTAAAGTAAAAAATACGTTTTTTATTCACATTCAATTTTTCATCAAAATTTTTTCGGTTTTTCGTTGTCGTCTCTCGTCTCACAATGGAACAACAATGAAAAAACGAAATTTCGATTCCGTAAAGGTGAGCCAGTAGCTCTAGACCTTGAGGTCTAGATTTGAGTTCTAGCGGAAAGTTACTTCAAAGAACCACGTAATTCGTTCTATTACGAATTCTGAAGTTCAAAATTTTTTTTAGGTGCAATTGTTGTAGATCTGCGTATTCTGCAAAAAGATATTGAGCTTTTATACATGTATGTATAATATTTATCTAAATATTTTTCTTAAAAAATTTTAAACTTATTTTACCAAATATTTACTCGAATCTAGAATGTTTATTTTGTTTTAATATATATGTATACATATATGATTGTTTGTTTTTTTGTCTGACGATTGAAATTTAATTAAATGCGCGCGCGACTTTTCGTGCGAAAATCGAATTTGTAAAAGTATCGACCGTATTAGTGGTAATGAATTACGTAATAATGTTACGTAATAATATAATTACAATGTCTTATATTCTTTTGTACACTCATTCTTCTCTTAAAAATATTTCTCTTATTGTTTGTGTATATGTGTGTGTGTGTGTGTGTGACTAGATGATGTGACTCGTTGAAACAATTAAATCGATTGTCGACCGATGCTCTCGAAATACACGTGCTGGAACGTTTCTTGTGTCGCGAACGATGATCAACATGAGAATTACAAACCGGACGGAATGTCGTTCGAAATCGAAAGGAACCCCTCGGGTCAGAACTGACATTTCGTGACCCCGCTCCGCCAGTTTGGCTACTTACCTCGTAGCTTTCAAACGCGATGAGAACGAGGCGCAATTGAAACGAGAAAAAAAAAAGAAAGTTCGGAATTTTAATATTCGACGAAGAAAATCGGCCAGAAGAAGAGTCGACGACACGCACGCGCCAAGAATGGAATACATTTGTTTGAACTGTTAATGGACGCGCACAAAAAATCCTTCTACGGTTTGTTTATTAGCATAGAATAATGTATAATCAAATAAGGAGGCAAAATTGGAAAAAAAGTTCAGTAAAAAAAAATTATAAGAGAAAGAAAAACACAAGACAGAGGTAGAAACATGGAAAGTTTAGACTCGGGATATAACTCGAAGGACGCGTCAAGGAAATAAGTTTTTTTACTTAGAAAGGAAGGGTCAAATGAGAAAGATACGACGCCAAAAGTTTTTTTTTTTTTTCACGTACAGTTTTGTTCAGAAATATTTTTAGAATACTAAATACATCACTTATAAGACATTCTCGCTCGCTTGATCTTATACGGAGTGCATGTTCAAAGAGACGCGAGATGTATTGATATACTCTATTCAGCTTTCGTCCCGCGCTTTATCGTGTGTACACGCGCCTCCAGAAAACAACGAGGACGAGGATCGAAAGGTCAAGGATCCGGTGGAATATGTACAAAGTGGGACACACAATTCTCTTGGATCGTCTCGTTCTCGTTGGGCGTCGAGCTTTGTTACGTAGACATCATCGATGCCACACTCGCGAACGAGCTCGGTCTCATTTCGCGGGCGGAAGAACGAGGCGAACGTCCTGCTTTTCCCCGCGAGTTTCATATCGGCGATCGGGCGCGCGATCGGGCGTTCCTCATCGAGAAATCGTGTGACATCCTCGCGCGATCCTAATTTACATAAATAATAATCAACGACAGTCGTAGATTTGTATGTGTGCGTGTGTGTATTGGATACACTCGGAGAAACCGGGTGCGGCGTCAGGCGTTTTCCCTCGAAAGTAGAAGAAGCTCCGATCCACTCCGAGCCATTCCTTTGACCCGACCAAGGTGACGCTTTCTAATCGCGATAAGACTGACTCCGAGATATCTCGCCGAGGATCCCGCACCTCGACGCGCCCGTCGCCGATTGCTTTTTCCGTGTCTTCCAGAGAGCCTGACGCGCTCTTGGCTCTTCGGCTCGCCGGGGATGTCGACGGCGCGTGATTTTTTTTGTTTTATTTATTGTTTTTTTTTTTTATTTTTTTTATTTTTACTGTGAACGATCTGAAGATCGTCGAATCGCGCTGCCGAACAACACAATGACGTTGCTGATCTCGTTGAATCACTTTCTCGCGGGGAAACCGTCGCCGGTTGGATCCAACAGCCACGGATAATTGTTCGGGCACTCCATGCAGGTGAAGAGACGCAGGGTCTCACCAGGTAATTCTCTGGTCGTCAGCGGACAGGCGTTCGGCAGCGAGCAGTAGGGCAAACCCTTCTCGTCGCAGGTCTCTTTCCAGTCCTGGAAGTCTCTGAGTGCCGACAACTCGGTGGGTGTCTGCATCCACTTGATCACCTGGAAGAAACACATAAGAATATATTTAATTAATTAATTTGATTATTTTATTTTGTACAGTCATTGAAGATGTGCTAAATGTAATAAAGTAACATTCTCACCTGCACCATGGTAACGAAGTACACATCACTCCTGGCGATCATCTCCTCGATGAACTTGATCAACTCGTCCTTGAATTCCTTCTTGCTCTTCAGCCAGGACGCGTGGAAGTTCAGACCGAGCGGCGCTCGGTTGCTGTTGAAGTGCCTGTTGAAGTTGTGCCTCAGCAATCGGGCGAACTGCTCGCCGGTCTGAATGTTGGAGCAGGAGTCGACCATGTGACAACCAGGCAGAGATTCATCGAAGGTGGGATCGTCTCTGCGATCCAGCTCGTTCATCACCATCTCCCAGACCGGATGCGACCTGGACGGACAGTTGCCGCCGTTGCCGTTGCACTTGTGCGGCATTCTGAAGTACAGAGTGTACGGCCAGATCGGTACTCGGCCGAGAGACGCGGTGATGGAGGCGTCGTACACGAAGAACTGGTCGGCCATCATCTCGAACTGTTTGTTACCGCCGACTCTGAGATAAGGAGCGCGCATACCGATGATGGAACCGTCGGTGATGTTGGCGAAACGTTCGATAATCAATCTGGCACCGGCCATTTCCGCCAGCCAGTCGTCGTAGCTTCCCTGGCTCCAGTATTTCGGATCTTCTTTGTGCGTCAGGGAGAACACCGCGATCTCATGACCGCGTCGGTGCAGATCCTGGACCGCCGAGTAGTTGGTGTACTTGTGCGACACGAAGAAGGTTCCGCGGATCTGACAGCCATTTGGATTCTGGCGCTGGCCGTTGAAGATCTCTTCGTACAGATCGATGTTGTCCACGTTGACGGCGCCGTTGAAGGTGATCGTGATCATCTGCGGCACTTGCTGGGGATCGATGTTGCCGGGGATGCGCGTGCCGTCGGCCGAGCAATAACAGTCTGGCAGGATACATTGCGTAGGATCGCAATCCGGAGCGCGGTTGGGATCGGTTTCGACGGCTGTAATGCGATTGAAATCATATAATTGATAATTTTTTTTTAGAAAAACAAAAAAAATCGAACTGGGGGACATTGAGCTTAGAAATTTAGATCGCGCGCGCGACAAACATGTACGACGTTCTAGATTTGCGCGCGATATATATATTTCGAATAAAAGTTATACTTATAAAAGTTATACTTATAAAAGTTAGAAACTCTAGAATTTTCTGGACGTATGTGCAATCCTCGGAATATAAGTCACGAATTTTTTGTCTCAATGTCCGCGCCACTCGATCCCCCGCGGGCGAACATAATAACGTTGCGACACTTACTGCAGGCGTTCTCGTCGGACTCGTCCTTGCAGTCGGGCTTGCCGTTACAGAAGAGCTCCTTGTCGACGCACTCGCCGTTGCCGCACGACAACTTCCCTTCCGGACAGACGGGCTCGTCGGTCTTGAGAATGGGCAGGACTTTGCGCGGCTCTGCAAAACGCGAACGATCGAACGTAATCGGAATGATCGGGATTTCGTGAGAGACACACTCTTTTCACGGCTTTACAACGCAACTACTACGAGATGAGACATTATTTCTCATTGCTTTTTTGGTGCTCTTTACATATACATATAATTCACGTGACTACAGCAGCTACAGGTGTAATCAAGGCCGCCGCTTATTTACATACAATAAAAATACAGCAGCAACGTAGGAACACCGGCGCGAACACAAAAGTTCCAAAAAAAAAAAAAAAAAAAAAAAAAAAAGAACAAACAAAACAAAAAATGCAAAACACATTTTCAAGCTGATGGGGAGAGGATCGTGCTCAAAATTAATCATTCGTGTCACCCAATTCCTTTTACCTCTTATCACCTTAGCAAAACAAAACCGTAACATTTCTACTCCGTGTATGTACTTTTAATCGGCCGAGGTGGAAATTTACATGCGTTTCAGGGATTTCTCAACGTTTTTCTTTGTCTCTTCTTTGGAGGAGGAAAAATGTTCGATATACACAAAAAAACGCGCTCGTTCCTACGTCACTGCCTCTCTCCGAGATGGTTCTTTTCATTGTCATTCTCCTCGGGAATGGCTTTTCGTTTGTCCGTCTCTCGTCTTTATTTACGGTCTCTAGTTTTTTTCTTTTTTTTCTACGATTTTCTGTGTCCGCCGCTGAGTGTACGTCGGCTGTAACGCGCGACTGTCCGTTCCATAAAAGATATGTGTACCGTGTGACGACGTCTCGTCCTGCGACTATTGGTTCTCGCGGAAAGACGTTTTTTATTTGTCTTTCGTCCGACTCAAAAGATAAACGTTTTTAACTCGACGTTTGTTCGCCTCGTCGACTGGCAGCGATGCACGCAGATTTCGTTATTCGCGTACGTATGCACGTACACGAGAGAGGCATGAGAGAATGAGAATGTGAAAGAGAGAATTTGTGAGAATGTGTGTTGATGCGAGCGAGAATATAATTTTGTTGGCGAGAATTAATTTGCTGAGTGTGTGAAGCAGCGTGATAACGTAAGGGAAAAATTGGCGTGTGACTGTTTTCGAGAAACGTGAATTTCGCGATCGACCGACAAAGAAATATTCAACGTTCGCACAAAGATCGATCTTGTTGAAAAATTCTGAAATTATCTTCAATTTTGAGACTAGCGCTTGTGAATTTTCTACGGTTTAGAAATTAATGTGAAATCTTGTGCGCCCCCTTTTTTTTTTTTTAAATTCGGCTATCGTGTTGCGAGAGAAAGTTTGTGACACACACGCACACTCCGCGTGTGGCACCTGCGACAGATCGAGATATCGTACGTGGCTCCCGTGGCGATCTTTCGCGTGAAACGAGGATCGGCCGACGAGCGAAATAATAAGAAGAACCTTGCGCGAGGAAAGATTAACGATCTTGGGCTGATTGGGCGCGCGAGATCTCGAGATTTTCAGGTGGTAAAAGCGAGCCGAACGGCCGAGGAGCTCCCGAGAATAAAGGAGGCCAGATCGCCGAAGCGAGACCGATCTGGATGCGGAGAAAAAGATCGAATACGTGCAACCTCGTACCTAGAACGAGCGCCGGAGGTAAAAGAGAGAAGGGGGGAGAGAATGATAAATGTTAGAAAATTGTTGCGTGCCAATGTTGTTGGAACAGCTCGCGTAAGAATCGCAAAAAGAACGTGACATTTCAGATTTGCATCGGCATGGTAGCAAACGAGTGTTGATGCGATATAACACACGGATCGCCGATATAGTTCACAGATACGATAGATCGCTCTTAAAATCCCGCCGACAATATCAAACAAAACTCCCGCTCGATAACGGTTCGATGTCGAAGTTTTCGAAGCTCGCGCTTTCGACGAGCGCGAAGATTCGGACGCAGCGGCGCGTTAAATAAAAAAAAAAAAAAAAAATATATATATTTTGAAACGTCGGAAAGCGATTATCATCGATGTAGAAAGAGATTATCAATGCGCGGGAGTTGTGCAAAAACACAGTTTGCACAACGCAATCGTTTTTTCTACGAGAGAATTTAATGAAGAAATCATTATTACTCATTGCGCGAGATATTACTTCGCGCAGTGGTTCAATTAACTTCGACGCTGTCGCTTTTAACGCAAATGTTATTGCTTATAAATGGCCGGGAAAACAGAAAGATATCAATCCAATCGCGATCACATTTTTCCGCCTGTTACCGCCGCGAGAGAGGAATATGGGCGCGAAGTGCTGTAACGCGGAAGCGGAGTGGTTTTTCGCAAAAATGCGTTGACACGCAACGCGCGCGGAGTTGGATTCGACGATGTGAGGCCGGTGTCAAGCAAAAGTCCGATGAAAATCCGGAATTGGACGAAGGCGCAAAATGTTGGACAATTTTAAGAAAAAAAATCATCGTTGTTTCTGGAGTAAGAAAATTCTCTAACGCGCAATCGTAAAATTATTAACGGACAGTTAGATTTAATGCGCTTGTGAAAACATTTAATGAGACGCTACATTAACAGTTTGGGTAATGACTGGATGATTTATGATCAGGTCTGGTTTCTTCGTCCGTTTGGAAAGTGCAGCTTTTGTTAGTGGAAGGCGGTGAGTCGTGGAAATTGCGCGAGAAAACAAAAATAGGGAGATAGTAGAGATATCCGAAGGATTCGAAACCGGGTTAGCCGCTCGTGAAGTCCGACGTGTTTTCACGACCGTGTGTGGCGTCTCCGAATGCGGTTTTCGTTTTCCCCTTCGTTCTGGGTCCGGGACGAGGTCCCGGCCTCGCTCATTCGATCGCGCGCGCGCTTTCGCTGAAAATCGAGACCAGTCCCATCGACTCGCCTCACGGAACGAAAGTGGTCGAGCAAGAGAGAGAGAGAGACGTCTCGCTCTTTTTCTCTTTCTCTCTCTCTTTCTTTCGAAAGTACCGGGAACACATATCCGGGCGTTTTCGATCGTTAATCGCGTCGCTGAAAGTACAAGTCCTCTCGTCCACCCCTCTCCCAATTCACCGGGTGAATTTCGCGTCGAATCCCACGTCGCTGTGTTAATGCGCGCTTTCCGGTTTAATGGCATCACGCGTCGCTGGAAAGTCTCGCATAGTAGTTGGTTTTTTTCGATCCGCGGTCGTTTACGCAACACCGCCGGTGTTGCGCAACATCCACGAAGTTTGAAGCCGAGAAGTGATTTCTTATCGGTAATTGGCTCTTTCAATGAAATTGAAATTGAAATTACGACGAAAAACTTCCGAGTCGATTTGAGGACAAAATTAATTTTTAACAAAGCGCTCTATTTAGTATTTTCTCTTATTTTTTTTTCACCGAAATTTTTTTTTCACTTTGATGTTTTTCAGAGACGCCGCGACGGTCGCTGCGCATCGTGAGAGGATATTTGCGTGAGAGGTGCGTGAGTGATCGATCGCATGCGTTTTAGCTCTAATGATACTGAGAACGAGGGGGGGAGTGCGTGCTACGTTGCGAGTCTACGAAGGAATCGGCGAGAGAATCTGCCGGCTGTGCGCGCCGATTCGAAACGGCGCCGCCGGCAAGATCGATCGTCGATCTTTATCCCGGACTTACTCTCGAGCTTGTCACAGTTGGTGACTTTGCCCTTCCAGTCGCAGGTCTGTTTGTCCAAGTCAAAGGCCAATCCGCTGGGACACGTGATTTGCTTCAGGCCGGACCTTGTACACCTGTCGGCGGAGAGCGCCCGCCGTGGACAGAAAACAAAGGGTGCCTGCGTGAGTCTAACGCGTGAAAAAGACGTAATGTTCGCTTACTCTCGAGCTCGCCGCAGTTCTTCACGTTCGTCTTCCAGTCGCAGGTCTGCCGCTCGATGTCGAACGCCAGGCCGGTCGGACAGCGCACCGACGCCAATCTGGTCACGCCGATCTCGCTCGCTTTGTCGCACCTGAGATGATTATATCATTTCCTCACATGGAACACGATGTCTGTCTGTTTCTCTCTCTCTCTCTCTCTCTCTCGGAGCTCGAAGCTCCCCGACCGTGTTTCCGACCGATCGCGAACACACGAGGGAGAAAAACAACAATAAACTACGCGCATACAACGCGCGCGTTAAACAAATATGAGTACGCGCATATTACGAGACCGCGCGAATCATTGTTTTGACCACGTGCAACAACAAATGTTTACTTTTCTCCATTGTGCGTTCCGTCGGCGTAATTATAGATTTTGATCACTGCGCTCGAACAACAAAATGAAAGCTGTTGAAATTATTTGTTAAATAAAACGTGTGGAGAGTAATAATAATCATCACGTTTCTGCGGTAAAGAAAAATGATTTCGTCAATCCGATAAAAAATAATCAAATGTCAAGAAATGTTGTTAATGCTCGCTGCGTTCTCGCCTTGACTTTTCCTGAAAAAATCGATATCTCGATCATCTCGGGGGATATCATCTCGCGCGATCGAGTTCTGTGGAATCAGGATGAGAATAAAATAAATGTGTTGAATTGTTATTTTTACCCATGAGATGAGACGACTTGTGTCCGCCGCACAACTGCGTTTCCAGACCGCACAATATTTCTGTCAAAACCGGATGTCCTTGGGACTTACGTTCTCCGCGTCAGCGCGAACAAAGAAACGTCGGGGAAAACCACGTAACGTTCGCTCTCGCTTATCTCGCGACGAACGAATTTCGCGCGAGAAATTCACGAGAGAAAATTTCGATATGTAAAATTCCACTTTCAATACGATACCGCGCAAAGTGACGGCGGGCAAAATCAGGGATTAATCAGAATTGCATTAGAAACCGACGCGGACGCTCGCGCGACACGGAGAAAGTACGTAGCCGTTCAATACAAATTTATCTAGACTTTCCGACGAGAAAGAGAGAGAATATGTAAGTCTCGCTCTCAGCACACACAGGCGGAAGTGAGTCAGCGGTCGAGTTTTTTTTTTTTTTTTCAAACTGGAACCCGATTCACCTTGCGATTCCGCTCACCCGAAGCGAAAGACGAATAGAAACAAAGTTTCATGTAAAATTGCGATGCAATTAAGCGGGCAAAAAAATCGCCAGCGTTCTCTCTCTCTCTCTCTCTGGATCTCCGTGAAAGCCGGTGTGTGTGTGTGTGTGTGTCTGAAGTTTCATTACGTCTTGCTCGCGTACATAATGAAATTGAAATTCACACACGTGAAGTCATCCGGGAATCGAATTGACTTGATCCTCCTGTGTTCACGCGAACGGAATAATGAGATGAGACTTACCTCACGACATCGCGACAATCTCCCTCGGTGCTCAGGCGAAAATATTCATCTCCCGGCCTGTCCTGGCAAAGTTCCTCGGCGTTCGCGTCGACGCCGTCCGCGCCTTCCTCGTCTTGTGCTCTGACCTGCGTCCCTGCGTGCAGGAAGGAACATAATTGATCAATTATTGCCGTTTATCTTGCGTCATTAATCGTCTTAATTAACTTTGCATTAAATTTAAGTTTTTCAAATTGGACTGACACAAGAAACAAATTTTAGTTTGCTCTTTTACTTCAGCTTTCTGAGAGACTTTCTCTTCGGCAGATGAGTTTTGCGAAATACTTTGTACAATATTTTTAACTTAACAAACACGCGTCTATCGACAAGCGACCAACGCGAACGTGACATTTTCCACGAGACAAAAGCGGGTGTTCGATCGATCGTTCGAAAATGTCACGATCGGTTCACGATACGAGCGAGCTTCTCGCGATCGCGAAGAAGGGGTCGGTGAACTCCGGCACAAGTAGAAAGTCTTGGAAATGTCAGGGCGACGGGGGGGAAAGCGACAGTGGTTCTGCAAAGAAGGTTTTTACATACCTATGTTCTCTTTCTCTCGAGTTTTTCACGAACTCAAAATATTCACGAACGCGAAATTCATCAATTTTTTTTCTGAAACGTTCTCTCATTTACAATTTCAATTTTCTCAAGATTCGCTAATGCGACGTGCGCGTTTTCTTTTCATTACGTAACGCGTTGAAACCCGACAATTTTTCGCGCAATTTCAAATGTCAATTTCTCTCAACGATACACGTCGCTTCAACTTCGATACGATATAAATTACTTACTCGAAAATTGAAATATCACGAGCTTCACCTGAATCCTGCACGCGCGCGCGCGCGCGCGCGCGTGCGCGTGAAGGTAAGAATGGCAATGAAGATAAAAAATCACGCGAGTAGATTTTTGTTTGCCAACTATAGGAATTACAAATCGGGGAAAAAATTGTACTTACCGACAAGGAGACACAGAGATCCCAGTAGAAATATCAACTTCGGCGACATCGTCGTCGTCAGGACGGAGAGCGTCTGGACAAGCCGCGCCCTCTCCGCCCCTCTATATGTGCACCACCACTCCTTCCCTCTTGGATCGTGGGACTTTCACCTTCCGGATCGTGCTGCCATCTTTCAGGTGGGCATCAGGAAAAAAGCAGCAGCTCAAGTGCGTCTTGTTTGTAGACAAGGAGAGAAATTTCGAGAATATTGAAGATTATCACGAGGTGTGTTTTTGATTTGCAATAACGTTTTCTTTGTAATCACATCTTTAATGCGATACTCTACCGATAGTTTCAATTCCTTCTCTACTCGGGACGAGAATCTTTCTCAAACTTTTGGCTCCCGAACGTTGTCTCTCGCCAAAAAAAAAAAAGAGGGACGAGAAACGAATAAATGATGATGGCAGGTGTGTGGATGCGGATTAGACGGAGAGGCTGGAATGCAGAATTAATTGCTCGCACGCACATCCTATTTTCTGCCTGCATTCCGCCGACCATTATTTATCCGACCTTTATTTTTCGTTATCCGCTGACTTGTCTGACAGCGCGAAGACCATTTGTAACCCCGACGAATTGTCGGCGATAACGTATACTCCCTCGAACCAAGTGGCATCGCAAATGCCGTGCGATGGCGCATAAGAAAAAAAAAAAAAAAAAATAGCGGGCTCGTAAGGATGTTTCGAAAGTCTAAACGCGAAGCTAAATTTAGAGCCTCTCTTTATAACACACTTACATGTGATGCACGCATAATTACGTATGACGAGCGCGATTTTGCAAGCGCGCGTATTAACAATCGGACTTGCCGAATCGATTGCCGCTTTCAAGGTCCGAGAGAGCCCGTGAACTTTGTTCGCAACGCCTCGGGAAGAGAAAACAAAGTAATTTTTCTTTTTACGATTGTCATGAAAAAAAACGTTCCCGAAAGTTATCGGGAACGAAGTTGCGCGCTCGTAAACCCTGAGAAAGTGTCACTTCGAGTTGCTTTCGTCGAAAACTGCACTTGGCGATGCGCTTCTAAGACGAGCCGCTTCAAGACTTACGGGGAGCATCGACGAAAATGGCGGTGTTTCAAATTCAATTTACGGCGATGGTGAACGTGTGCTTCTCAAAGTTTCGTACGCGTGTAGAGAGAGAGAGAGAGAGAAAAGATACAATTTCGGAATTACGTTTGCATCCGCATTGCGCACGTAATCGCGCGAGATCGCCCACAGTTCATTACGCGAACGTACTGCTCGCGCTCCGTGAAATTGTTTAACTACAATCCCTTTAAGTGCGTGGGGTGAATCCTTCCGGAAGGATAATATCATTTGTATGCGCAGCGAACTACGGCGAGTTTCCGCGAATCGAGAGGCATTTGACCTTTCGGCGCGGCCTCGAAAATGCATTTCGCATCTCGTGGCCTCGAGTTTTGCCGTCCGCTTACATATATATTTAACGTCATGCGCGCATTAGAGAGACGTTTTATAATTTTATAATTTTTGTCGGAACTCCGAGCGCGTTACTCCAACGCGAGCGCGTCCTTTGAGGCTTTCCGCGAGAGAACGATGCGACCGGCGCGGCCAATAAATTTGCAGAAAAGGTTATCCGCATTTACGAGCAAAATAATCTCGCAATATCCACGCGTAATTCGCATTGCGCTAGACATTTGCGCAGTCGATTGTTCTTTGCTCGCGAAGCGGGCGAACGATGACGTTATTTCAAATTCAGGCTACGAGCGTGCGTTTCGCAATACGCACGCGTGTGCAAAAAACAAAAAAAACAAAAATAAATCTTTTTCAATGTCAACGAATAGAAAACTTAAAATTGTAGAATCGTACGGACGCAAATTGATGTCACGAAAGCAACTAATTGCGCAAAACAAACTCGCTCCGATACGGAAAGATACTCGCTCTCTTCCTGCTCAATAATTGCACACCTGCGCGAGATCTGAATGTCTGACTCTTGTCGCGTGTACGAATTAACACTTACACAACGTTACATTCATGCTCGCGAGAGAACTTGGACTCGCAATCCAAGTGAAGTGCGATTACAAACCGTGGAGAGAAAGATTTAAGTGTCGTCATTAGACGAAAAATTCCGTATACATCGCGACGCGACGTTAATTTCCCGGCAACAGATTTTTCGTTGCGCAACGAAAGGACCCAGTAGTACAGGCCAACAATGATCGGACACATGCGGTGATATAACGCGCGCAATTATATTTCATCGACATAACGCTTCCGATCTCTTTCTCCCGGCAAAACTCCCACGCGCGCACACAATTATTACGTACGTACACAATTTCGGCAGGATTCACCTCGCGCATTACGCGGGACACGATGGCATTTCTAAGTGCCCGAGCGTTTCGAGTCCTTGGCGAGATGCACACGTAGAGAGAGATGGGTGCGCACGTTCACCGCACGTGTGTTAACAAATACGAGGAATCCGCAGAAAACCAGTTTTTGCACATATATGTATATATTCTATTTCTGCGGACATATGTGTATATATATATATATATATATATAGCGAGTGCGGTCTCTCTATACCATTCATTCGCCCTTTTCCCGACCAGTCTCACCCGTTCCTCGAAGAGGATCTCACGAAGGAGCTTAATCGGATTTTCGTTTTATCCTTTTATTTTCGCGCTTCGTTTTTTTTTTTTATCAAACGAACGACCGACCGAAGTAAAAGTTGGTAAAAATTCACGCCTGCTCGAATATATATTCGAGACGTCGCGATCTTCTAGGTCACACGCCACGGAATCGCCGTTAACCGTATCTCGTCGTTGCCTTGAATTTTTATTTTTCAATATTGATTTCCACACACATGTTATATATTACATATCGCGTTTCTCACGCGTTGCCGAGTAATTATCTATACGATCGTATGATAATTGCGCTTTAAAGGTTTTCCAACAGATTAGAAAAGGAATCGTTCCATACAAAGATTTCTCGCTCACGACGAACTCGAAACTTGCACTTCTTTGATCAAAAGTTGTTACTAAAACTATTATTATTATTATTATTATTATTACATTTCTAAATGTTATGTCGATTATATTACGTCGATTATGTCGTCTATTGCGCAACAGATTCAAGAAAAAAGCCGGGAAAGAATTTCCATTATCTTTGTTTAGGAGATCGCGGGGTCGCTTGGAGGATAAATGTCAATTTGCCAATCGGCATTTCGAGGCGAGAGAAGCAGGAGTTCTTCTCTCGACAGGCTAGGCGCCGCGTCTTCGCCAAGATGGTGCGCTGACCCGCGGCTTTTCTTCGCCCAGTCTCTTTCTCTCTCTCTCTCTCTCCCCATCGACTTCATCTTTCCTCGACCATCTTTATACGTGCGCAGCACGCTCTCTCCTTGAACTACTGCGGATTCTTCGACGTGACTGCTCACCTTCGACTCCTCGGATGCGCTCCTAGGAAGATCTCCATTCGTCGTTCTCCATCGCTCCACGACTGGAGGAGTATCCCGACTGGGAGAACGGCACTGATATTTTTTTTTTTTTTTACCGACTTCATACCTTTCGCGCTTTAAAAGGCGCGATTCTCGCGATACGCTTGCTTAGATCGTAAATAAAAAAAAAAAAAATCACTGCGATCTGTCGAACATTAAGCGCGGAGTTTAAAAAATCGGTATTCAACTTGGGAGAACTCGCGAAAGGTTAGCGGCGAGTTAATTATTCAGAATCTTCTTTATTCTTTATTCATAATCTTCAAAATATTCTCTCAAGATGGTTATCTCGATAACCAACAACTCCTCGCCAACTCATTTTCACCTCGTAAATATCGAAATTAATCAATTTCTGTTCGTGCGATTTACGGCAAATCGCTTTTTGAAATATACACGAAGTGGGTTTTTTTACGACTAAAGATTCGCAGCAAAAATAAAAACCACTACACGTGTTTATAACTTTCTTTTTTTTTTTGTTTTAATAAAGTGTACTAACTTTTTTTTACAAGTGCCTTCCAGCGAGAAGGCACTTTCTTTAGATCTTACTCGCGTCTGTACTTTTCCAGAGGCCATTGGCTCCTCCTGGCGATCTCGCACGATCTTCAAATTTCCCGTTTAACTTTGCGCACGCGAGCAGAAATGTAACTTCTGAGCATCTGTTTGATTTATTTATCGCTTCTCCAAAAATATCGAAATTACGAGATTTAATTAGCAATCTCGAAAGAAAACATCTCGCGCGTGTTTCGGAGATCAATGTTACGTCGGTACAAAAAAGATTCGTTTTGCGAATACGTGCCGTCATAAAGCTATTTTGTTTCGACAAAAATGCTTTGACACGGCGGTTTTATTTGCCGACGAGAAATAGAAAATATAAAAATCTCGCTTCATTACATTTTTCATGTTTGTTTTTTATTTTCAAAGAGTTTTCGATATAATCTTTGATATGTGTTTATTTGATAAACAAAATATTCCTTTACGACTGTCTTGTTTCGAAAACGCGCTTCACGTTAAATTCGACCCGCTTGATGCCGTACATATCCGAAGGCTAAACACGCCTCAACAATAGGAGCTCAGCTTCATGTAAGCTATATTCACGCTCGAAATCTCCGCAAAACCCAGAACGCGATCTTCAATCTGAAACGTAATCCGTTTGTCGCAAGATTCTCTCTGTCGGGAGAAATTCATGCCGATATTGTTCCCGATTTATAATCGCTTTTAAGACTCGACGACGTTCAAGGTTTTTTTTTTTTTTTTACTCGTTAATGACAAATTTTATTAAAGCAAGAAATAGCGTATTGCGGCGCGAGCGAAAGTTTTGCGTGACGGAACTTTATTTCTCATCTTAATCCTAATTTTGTCTCGTGACAAATCAGTTCGCGTTAATAATTTATTTGGTGAAAAATCATAGTTGCTCTCGAGATTGGGTCAAGGAGAGTCTCGAAAGAAAAAGGAATTGATTTATTTTAATAATTTGCGACGCGGCAAACTTGTGGCTATAATAGTGTGCGAACAAGCGCGAAAAGTTGACCGTCTCTCTCTCTCTCTCTCTCTCTCTCTCTCTTTCTCTCTCTTAAAAGAGAGAGATGCCGGAATAACCAGTGGACAATGACCTGTTCACGGTCAAGGTGAAAATC